ATGAACGTCTTCATTTGCGTGATCATCTCTTTTTTAAATCTGGCAATAGAAGGAATACCTAAGAACTTTGTAAGATGTTGTACACAAATTATTTAATAGATATATATCCAAACATCATAACAGCGTTACGTACTACCCTAGTACCTTATACAAGGAATCCTAGGAGTATACTGGGAGCTCCCATCAGGCACCAATATTGGATTCCAATTATAGATTCCACGTAACTTCCGAGGAACGTCCCTAAGGTGGTGGATCATCCGATTATACTTCTAAATAATCCAGTCCAATTAAGAATTTACAACTTTACAGCGGGATTGTTATTATATATGTATATAATAACGATTTTTTACTATGTATAAATTATACTAGCTGTCTAGAGGTCTAATCAAGACGTTTTGGGTTTTTGACCATAGATATCAACCCAGTACAGCATATAGTTTTTTTTCATTTTATCCGTGTTCGGTGTTACTAAGGTATTAATATACCTAATACTAATGTATACAACTTGCACGTTTATTTTAATTAATAACTAATTATTTACTAACTTTATCAGACTTAATTCATACCTAAAACCTGCTCTGTTATGTCCTCTCTCTCTTTAATTTAAAATAACGGTTTGACGATTGAATAAGTATGTAGTTTCGAAGCCAACCCGTAACAAAGATTTCCATTTTTGCTTTGATGTATATAAATATATAGTAAAAACATACAAATATACTGTTATAGGTGAGAAGTTGGCAAGGTAGGATATTGAGAAGAATTTAATTTATATCTGTACGCAATGATTATAATCATTGCTAACGAAAAATGATTCTAAGCAGAGTTCAGTCAATAGTATTGCTTTTTCAACAATGAGCGTTTTCATGTCAATGATTGTTTAAAAAAGATTAAAAGATTGAAACAATTAAATTATTTAATAATTTAACAAAAATAAGATTTAATATGTATGAAAATATAAAAAAAAAAAATAACTTTTTCCGGGTTTTTCCAATTATTATGAAAAACATGGGGATGGGTACGGCACTTTTATAAGTGGGTAGATGGGAATGTGGAATACATAAACATATTTAATTTATAACTGTAATTAACGAGAAAATCATTGATAACAAAAAACAATTTCAAATGAAGTTCAGTTGTACATGTTTTAAAAAGCCACAATGTTTACGATTTGCGTTAAAATTTAATTTAAATCTCTTATAAAAAAAAAATTACATTACACTATATTTTTGACCACCTAGTACGACATATAATGAACCTCTTATCAAATTTTCAAGAATTTCTATTTAGTCTAACAAAATTGTATTCAATGAATACCAACTTACCAGATAAAAATTACAGATTAGTTACTGGTGTAGAAATGAATTTAGTGAATAAAATAATGAACTATCATTTTTGGAAACAAAATTTAAATTTGTCATTTTAGATTCTGATTTGAACAAAATTTATGGTTTTACAAAAATGGTTATTTTGTTTTTTTTTTTTATCTGTACTTTACTTTTCTACCAGAAGACTTGCTCAGATTTTTAAATGTAGCACCTTTTCTGAAAGTAAATCGGTGTGGAGAGATATTTTAAGGAGGTCATTTTTCGATTTTCTCAGAAATTTGTACATCAGATTTGAAAAACCCAAAAAAAAAAAACAAAGGAAATACCGAAAAATATAAGAAATATAGCTATTTGTTAAAATATATTTCGGCCTTCTTTTTTTCTGTGCACAACTTTTCTACCAACATTTTCGCTCCGATTTAAAATGATAGCACTTTTTCTGAACGTAAATCTGAGTGGGAACGTACTCTAGGAGGTCATTTTTCGATTTTGCCAAAAGTTTTCTTAGCAAATGTGGATTAATCCGGGAAAAAACATGGGAAAACCGGGAAAAATGCAGGAACAACGATACAATATTAAACGAATATTATTAAAGAAAATATATAAAGCCTATTTAATTATTACTGTAACACGGCACATATATTATGACAAAGTATCACTATCAACTGAAATCCGATCAGAATTAGTTTTTTCTTAAGCAATAGTTTATATCGTTAATTACAGGTATACATTAAATTACCTATAACAATGCTTGTACTCGTCACCATTATCCTAGGACGTCTTTTTAAAATCGATTTGTACATTTAAAATATAATTTAAATTATTTTTCTTTATTTCATTGTTTATATGTAATTCTTCTAAAACTGAATTAATGTAAATGTTATTTTAGGTGTTTAATATTTCTAAGTCTGTATTAATATCAAAGATTATATTTTCTATGTTTTTTCTAAAACATATTTAGCGAAATTTGAATTAGGGGCAGTCTTTTTTAATTAGAAAACCGGTTGTATAATACACTTAATACTCATGATACTCATAATAAATCATAATACTCCAGGCTAATACTTCATTATTTTATTTATTATTTTTAATACTCATTAACCATTTTAATAATTTTGTTTTTACTTTATTATTTTATTGTTTATTTTGGTAGACTAAGCCAATGTTCCAACTCAATGAACAGGATTGAATATTTAAACATAAAATTAATGAATACCAATATAAATATTTACTTCAATAAACTTGTATGAAATTGAAAGTTGTTCGTAAATACATCAATATACTTATCAAATGTACATCTGAAGCTGCAATCAAAGCCAAAAAAGTAGAAGAGACAATATGATTGAACTCTGAAATAAAATTTGTATTCGGCAAAAGACATATAATAGTAGGAGAGATTTATAATTTAGAAACAATTTTATTCCAAAATTTAAACCACTTACAGATTTCAAACTTTAAAAATCACATCCAACAAAAATGACTACATAAGAAAAATGAGAAATGTGTAGAATTAATGATAAAATTAATATTTTAGTAGCACAAAATAAATAGAAATTACAACTTAAAAAAAACAGCATTCTTTTCAACCACGAGTTACTAATTTAACTCCCATTGTTATTCAATAAAGCTGAAAATAATTTAATAAATAAAGGTAATAAATTTAATACATATCAAACATTAAACTTTCAATCAATTAAAAAACAATAAACACAATGTGAATCTATTATAAATTATATACAATTTCAAAATCATAATCAAACAAGATAAAACTTAATAAACAGCACCAATAAAAATACAAAAATAAATCTGATAAAATATTAAAACAAAATAGTATAGTTAAATGACAAAATACAATTATTAACAACATAGTGAATAAATTAAAAACAAATAATTCAGAAACAGTTCTAATATATATATCTAATACTATTGTTATCATTTACATTAATGAAATTTATTAAAAAAAAACTTTAAATTTTACACATTTTATAAATAATAATAAATTACATCCATTCATAAAATTACATAACCAAGATAATCCAATTTCCCATTAATTAACTTTAAAACTGCTCCAGTTTATAACCTTGCTAAATATTTAGACTCTCTCATAAAAGAGAAATTAAACATGAATACTAATACTTCTATAAAAAATACTTATGAGTTTATTAATAAAATTAATATTATACCAAGTTAAAAAATAATTTCTCTTGACGTTAAAAATTTATATACATCCATTCCTAACACGAAACAGTAAATTTTTTAAAAAAAATAAAATATACATTATAATAAATTTAATACAAACAAAGTACAAAAAATTATTCAATTAGAAAATGTAATTATTAATCAAAAATATTCCCAGTATAATAATAAATTATATTTGCAAAAGGATGAGTTAGTTATGGGTGGTCCTTTAAGTGCTCTTTATCTGAAATTTACATGCAAAATTATGAAACCAATAATATTAATAACAACATATATATATATATATTTAAAAGCATATTATAGATATGTTGATGACATTTTCATTTTCTTAGAGGTTCAAATAGATAAACAGACAATTTAGTTAACTACTTGAATAAAATAAATAAAAACATTTAATTTACAATCGAAAAATACAAATAAATAATAAATTTAATTTCTTAGACCATGAAGTTTCCATAATAATAATAAATTTGATTTTAGTATTTACAGGAAACCTACACAAACTGATGCTATAATATCACATGATTCTAATCACCTATATTCTCAAAAATATCATTTTTAAATTTAATATTCTATAGGCTTGAATGTATTCCATTAAATAAACATAATTATCAGCACGAGATCAATATTGTCAATAATATAGACCATAGAAATAATTTCAATTTAAATATTATAAGGAAAAATTCATAAATGTATTAAAGAAAAAATAATACACAACTAACCAAATAATATTGTTAACTATTTTAGTATAAAATATTAAAATAATATGTATAACGATATCTCTAAAATTCTGAACAATAATACAAATAATGTAAAAATCGCTTTTAATACTAATAACAATTTAATCAAACATATAAACAATAGAACTAAAAACTTCACAAAAAATCCCTCTTCTTTTGAAAATACTGATATGTAAAAACTTAAATGTAACTGTAATAATTTGTATATAAGGAAAGAAAAATAGATATTTTAAAATAAGATATAAAGAACACATTTCTGAAATAAAATTTAAAAAGATTGCCCCTAATTCAAATTTCGCTAAACATGTTTTAGAAAGTTTTGATATTAATACAAACTTAGAGATATTAAATACTCAAAATAATATATACACTAATTCAGTTTTAGTATAATTACATATATACAATGAAAAAAAAGAAAAATAATTTTAATATTTTAAATGTACAAACTGATTTTAAAAATAATATCTTATATCAATACATTTTAGATAATAAATTAATAACCAAATAATTTATAATTCTTAACATATCTATGTCTAATAATAACCCATTTTAAATAACCTCTCCTATTAAAATAAATTATTTCTATGGAAAATGATCAATTTGTATAATTATTTTCTATGTATTCCTTCATTTAATTTTTTATATTCAGTCACATTTTACATTTTGACTGTGATGTATCTGATGAATTTTTAATTCAAAACCATATAATACATTCATCATAATATTCCAGACTACCCATTTATTTATTAATTTTTTATTTCTATATTTATTTACGAGTATTAACCGGTTTAATAATTTTGTTTTTATTTTATTATTTTATTAAAAACAAATAAATAAAAATATATCAAAGCCATAAGGACAACACATGTATAATATTTATTTCTTTTTTATATTTTTAATGTATATGACAATATGAATAAGTAACACGATTTATAAATATCAACATTATTATATGAAATATGAATTATAGATACTACATAGGTATAAACTAAGAGGGGTCAAATACAGTTAAACGAACAATGCCCCCTTAGATGTGTCCACAGCTTTGAAATAATATAGAGTGTATTGAGCATTGCCATGTCAATGAACAATAAGAAATACATCAAATGGGCAGAAAAGTTTTTCATTCTCGTAACTCTGTAATCAGTTGATTGATTGAACAGCAGTACTTTATGATGAACCCATAGAGCATCGTTTCTCAACCTTTTTAGTGTCGCGACCCCCAAAATAGGTATAAAATATTGTCAATCACTTCGCGACCCCCCCCCCCATTTCTTCTAGGTTAGGTAAAAATTTAAACAGTAAAAATATCCTATCATTAACCCTAACGAAATATAACATTTTAAATACCAATTTATAAATACCATATCTAGTAACTTAAGCTTATCAAGTTTGTATCGGGTCGTTAGGAATTTCCATTAGTGGAGTAGTGTCCGTTTTATTGATGAGATATCTACATTTAATCGACTGCTTATTATTGTTATTTTTAATATTATTTTTGTGTGTTATGAAACGATTAATTTATCGATGACAGTCGCGCGTCGCCCGTGTTGTTAAACTCATGTGATATTGCGTTTATTAAGTTGGTTTTTAGTGCGTCTTTTTAGTTTTGTGTAATTTGAATTAATGATTATGGATAAATATATAACAAACGTAATGCTCCGTCTACTTCTGGTGAACCGGCGAAAAAAAAATTCAGGTCATATAACAATGAGTATTTGAAGTATGGGTTTATTTAACTTGATAATAAGCCGCAATGTGTTGTTTGCTTTCAAGTTCTATCTCAAGAAAGTATGAAACCTTCAAAATTAATTCGACATCTGGAAACAAATCATCCACTTTTAGTAAAAAAACCAATTGATTTTTTTGAGCGTAAATCACTTTTTTTTAAAAAATCAACAAACTTGTATTCTTAAATCAAGTCAGAATAATACCGCAACACTTGAAGCATCATATTTAGTAGCACTTAGGGTAGNGCAAAAGAAGTAATTAAAATATTAATTAAATTAATTAAAATTAGAATTTAAAATATTTTTTAAAGATCGAAATACAACATTTTTAACTTTTTTCCAAGATAATGAGACATTACTATTTTTGGCTTATTTGAGTGATATATTTTCATATTTGAATGACTTGAATATAAGCTTACAAGGCCGTGAAAAGAACATTCTAATAATGTCAGATAAAGTTAATGCTTTTATCAAAAAAACTTGGTATTTGGATCATTCGTCTCGAAAAACGAAATTTTGATGCATTTGATTTAACATCAATTAACATTGAAAAAAATGTAAACTTAAAAAGTCCTATTCTTGATCGTGTTTTGGATACCACGAAAACACATTTAAGAGAATTGAAAATTCAATTGCTCGAATATTTCTCATTTAACGACAATGACTTCTCAAATAGATGGGTTCTTAATCCATTTGATGAAAATATTGTTGCAGTTGCCAAATTACCAGTTGATACTCACAACCAACTGATAGAATTATCAGCTGATAAGATATTACAGCTACAATTTGCATCTCAAGATTTAAATAAGATTTGGATCGCCCGGAAAAATGAATATGGAAGTTTGGTAACAGAGGAATTGAAAATTTTGATTCCGTTCGCGACTTCTTATTTATGCGAAAAAGAATTCTCATCCATGGTGGCAATAAAAACTAAGTATAGAAATCGTTTATCACTAGAATTAACTTACTTTTATGTATGTGTTTCAGATGTTGAACCACAAATTAGGCAACTTTTAAATTTAAAACAAATTCAAAAATCACACTAATTATTTATTTTTATGTATATCCTTATCGGGATAATTTTATTATTATTATTTTAATTTTTTCAATAAAGTCTTAAATATTTAAATAAAAGGTAAATTTTTTAAATCAGCGTTTTATTATTTTTGACCTGCGCGACCCCGAGTCAAGGTGTTCGCGAACCCCCTGGTTGAGAAACGCTGCTATAGAGTAACACTACGGCTGATCCAAACCCAAGGTCTAATTTACATATTGAAAATACTTTTAAAATTAATTTAAATACAATCATTAATTAGTTCAATGTAGACTCAATACAAAGATGAAGAAGAATTTGATTGATGTAAATATTTAATTTTAGTTTTAATAATAATTGACTTATTACAGATTTTTTAATACTTTTGATTATATTAATTACAAACATCAATCATATGTTTTAATCATTATATTTTAAAGTCTATTGATATGAAATAAACTTTGATCTTGTAAATCTGCTAACATGGTTATACAATTTGTGTCATATAAAAGATCTTAAAGAAAATAATTATGTCTTTGTTTTGTTTTTCTTTGTGTCCCCTAAGTTTTAAATAAAAGAAATATTTGGTCATGAAAACACATATATCCATAATTTTAATTACTAGAACATAAATAATTCACATAACTCATCTAATTTAGCGGGTTCAATTTTTTTAATTATATATTCAAAAATACACCAAGTCAAAATAACATCAGTCACGGGGTCATGGCAATGTGTGATCTCATGAGACTGTTTGCATACTAGATCATGGGTCTCCTTTAAATTAAGAACCCTACCATTTTTCTTATGATACCCAATATTTACTGAAAATAAAACTTTTGTATTCATATTATCTAATTTGAGACTAAAATAGTTGTTATTGGCTTCACTTTATTTAGTTAAGTTGAGGTATGCTCTTACATTGGGCACCCTTAACTGTTCAAATATTACTTTGTCAGTGTTTCCTGCCCAGAATACAACTATGGGGGCTCTGTGTTCAAATACTCGTTTAAAAATAAGGTACTCAAATTTGATTTCTGTACATTTAGACTTATGTCAAACTGTTCTAAAAATAACTTTGCTAACTTTGGCTTTTTACGATAATTCCTTGTAATGTCATTGGTGATTTTCCCATAATATCATCACCTAAATGCCCGAAGTTTATCATTGGTAGTTAAAACCAACGGCCTTCCCTGTAGCTTGACTGGTTTATATTTGTCGAGGGTGCTTGCTAATGCTCCCAATGTTAGTAACAGATCCACGATATCTATGGAAGTGAATTCAAAATCCATTATAATAAATTTTATTTTGTCACTGGAAAAAAAGATAGCATTATTATGGTATATATATGTTACTGGCAAAAGTCACGATTGGGCAAATCTCGAAAATGCCTGGGCAAAACACGAAGTCTCCACAATACTTCGAAAAAATGTCATAACTCGGCTTTTACCTGGACAAACCTAGTTGTGACCAACCTCATTCAATCTGTAATGTAAATTTTGTAAGGTAAATTTCAACTTTTCACAATAGGTAGGTATCATGTTCAAAATATTACAATACTCTACTTTTATTATTATACAATTATTAATCCTTACATGGAAATATCTGGTTTTTGACAAATAGTGACAATATAAATAAACATTTGGGCAAAACCTTAGCTACTTTTGTTGTAAGATTTTTTAAATATATTTATTTATTAAATTAATAAGATTTATATATTTATAAAATAAATGTATGGATGTTACAAATTTGCCTGAATGAAGTTGGTCACAAATAGATTTGTCTGGAAAAAAGCTGAAATATGCAGTTTTGTTCAAGTATCATGCAAAATTTCACCTTTTGCTCAGGCATTTATGAGATTTGCCCAATTTCGGCTTTTGCCCATAACATATATATAAATACAAAAAAAAAAAAATATATAAAATGCAAAATTTAATTCACAAAATTTTTTCAGCAGTTTAGGCAGGCAATATTTATAATTATACTAATAGCTGTATATACTTTGAATATTATTTTATATATCACTTGGTTTTTACCATCTTTTACCCCTTTTCTTAGTGAGGAAAATTAATGATCATGAAAATGAATGCTTTTCTTTATGTTAAGTCAGGTAACTATAGGCAAATACAATTTTTTTTATACCGAAACACAAAAACCTAGTCAATATTTTGAACAATATATAAATAAAAACTATACTAAAAATAAATTTATTTTTCTTTATTTTTTACTATCTTTATACTTTTTATATTTTTCACCCAGTGGGTATTCAAGTATTTAATAAAAAAAATTTAGGTTGAAGAAACTATTGTCTTATATTGTACTAATACATTTTAGATTCTGAATGTAGTAAATTTATTAGTTTTACAATGGTATTTTTATTTTTTATACTGTGACAAAAATGTTTATCAGATATCTTGCTTCAATGTGTAACTATGGCACCTTTTCTGAAAGGACATTTTTTTCAGATGGAATTTTAGATTGACCTTATTTATTTTCCAATTGGTTTTCATAATATATGGGGAAACCCAATATAAACTGTAAGAAAAGCGGAAGAATTGAATCTGAAAATAATGCTTTTATTATTTTCTACTTTGTTTTTTGTTGTCATTTAGTTTAAAATATTAGTAGAGACTTAAAAATTTCACAGAATACTTATATTTGTCTTTTCTAGACATGATAAAATTTTCATTAAATTTAAGCCGATTTTGAGCTATTTATAAATATTTTAATTTTGCGAGTTTTGAACGTAATTTTTATATGGTAGGTACTCTGTGGTAAAATTGTTAGACTTAACAGAAAAGCTTTGTTTTTTTTTATCTTAACCGGATATACAACTGTAAATATGTTAAGCTTTAAAACAATATTAATTAATATTTGATACCTAGTGACAACACTAAATAACTAACAATGAAAATCATGGTTCTCAAAAATATTTTGTTTAACAAAAAGTTTCATTAAATGGAAGTACTATATAAAAAATTTCTCTGTATTATAATATATTACACATTGAACTAGAACATTGTATAAAATATTAATATAAAGTACTAACCGATATTAGGTCAATACCTCTTGACATAACAATAAAATAAATATAAAAACTGGAAATACTCCACTTCATGAATATAGGTGTGAAGTTAGAAAGGTATAGGATATAAGGTATTTTAATTTATATGATGAATGCAACAATAATTAATTGCTATCGAAACAAAACAATTCTGAACAAAGCTCAATAAACTTCTCAGGTTATAGATTTATCATTATTAAAAAAAAGTGCTTACAGTAATACAAACAATTTGTTTATTTTAATTTCTAATATTATCATTGTAAGAGAGCTGCTAATTTGGTTTTTAAAACCAGAAGTGTCATGGACTCAAAAATATTGAAAACTACTGGGTTATACTGTTATAGTATTAACACGGTTCTTTCCCTTATAATCAATGATAGAAATTAAAAAAATTAAAATCCTTGTTTTTTTTTATATTAATGATATTAATTATTTTTGAAATCGTTTTGATCAAATAAAGTACAATCAGGTGAAAAATCTACATAAATAGGATCATTTTTACTAAGCAAAAGTGTTTTTCAATTAAAAAAACCCACATCTTTCTAGGTAATACTACTAACACTTTTATACAGTTTTATTATACACTTAAAATATTAAATATATATATTTGTTTTATTTTTATATTTTTAAGTATTAACTATGTTAATAACTTATCACAGTTCAAATTTACGTAAAAATAACTAATTTGCTTACTTTGAATTAAATAGAGAATCTTCAAAGCTTTTATTAATTTCCATGGTAGATTCCATGATAGGTTGATTTTAATTATTATTGTAGAATAGGTACTGTGAACATTAATTACAATTTTAATACATAGATAGGTAGGTATTTAAATGAATTATAATAAAACAGGTCCTCAAGTATAACAATAAAATATCATTAGTATCAAGAATAATCACAGACAAAAAGAAACTAATTACATAAAAGAAAAATAGTTTTACCATACACACCTACTCAATATTTATTTTTTTCCAATTTACAAACTTCAGTACAATTATTACAATTTTATGTTTAGTGATGTTTTAACAAATATTTTCAAAATATGTAAACAATAAACTCAACTCATAACATTAATATATCTGTGAAGACAGCAGCTCCGTCTTAGTTAGATTCTATATAATTGATAAAAAATTGGTTATTACCACGTACGTAAAATTGCATTCACTAGAATAATAAGGAGTAATTTAATATCGATTAACTATCAAATTTTAATATTGCTTTACCAAATATACCAATTTTTACATATAATAAAACAATAATATTATGTCATGCGATTTAGTTATAACTGGGGCCCGGATTTAAATGCATTAAAAATCATTGAAAAATGACTTTAAAAAATGTATTTTATAGCGAAAAAACCCTTAAAAATTTAATTTACATTTTTTAAATTTATGGAGCTATGTTTGATTGATGAATAGTAAAAACCTGAAAAACATGGGTAATATTTTGAATTAACTAAATTTAAATTATTTATTAAATTAACGAATATATTTATAGTTTTGTTAGAACTATCCGCGATTGAAAGCGAAAGAATCGCTACTTATTAGAATTCGTTATAACTGTTTTATCGGGGAATATATACATTTGGTTACATCATGTTGAGACATATGAGTACTGAGTACTGACTTCTGAATTTGTTTGTAATAATCTTGTTTCGTTGTAATAATTATGAATATAGCTTTATCTGTTGACGTGATGAATGACCATAATTATTATTCTAGCTAAATGGATAATAAAAATGCATAAACTAAATAAAAACTTGTTTTAACTTATATAATGTATACCTAGGTACCATAAGTAAAACTTTATTTAAAAAAATAAAAAGACGTCCTAGGATAGCAACTACTGCAGCTACTGTTATAGGTAATTTAATGTATATCTGTTACTTGTTAACAACGATTAACTTTGTTAACGAAAAACGATTCTGATCAGAGTTCAGTTGATAGTGATGCTTTGTAAACAATATACATGTCATATTATGGTAAAATAATTAAAAAGGACATAGATACTTCGCACGACTAATAGGCCATTGAGGTACATAGGTAAGAAATTGGAAAGATAGGATGTAGAGGGGAATTTAATGTATGTCTGTACGCAACGATTAATCTTTGCTAACGAAAAATGATTCTGAGCGGAATTTGGTTATACATGTTTTAAAAGGCCGTAATATATACGATTTGGAAATAATACATTTTGTTAATTTTCCCGTGTTTTACCTATATTTCCCATTTATTATGGAAACCCCTAGGAAAATGCCCCCGATTAAGTCACTCTAGTCAGACTTCCTTTCGGAAAAAGTGCTGTACTTGAAAATTGGAGCAAAATTGCTGGTAGAAAAGTTATTCACAGATAAAAAAAATAAAAATAAAATAAACATCATTGTGAAATCAATACAGGGACCAAAATGGATTAAGGTGATATCGCCTAATGTCAATTTGTTCCACCCAGGGATACCATAGTAATAATGTTTTTTTTTTTTTCATATACATTACGTGATACCACCGCTAACAAATCGTTTTTCGTTATGAGCTATGGTACTACGTACCTATTGCTTTGTGTGCGTTGAAAACGTTTTCTTTTTCTACTGCACAGTGCACACAAAATCTCTATGTCTTGAATAACGTTCCATTATATGGCGATAAATAAAAATACTCAAATCAAAATGGAGAGCGCAGTCGATACGATTAAACCGTCCAATTTAAGTTCTAACGCGTACAAAAAAAAATGTCTTACCAATTCTGAATATTATACGATTGCCAATAAAATAGATTCATGGATCAATAACTCTGATTTTGTTTTAAACAAATATGGTAAAATAATCGACAGAGCACTAAGTGAATTTTCCTAGTAAGTGATAAACTTATTACTTTATTGTATTACTGTAATGGCCACATTGGTTTAAAAATATCAATATTGAAAGCTCTGTACAGCACTCACTTTTCATATTTCTATTAAAAACTAAAGATTACTCCAACTAATTAATATTTTGAAATTATTTTTAATACCAGAAGTGGCATGAAGTTATGTAATATGCAAGATAACAAATAATTATTCAACTTACTCATCCACTATTTATTGATAAAATGCCCTAAAATAAAATAAATTGATCTAATTTAACTCGCCTTTTCTGTTTAATTCCTTTTGCAAAAACATACAAGTTTAAGTCAACTCATTCTATTTCCTATTTAGTTATCTTACATACTGTGAGTCTACACCCACAAAACTAATCTCGTGTTTCCACTGTTTAATACATAGATAAACCATCGAGTGTGCATTTAAAATAAAAAACAAATAATTAATATTTTATTTCTAATGTTACAACAATTTTTACTACTTTTCAATTGTTGTATAATATATTTAATTTTGTGAAGAAAATATAAAACTATATACTTTTTGTTTTTATTGGCTAGTACCATGTATAGGTATTTAGTATATTACTGACATTAAGAATGAATAAATGGGTTAAATAAAACATGTACAAAATACAAAATTGTTGATGTATAATATTACATATTCAATAGTTTTCAATAAAATAAAATTACATTTACCTAATAACATGGAAGTTGAGTCTGATTTTTTTATTGTCTGATGAACAAATTATTAATGTACCTACATGTACTTCATGTGAAAATTTAATAATTGATCATTGGATTTTCAATAATTGTAAACATGTATAAATATTTAATAAGATTAATTTGATATTTGTTGTACACTGATTACTTCACACTAATATATTTTTTTTTTCTAGTCTATATGAATATACTGTGATAAGTATTGTTGACTCTCGAATTCAAAACTATGTTCGTCAACGTCATCATAAAGTTTTTAACACTTCAAATAATTCTCCAGCGAATTATTTAAAAACAAACCCATTCTCAACTACAATTTCACCGTATCAGTACCAACTAAATTATAAGCGCACAAATGTATTGTATAACAGGTTAAAATTTTTATCCAAAATTCTACTTTTCATTTTATTTATTTTGTAAATTCAGATAAATTATTATATACTTATTAGATACAAAGAATTGATTGCTGGTGGTGATATGAAATCTCCATTGATAATGTTGGCTGATAATCTGCGTATGCCAGCCATGTTAGTAGCGAAAAATGTGCTGGAAGAACACATAAATGAAGAAAAATTAAAAAATCAAATGGAAGAGCATTATCGCAATTATAACTTATATACAGACAATAATGCAACACTATCAAGACAAGATATTTATGTTACCAAATCATTAGATTCTGAATTAGACTCTACAGCTAATGTCGACGTTCAGTTATCGCAAAGTTTAAACTGGCTTAGCAATAAACTTATTTCAATGAGAAAAGTTTCATCGCCTACTGATTTACAAGATGAATCTAATAACAGTTTCATTAATAACCATTCATATTATAACCCAAAAACTACTAAATATGCTACACCACACCAACTGGCAAATTCTACGTGGTTAATACGTACAGATCCACTTTTGGCTTACCAAGTATTCAAATGCTCTGTAATAGACGGTTATTATGGGTCATGTGTTGAGTTTATTAAAAGGTATTAATTTGTGTATTCTATCAGGAATGCTTTGGTCTAATTAACATTTTTTTTTTTAACGTGATGTATTTTATTACAGTTGTACGGGTCGACGATATGAACAAATCTTGGAGGAAAATATAAATTTTATAACTACGGGTACCAAGGCAAATAGCATCGACGGTTCTGCATCGTACATAACAGAAAAAGAGTGTCGTCTCCGCGGATTAGACATGACACCCGATACGGTTCTTAACGAACCCATTGCTGTTTCATTATCTGATACCAATAATGATATGAATGACAATGATGAATATACTGCTACAAATTACATTGGAAAAAATGATAAGGAAATACGAGTGTTAAATTGGATAGAATCAAAAGCTATGTTTGGAGGTCCAGATCAGTTACGTACTTATATGCCTCGTCAGTTATTTCCTTATTGGAATCGTTATGGCCCTGGAGCTGTGATCTTCTGGTTTGGACATATTTTAGAAGATGGCGAAGAAGATAAAGTTGTCCATCGTGGTGTTTCGATAAACAAAACCACCTATGAGAGGAGCGCTTTGAGTAGATTTCATAATAAAACCGTTTATGATGAATCTTCTGCATTTAGTTTTTGGTCTAAATATTGTCTATTAATGGATGGATTTCCTGAATCTAGCAGAGTTTTACAGTACAATTATAATTAGCAATCGGTTTAATATTACAAAAAAGAAGAATTCTACAACATTTTAAATGTGTACATTGTATTGACCTTTATTATAAAAATAAAAGCAAACATTTTTAATTAAATACTTATTATAACAGTTATGAATTGATTAATTAATAATACTAAAAGTAGTTATTTTATTAGTAGTAAATTTATGTAGCAGATTGTTTATAAGATTTGGTGTTTAAAATTCGTACACCACACATAGCACAGATTCCTTTTTTATACGCACAACTTTGACAGTAATGTCTCCCCGGTTCGTGTACTTTTTGTTTACATATTCTGCATGTACCAAATGCATACATCATTGTAGATTTCGTTTGAGATTTGGATCCTGACATAGTCTTGATTTTTCCAATGGTTTGTAGGTGTTTATTGTCTTGTTTCTTCACAAGACCCGTGTCAATTGCATTACGACATCCTTGTTTCCACGGATCGGGCGTGGCCGTGATACCCATTTTATTTTCACACTTTTCACAAACCATGGCTTCGAATTTATTGAGTATCGTTGATTTTCTTTTAAAACTGAATCATAAGCAAATGATCCGCGAACTCGAATAATTTCAATTCTTATTATTCTTGACTTCTCGATAACGATAAGAAAGCGAGATATGATAACGCGTAACAAATAGTACCTACCATTTAATACCGCAGTTATTAAAGTTTACAACCGTAATCATTACCATACTGTTACCGCGGTTGCTTTTATCTATGGTTGCAGTGAAGATAACAATCAAACAAAAACAAAATATTATATAGGTACGTAATACGTATCATAGTCAGTGGACAAAAACTACAAGGCATTGCATGAACATTTTTTTTTTTTTTAATGTAAAATACATCATTATTATTGTTATCATAAATGCATAACACTACTAAAAAAATATAAACATAAAATATTATGTGGCTATTTTCTATCTGGAATTGTTTCATGTCTAAATTAAGAACTATTATAATAATGTGTAGGTACCTACCTATGCGATGTATCGTGTAAAATAATACAAAACATTAGCTACATTTTAATTAATACAATACTATTAGCCTACAACTTTAGATTGTTATTATAAATACCTAATAATAATTAGACTGTATTACAAAACAAAATTGTATTTTTGATATAACACGCCAATAATGATATAAAATTATTGTACCAAGTTGGACAACTTTTAAAACGTAACACCACGTGTAAGTATTTATAATATGGACGGTATTAGTAGATATAAAGACAAAAAAAATGTTTAAGTACAATAAATTTAAACATAGATATCTATATAATAAGTATTTAAAAAAAAAAAAAAAAATAGATATAATATAAGAGTAATAAATAATTATTAATTAATACAATACATTTTAATACCTATATTATAATACCCTGTTTTTTTGTATAATTGTATTTTGTAACCTTCTCGGACGGATAAACAATAAAATAAAATATTTATAGAGTACATTTGTATAGAAGAAATAAAATGTAATACAAGAAGTAGGTATATTATACCTATACCAATCATTATAATTAGGGCCAACATTTTTATGCATTTACATAATTTTATTGGTTGGTCAAAAAAAAAATAGCAACTTAATACCAAAATGTGTTTCATGACCTAATGAGTGTATACAAAAATTAATTTTTTAATTTAATTTTAAAATTTTTAGGGTAAATTTTAGAATTTTAAGCGGTTTTAGAGCATATTTCATTGATTTCTTAAACTTTTAAGACATTTTTTTTTAACCCAATGAGAATCGCAAAATAACTGTTCAAAATGTATTAATATCAGTATTCAACAGACAAGCTGATAATATATTAGGTACCTGTGTTTTAGATAAAATAAAATAATAATTCAAATTTCTTTTGATAAAAGTATTTTTGTTTGGTTTTCAGATAAAGCGATACATAATATATTAATAGGGAACGGATTTTGATGCAAAATACATTTTTCAGTGGGTGGCATGGGGCAATGTTTTCCACGTACATAATTCGATTCATACATCAGAGAATTTAAAAATGAAACTTTTATTTTGCCTTTTTTAACTTGTTTGGTTTTTAAAGCTTTTTTCATCTTGAGGTAATTGTTTTTATATATATATTTGTTGCTTGGAATTATAAAAGTTTTAAAAATATACATTAAATGCAAATTGTTTTAAATGTTTCGTTTTGCCTCGTAAATTAGTTATTTTTACGAAGACCTATAAGTAATTCCCATCGGAGGACCGTGGCCGTATCGTTAGTGCGAAACGAACTCAATCGTAAATAACCTCGATAACGACAAATAACCAATACAAAATTAATGGGTGTCCGATTATTAGTGGGTACTCGTATAGAGCCGTCGTCAGTCGTACGCCAGTGTTCGCTCAATTCGAATAGCCGTGAAAGATGCCGAAAACTAAAGCTGACCCACTCTATTCGAAAATGGAGCATGTCACATGTTCGGCACATGAACTGCACAGGGTTACAGAAGATGTGCGTAGACATTTTCCAAAAGTAGACGCTTTAACGTCAAATGTCAAGAAAATATTTTTAAAATGTCCATCTCGAGTACTATAACATTTAAAGAAACAGCACCAGGAATTCTTGCGCCACCACAACCGATATAAATTGGTGGGGGGTACATGGTTAATGGCGGCTATATATTATTGTGAACATTACCAATTGATTAAATCCGTTGTAATGGAATTCGATAAAGACGGCGCTGCTGTTGCAATTGAAAATGCACAAACATTACTGGCCGATAATAGTTTGGAATTTAATCTAGCGTTTATAAAAGCGAACTACGGTGACTTACCGAAATGTATAATAACTTTACAAACGTCTGGGTTATTGTCGGCCGATGCAATCGGTATTATTGATAAAGTAAGAAATGAAATCGGAACAGATAAGAGTAAAATAAGGAAAACCACAAATCAAAAAATTTGAAAATGTAATTGAAAAAAATAAAGAATATAAAGCGATGAAAAATATTTCAAATACTTTGGAGGGAAATATGACAATTCGAGACGATATATATCTGAAGAACTAACCCGCTGCTGATATGGCATATATGAAGTTTGTCCCAATGACTTCTTGTAACGTCGAACGAAGTTTCTCAAAACGACACTATTGGATAACCGCAGATTTTTGTTCGAAAATATCAAGCATCGTATTATTGATGAAAAAAAAAAATATAATTATAAAATTGTATAGTTAATAAATTATTCATAAATTAATTATTAATTCAAAATATTTTTCAGACTAAAACAGCAGATAAGTGAGAAGACAAGAAAAGTTCTTTTTTTATTGTATTTAATTTTTTTTTATAATGATGTGTTTTTTTATAAGCATTAAGTAATATTTTAATTTTTTTAGGGCATTGTTTAGTGCATTTTTTTAGGACTTTTTCTTATTTTTTTTTTTTTTTTAGAACATACACAGACATACAGTATAGTATTATAATAACGATATATTAAAATAATTTAGAATTTATAATTGTTTGTTTTTTTTTTTTTTTTGTTTTTGTTTTCCAAACTATTTTAAGGACATAATAATGACAATATATTAGTGGGTAATTTTTAGGCTACAGGTACACACATGTTTAAAGTCGTGTTTAGGGCGTGTTTCTGTCGGCCCTAATTATAATATCGTAACTTTATAACCTAAGAATGCAATTATAATATAACGTATAATAACGTTCTAATTTGGGGCGAGAGCGCGTGTGTGGGGGTGGTGATGGGTGTGTGTGTGTGTGTGTGTGTGTGCGTGTGCGTGCGGGTGTGTGTTTACATATGTAAATATTCAAAGAGAAAAAAAGATGCGTGCGCGCTCTTTTCACGGGCATATATGCCCAGGTGTAGATTTATATACACGTACAGTAAATAATATGATTCGGAAGGAGAAGGGGGCGGGCGGGTATTGCGCGTTTACAATTTGTCGACGATCTCGTACTTTTTACGGAAATCCAACGAACCGTCGCCGGTAGCGGCCGTGCGTCGCGAATCTTGTCTCTTGCGTTCGGCCAACCGTCTGCGCAGTTCCGCGGCCGTCATGTTCAAATTCAGCGTCGTCGCACCGGCGGCGGCGGCCGGCGTCTTGGCCGCGGCGGCCGCCGATGTCGGCGGGGCGTCTTCGGCGCCGCCGTCGTTCTGCTGCTGCGTGGGGGCGGCAAACGCACATGAAAACACAAAGGCGTCACAATCAACACAGGGCGTACAAAAAACAACTTATTTTCAATTATAAATATTGCGAAGATAAACGACCGGTGTACATTGTACGCCGTATTTGAACTTTACCGCGCGAACGTGACCGCAGGTAAAGCATTAAACGTCTCGCGGGACTCGTCGTTAAGCGCGACACCGCTCGTTTGTCTTCTGCTCGTTGCGTTCAACATCATTACGGAGATTGGGCAAAAGATGAACGAGGACTCGGGCGAGTCCGAAACAGGTTTGTTTCCTACGCAGCAGCCCGTATCCCCAAAATAATACACCCGTCATACGACTATTACGCAATTCGTGGCACATTGGAAATTCCACAAATTTCATCCCGCCGAAAAGCCATTGACGCGCAATTTATCTGCCCGCACTCTCTTAAGAGGGGCACCACGGACGCTCCTGATCCCCTATCAAACGTGAGTTTCCGTATCCCTTTATTCTTCTACAGACACCACGCCCACGGTACATCCAACGGCAATGACCACCCTTTACACGGAATGCCTCGCAATTTAAATGGCCTTAATGATTTTGATTTCAACCACGAGTAATTAAACGCACTAGTTGTAATGTTTTTATATTCCATTTAATTTTTATTTGTTTTAGTGTAGGGTGGTAATATATTACCATCTAATTTGTATTTTGCCGTTACTTTTGTCGTTACTGTGTATTATTAATATTCAATTATAATTAACTGTTACCTGTAAACCAAACCCTAAATGTAATCATAAAACTGCCGACTGGCGTTTGTAAATAAATAAATTATTGTTATACGGTTACAAAAGTCATCGCTATAATATTTTATTATTATATCGGTCACGTGCGTGTAATATTATTGAGTTGTTTTATATTTTTCTACCCGTAAACAATTAATGCATAAATAATACCCGATAATAATGTTTGAGAATAAATGGGTTTTTCGGGCCGTCTGCAAAGGGCGCCCAGCTAAGTGGCGAGCGGAGAATAAGGAAAACCGACGGATTAGATATAGAAACGCTCTCCCATAAACCCAGTATACTGGAAACGACGAAGCACTGCAACAGATTACAGATTAGCCGGACATGCTTGGCGTGGCCAAAACCCACTCCTACTGGGAAAAAACCGCTGGGAAGATTACGTCCGAGAAGCGGGGATGTAGTAAGAGATGATGTGAAAGCGTTAGGGGGAGGTTTAGACTGGAGAATATAGGCATCAGGCAGAGAGAACTGGGGGCAAGGTTGTATGTCGGGATGGTCCTAGAGCCCGAGAGTACTGGAGAAGAAGAAAATACATAGGTGCATTATAATATTATCTTTGGTCACGGGGCATCGTTTTTTAATCGCCCCTCCCCTCTCCATTCTTAGCTTTTCATCTTCTGCACAACCTGCCGGTATCGTTGTTCTCCACTAATACACACGAATAGTTTTTTTTTTAACAGTTTTGAACAGCGGTTTATAACCGACGGTCAGTTCTGGAATGTCACAGTTGTGATCCGTCACTGTCTCACTAACACGACATCGGAGGTCAAGTGTCCCATTTGTCCCCCTGCCCTCCGTAACTACGCCACTAACGTAAATAGTAAATTAATTAATAGTAATAATTACTATAACACCCACCCAGTAATTCGATTTCAACGATAATAAATTTTAGAGCAGATTTTGTGTTTAAATATTATTTCCGAATTTGTACAACATCAATACGTACATTGACACAATTTCCAAATTTAACACGTCCCTCCTTGGTAAAATCTTAAATACGCCATTGACGCGCCCTGCTTAATCGTATATCATTATTATTTATTGTGTTTTTGTCCGGCACACGCAATAAACCGAGGCCTGCAGTATAATTTGAATGCCATTACGAATTTGCCAATTATTATACTCTGTAGAATGGTCGTCCGAGGTATGTTATTTACATTTTAAACGATTTTAGAGATAAAATATCTATTGTGTATGCGTAAACGGCGATTGGGGGGCGGGAAGTGCTTAATCTCCCATCGAAAGTTGTCATAAGGACCTCTAGGTAGGTAGGTACTATCTTTTATACAGATTTGTCATATTATTATTGTATATGAAAAAAAAAAAAAAGTTGCAAAAATAGATATCGTATTATTGACTTCATGATGATATCGACCAATACGTACCATAGCTATTTGAATAGTACAAAATGATGCATATTATGAGAGGTCCACTCGAAAATATTACAATTCTCTATCTCCTTAAATTATCTCTAAAATCACTCTAAACGGTATCTACCGTAAACCGAGATTTTAATTCGCGGTATTATATCTACCTATTTATTTATTTTTTTTTCATTATTTATTTCGCGTAAACGTGTTTTCGAACGAATTTCACAATAAATACCTATGCACTAACCTATAATACTTGCGATACAATGAACATTATTGTAATTATCATCATTGTACAATATGTACCTAGAAAGTGAATTTGAATGTGTACGATACAATTTGCGTTTGTACACGGAATCCCGTTAAAATTGCCGCCCACAATGTTGCACGATGGCGCCCGCTAAAGAATAAATGGCAAACGATCGACGAAACGGCAAATTTTGTAGTGAAGGTAACAAAATATGTGACACGGCGAATCCCCCGCTGGACCCCGTTCCGAGATCCACCCACGGGCCAAGGTCCCGTTAAGTTAAAGGGTAGATTAGGTCTTTGATGCACCCGGAATATTATTGCGCGTGGATAGTTTTGTCGAGCCGCGCACGTGATAAACGATAATTTTAAATATCGAATTCGGATACAAAACCGGCGGAGTCTATAGCGACCAGTCGAGTATTTAAACGATCAGCGTTGCGTGAATATTGTGAAATATCGTTCGCGGTGTGTTTAAACGAACGAGTTTTTATTATTGGTGGAAGACGGTATTCCACGGTTTTCGGTATAGTTACTCCGGAACCCCGACCAACCGGGAATACTTTTTTATGAGTAGGTACTCGGTTCCCCTCCCCCCCCCGAGAGGAGTGTGTGCCATTTCCATCGCGAGGACGGTTATCGCCGTCGAGAACTCGAGACGGGCGACGGGAACAATCGAACGATGATAGATAATTGAATAATAATATTAGAAAAAAAAAAAAATAATAAATATAATAATAATAATAACGGAAAGATTATTATTGGTCGAAATGAAAATAATCGAATGATTCATTCGGATAAATTACGATACACGTCATAATACAGGCTCGAACTGGTTACTTATATAAAACAATAATCGTCCAACGATAATAATCTATTAGCGTGGAATTTTCTCTCTGTATATTTCGTTACGCAACGTAATGGATTTATAATATTTATAGCGGTGAAAAATAAACGATTATCTTTTCGTTCGACCGACGACAATTATTATTATTATTATTATTACGTAGGCGTATAACACGCGGTCACATACGGTTCCACGAATGTTGTTACCGGGCACGTTATCGGGACGATACATTATCGGGCAAAATGTCGCGCGGATACCGTTCGGTATCCTCGACATTATTTCGATTGTTATTGGGCCGTCGTCCCCGCTCGAGAGACGCGTAGCGGAATAACGGGCAGGCCGAATCGGACACGCGTCGTCGTCGTTCAGAATAAAATTCAACAACACCGCGCGCAACAGCTGAATTCGCCGTACGGTTTGCAGTCGCATAAATTACGTTTACAAACACGTATTTCTCGGTTATTCAAATACGAAAATGCAGCGCCTATCGCCGCAGTATTTCACAACCGACCCATGTGCATTTACGCCCAAGAACATCGAAACTAGTTTTAAACAGAAAGAACGCGGGGAGAAAAAAAAAAAACCCATACAACTAGTTTCGCGTCGAGTACAATAACGCGTATACATATATATACGTACACGCACACGCTACTGCCTGCACAGGCAGGCGGGCAACTCGGTCGGGTCGCAATGTGGAAACATCTGATGGGAACATCAGAGTCTTCGAACGGCTAAAACGAGTACGAATCCGGCAAATTCGATGGTAAAACGGGCTACACGCCGGGCTATTAAAACGCGACTGGGCGGGCAGGCGAGAGCGGTTGTCCGGGTTCATTGTTACCGGGTCTGAGAGGAAATACGGCGAAAACGATAGAAGATAATAAATAAAAAAAAAAAACTCCGGCTGTCGACAAAACGTCCGTGTAAACGTGAGCGGCCGCGTCGGATGCGCGATGGAACATCCGCACACACGATGATATCACATTCTAACGCCCAAGAGGCCCGGGGACATTATTATTGTTGCGACGGCGCGCGTTGTCCCGCGGAATCGACCCGAAAAGCACGGACACGACGTAACTTTTACGCGGTTCCGAAACGAATGGGTTTTGTTTTTTTCTCTCTGTTTCGCGGGCGATAAACACGCCGGCCGTGCGGATATGGGCCCGCTGCCGCCTAATGTATTTCCGAATTATGGAAATTAATTTTTTTCTTACCGCTCGGTCGTGTAACGGAGGAGAAAAAAAAAAACCACGACGTTGTTAGTTTCGCATAATATTACTGTGAATTATCGCCGTCAAGGTGTATGGCCGTGCACGCTGTGTTACGAACATCGCGAGCGCATTAGAATATTGGCGGGCATACACGATGGTGGGGAACGTCCTCGACCGCGTTTTTCACGAGTCGCGCGCGACGGCGGCGGCGGTGCCCTAGAGTCCTTGGCTAAAAACCTACGGCGGCCACCCACGCCCAATAATTCACGGAAAATTTAGGCGATTTTTTTTTTTCTTTTCCTGCCGCAAGAACAATTATTCCGAGGCGCGCGCGCGCACGGGTACGCGGGCCCGGGCGGGACGTCTCGTTTACAAGACAATCGAGTTGGAAGTCGCGGGAACAAAATAAAATCGCCTACACCACAGGTACCTGCAGTGTCACGTACCAAATGAAACGCAAACGCTCGAGAGAATTTAATTGTTGTAACTTGCCTGTTGCTTATTATCCGCGCTATCGTCGACAACCGGCGCGCCGCCGATACTCGCAGTCTTCGGACTCGAATCGTTTACATTCGGTTGCAACGCAAGACATTCGGGTGTCGGCTCTTCGGGTGTACGCAACACCAGCACTTGCAATCCCATGTTCGAGTGCACTCGTATTCCGTTCTCTTTGTAATACGTGTCGGCCCGACGGTCGACCACCAATAACGAACAGCGGCTAATCGAATTGTCCGCGTCGTTACTACCGGGCTCCGGCGCGGATCCCTTTTTGATACGGGCCACGACCTTCGAGTGCGTCTCTCCTTCTATGTCCTGGCCATCGACCTGCACGATCCTATCGCCTTCCCTGAGTCCCGCGCTTTCGGCAGGACTTCCCCTGTCCACTTTGCCGATATACTGGCCTCCAGAAAACGGCAGCCCGCTCGCTGCGGTGCCGGTACTGCTGCCGTTGGCGGGCACGACGGACGTTTTCGACTTTTCGGCGTGCAGGTTGAATCCGTACCCATCGAAATGCTGCGGCCAGGTCCGCAGCATACACAACCTGACGGTCGGCTCGGCCATCTGATGCTCCTCGTTGTTGTCTATGGACATTTCGGACAAACTTCAATACCGATTCGGTTCGGTCAGCGTTTAATGTCGACACCGGTCCGGTTGGAAAACGTTCAAAATTATGCAACGGTATTATGGTTTCTAGGTATACAAAATAAATGAATGTAATCCGAGTGGTGTATTGTAAAATTGATGTCTACCACCGTACACGACAACTGTTAACATTAACTGCTACGAGAATACTATTTAGTATTAAACGTCCAACAGCTAAAATACAAGTGTGTGACAGCCGACAGGTGGTCGCCACGATTATAGGTAATTATTATGCGTTTACGAATACATCTCGTTACTAACTTCTGTACAATAATCTCGTTATCAGTTTTATGATAATACAATTTTATCATATGGAATTTTATTACAATATCAAAATTCAATTTTAACAAATTACACAACGTTATATGTTATGTATTAATCACTATTTATTTTCAACAAACATATTAATGTGTTAGTTTACAAACAAAGAATTATAGATACCTACGATATCTAAAAGTTCTTCTCATCAAGTGATCCACAAATCGGATAAAAACCCTAATGCATATCTTATTGTAACATACATAATAATATGTCAACAGCTGCTAATTGGATACATACGTTGATTAACGCACCTACCTGTGCGTACACCAATAGGACATTTTAAAATAAAATAAATTAACAGAGTTTTGTTTTTAATATTCTAGTATCGCTCTAGTTAAAGGCTTAAAGTTTCCACACAACTTATTACATCCGCATGCTGAAATTCTGCATCACCTTCATTAAATAACTTCAAAAGTTTCTCTTTTTCCGTATTACCAGAATCTGCTTGGTAAAATATACGTAATTGGTTCACTAAACAAGATGATTCAACAGCCGATAACAATTTTCCATCATATGTAGCTCTCATTAGCACGCACGATTCGTCATTGGAATCAGTGTTGTTGATTTTATCACTGTTGCAAAGGTCTGTATAATATTCCACAGTCATACATTCTGGTGCGTTTTCATTATAAGTCTATAATACAAACAAATAATTGTTAAGAGGACGCATATACTCGCATCTACTGTCTCAGTCCAATTACCGGGTAACACGCAAAAACAATGCTTACTCAGAATAAGTAAAACTAGCTTAATTTTGATTTTAGAGTAAAAGTACCTATTATGAAATGTATAGAGAACAATATTTTTGATGGAATGTCATACGGCTTTTGTATTAAAAAATATACAACTCAATATAAAAGGTACAATAACCTTTTTTTTGTTGTTTTTTAAATAACTAACTTTTCTAATATAGTCATGAAAGAAAGGCACTGTGCTAGCTCAAGTGTACCGAGTAGAAGTGCGATCTAAACAAGAAAGGGGGCGTCACTGACCGGTTTTTGTTAAAACGCGATACCTTTCTTTTGTGAGACAGAACACAGTTCATAATTCAAAAAATACCTAGGGTATTCCCTCCAAACTATTGTTCTTTATAAATGTCATAATAGGTACTTTTATTCTAAAATCAAAATTTTACTTATTCGGCGTAAGCATTGTTTTTGCGTGTTACCCGGTAGTTAGTCTGAGACATTAGATGCGGGTATAATGTCTTCTTAACCGACTTGAAGAATAATAAATGCAAAATAATATGACAATATATTGTTTTTAAATGCTACCTGATAACTAATTAATGGAGTTATGTGTACTGAACAGTTAAGCAATTTATGTTCTTGAAAATGTTGAAATTGGATAAACATGAACTCATACCCATTATTGCGAGGCAGCGGAAGTATAAACTAAAATTATAAAATAAATCATTTATCATAGTATACATATTTTAAAACATAAAAGTAAACGTTAATTACCATGGGATATTTAATTGATTGGTTGTAAAATGTATTAAAATGTGTTAATGGTATAACTGCACTTAAAGTTTCATCACGGTTCTTATGGTAAGCCAACCATATTTCTGATATATCCCGCCATGACTTATTAAGTAACAAATCTATGTTCATAATTTGATCCAGAGTCTTTAAAAATACAAAATAATATATGATAATAAGTATAACTGAAAAAATAGGTATGGAGATTTTATATACTTTTGGCTTGACCAATAATGTTTGAGATGGTCTACGCTTAGATTTTGGATGCATTTTAATTGGAGTACTGTCAACATGATTTGATGATACTTCAGCAGTAGTTTCTGTTATTGAATCAATAGCATTATTTATCTTCTGATTTTTTGTTCGCAATTGTTGTAATGCCTCCTTGTATCCATCAGTATCTTTTCTAATAAATTAAAACAGAAATATTAATTACCAAAAAAGTTTCAAACTATTTAAAACTGATTTTATATCACATTTAAAATTACTTAAATTTAAATATTCTAAATTATTTTTTGAAAAGTTACTTTTATTCAATGACATGATCTATTTGTATCTTTATAAAATGTAATTTACACTATACTCATTACTTACCTTTTAAAGGCTTTCAATTTCTCAGCATATGATGAGTAATACGGATTTTTTTTTAAAGTATCATCTTCACTATCTGAAGAAGATTGTTGAAATGAATTAGATCTTTTAAGTGTGTGATTCAATCCATTGTTACTGGTAACCCCTGCAATTTTTAATGTACTACTAGAAGTTAAAGATATATGTTGTTGAACTTTCAAAAGACTATTATGTAACATATGCCGGTTTAACGCCATCATCATACTTGAAAAAAAACCAATGAAATAATTACCAAAAATATTAAAAAATAAGTGTTATAGAAATAATATTTAGTAATAGTCAATAGGTATTATTTCTACAGGCCGCAACAATAAATTTACATATTGATAACATAATCAGTGACAGTAAAACCGTATGAATACAATCTTACAGCCATAGCCACATTTTGATAAAAATTTATATTTTATACCTATTGAATTTGTCTTTAATAAAAATTACAATACTTACCTATAGTTTATAATTTTTTTTATTGTAGCCATTTTGGGTCTCGTGACATAAAAATAAACATTACAGAATGAATTGATGAAAAATTGTAAACTATAGGTAGGTATTGCATTGTGTTTTTTGTAAAGGACAAATGTAGTAGGTATAAATGTTCACATTTTTTTTTAAATTGAAAAAGTATTTTCAACAACAAAACATATTAACTATATTAGGATTTCACAAATTATTCAAGTTTTTTCTAAAATGTTTAAATTAGCTTATATGTATTTTTTGTTCTATAGTTTCTATTTGTTTCTAGAATTTTGTGCGGTTAATTTCTTTTTTTTTTTATATATAATTGGGTCAACATTTGGTTAGTATTTATTTTAATGTACCTATCAGATATTATGATAATTTATACCCGCGTCATATTATTCTACATTAAAGATTTTTGAGCTATACAATAAAAAAAAAAAAATTTAACAAGTTTACAAGAATTTTTAATTGTAACAATAATTATCTATTTTTTTCCTTTTATAATACAGTAAAACTTCCGCTAACGATCACCTCTATGTAACGGTTCATCATTTCTGGTCCCTTCGGTGACCGTTATATGAAGTTTTACTGTATAATATATAAAATATATTTTTGTTTTACTTATTTTCTTTATGAGAATAATTATTTTTTTTTAAATCTTTTCAATTCCTTTTTCCTCCTAGCTTTTACCAACTAAATAAATCATTGCATTTATTCTATGGAAGTAAAAGGAAATAATATTGTTACGACTTATGAGTACGTAATAGGTATAAAAATATTGAATGTATATTAAATACAATATCATTTTAAGGTTTATCAGAGAATATTCGTAAATACATAAGCATTATAAATTATAACCTACTTTCAATTTGTGTAGAGTTGTTTCAGGGCATACAAATTAAGTCCTAATAAATAATTAAATATGTTTATTGTCTCAAAAAACTTACATAATTAAGTTAACAATTTTTAAATATATATTAATTAAATTATAATATTATTGCAGCGTCTCATTATGTTTCTTGGCGATCAATAAAATTGTAACTTTTTAAAAAATTTAATGCATTTATAACAATATTTATAACTACATTTTTACAAATCAAATAACATTTTTTTTTAAACCAGAATATTTTTTAAAACAATTTATATAAATAATTAAAATAGCTATATTAAAAAATTTTAAAATGTTACAAAATTATAGATAGGTACAATTTAGACCTCTTTTTAACCAACATTATTAATAAATATAAATATCTGTGCATTAAATAACAAAAAAAGTATTGCCAAGTACCTAACTAATATTAAATATGTTTTGATGTTTATTTTAGGAACAATACTTCATATCAAAAAGGGCTTACTGATGATAAAATTTTATAAAATTAATAGACATAAAACCAGGCTGTGCAGACGTGATAATTTACTTAACATTTCTGACAGGTTGTAGTGCTTTCTGAACACAGATCTGGGTATTTCCTAGACCTATCAAAACATATCATCTGTGGGGACCTTAAGAATAAAATATCACCCTTCATCTTATTTATATAAAAATTAATTTCCTATCGAGTAATAGAAAATACATGATAAATTTTTTAATTAAAATATAGAATAATAATAAAAATATTTTTTTTTATGCCATTAATAAATTATGTATAACAAAAATAAATATATTTTTCTATAAATTATTATCTAATAAATTTCAGCCATAAGTAGTACAACATTAGCTGACCATCCTGTAAATGGCCGGGTACCTAACCCCTTATGGAATAAACCAAATGAGCTGTCCCATTCTAAATTATCAGAATATTGTTCCCAAACATAACCTGTTCGTAACCATTCTTTGTAAACACACTGAATCACATCATTCCTTATCCTATTATACAATTTGTTGCATCTTTGTTTAGTTTTTAAATCTAAGTATCGTATTGGTTCTAATTTTTCATATTTATTATTAGTGTATGAAGATTCAGTATCTACAGGTAAATTAGCATAATAATACAAGGATGAACATGCTAAATACTGCATATTAATCCAAACAGAACCACGCCAATAAGGTGGGTCATGTAAAGTATTTCTTACTTTGTATAAAGGTGAACTTTTCGATAATGACCTAATACCACAAGATTTTGTTAACAAACTACTATTGTTATAAGTCCCTTCGATTAGATCCAGTATTGCATTTAAACGGTGAGAATTCTTTACTAGTCGAAAAAACATGGGAAATAAAGCATTGTACCCAATGTGTGAATCGACAAAACGCCATTTTGGAAAATCTTCTCCTACAATTCTTACATAATCATGATTTTTTTTTAATTTTACCAATTTTAAATCATCAGTGTGTACACCATAATCAGCATACATTGGAAATTTAGATAGGGAACTTTGAAATGTATCATTATTTTCTCCTGTCCAATGTAGATGATCTAGATTTTCAACCAACATCCAAAAGTGTCTAGAATATTCATTTTCATAATTAGAAATATCTGGTTTGAGATAAATATAAAGATCATTCATTATCCTTGCACCATGGGCCATCCAGCAATGTAAATCAACATGGCGTTCAGATACATCAAAATCATTCATTAGGTTCTCTAAAGGTAAATTTGAAGAACCATTATCATTTACAGGATGTGATGACCTTGGATAATCATCCATTCCTGATGTTAATGTTTTTGGATTCAATTCTTTATTGGTTATTGAATCACGTCCTCTCCATCGATATCCTACAAATTTTTTGGCTAGGCGTAAATCATCAGAATCCATAGGTAATTTTAATTTTTTAGTCCAACTGTTTATAGCCCTTTGAGTACGGTTGAACCAGTTGTACCATGCTTTTAATCTTGGATACAATCTTCTCAAAGTATTATCAATTTTATCAATGTTAAATTTATCATTATTATTGTTTGTATTACTTATGGATTGCTGTTTTTGTTTAATTTGTTTTAATAGTAAATCAACAGTGAGTAACAGTGCAGGTGGATTAGCGGCTCGTGAACTTTGAACTACAAACTCTTCTGGTACCCTAGATCTGGCTTCGGATCCTAAAATCTAAAAATAAATATAATTGATCAATTACAAATCAAATACTTAGATTTATGCACAAATAAAATAAAACATAAAACATTAAATATTTTCTTTACTTGTTCTCTAGGGATCCAACCTTGGTGATTTAATAAATCCATCCAATGGCCTAAAATATTTAGTTGCAGCTCAATATCATAGCTTCCCAACATTAACCCATGAAAACCATCATCCCATAAAAATCCTCTTGGAAATTGAGATCGTGAAGGTACAGCAGTTAACAGGCCAGCTGTCCAATATTTAACTGCATCATCTATTGAAACTTCTGATTTTTTTTGAATATCTTCATCATCATCATCTCTGACAAGTGATGAACCATAAAAATATCCTAAGCTTCCAGCCATATTACTAAAAGTTACTCTTGCAAAAGTTAGCAATAATTTATTTTCAACAATTCCATTTAATTTAATAGGAAAAGACTTTTCAAACTTTTTTTGAAATCTTTTACTATATTCTTTATGTACCAAATCAAATTTATTGCCTACTAAAGAAGGAACTGAATTAATAAATACATGGGGTTTTTGTTTATTTTTTTGAGTATATGCCACATCAAAAGTATAACTAAGACCTTTAGATTTAAATTTTTCTGACGATTTCTTACTATTATGAGTAATTGTTATTTGTACAGCCATAAAATTGTTTAAAAGATTATTTGATATTTGATGACTATCATAATGCATATATGAGTTCTTTTCTAAAAGCATAATTTGTGATCCTGCACTAGGATCTTTTAAAGAATTTCGTTTAAGTATCATTAATTTAGCTAAACAGTGTTTTAATTGGGCTGTATTTGAACACCACACACTGCTTATACTTGTGTTTATATGTATAGAAAATTTATTAAGATTATCTAGATTGCTGGATGTTCTAGGAATTATAGACATTCGAAAATCAGTAAGGCTAGGTGTAGAGCCTAGAATAGTAGCTAAAGATTTATTATCACCTTTCAGTACATCAAGAGAGTATTTTTTACTGGTTAATGGTAGGTCTATATCTCCAGGGTCAATATACACATACCAAATAAGAGAAACTGAAGATGCAGAGTTATTTGTTTCATATATAATGCGTGTTGTCCAATCTGTATTTGTTTGATAATTTATTGTATCAGTGTGTGGTCTCAAAAATATAGTTTGTAATTTAAATCCATCTTTGTCTTTTCCATCATTTATAACTTGATGTCCATAATTTACAGTATCATGTTCTAAATAACCATACACTAAATCTTTGTGGGAATTATCACACATGTGGCGTATGGCCGAGTCTATTGATTCAGTCATCATTAAATCATATTGTCTAAACCACATAAGGCCTGCTAAAACAGAACCTCTATCTAAAGGTTCTTTTGTACGTAAACCTAGATATGCACCTGGTCTATAAGTACCCCATAATGCTTGGTCAACTCCTGTATTTTTTTGAATAACCTGCAATAAAATATAAAATAAATATTTAATTATTTGAGCATTAGTAGTATATAAGTAAATAATATATATATATAAAAAAAAGAAATAGTAATATTCATAATAAATAAATTTAAATATATTGAATTTCAATTAATAGAGATTATTTTTTAAGTAAACCAATATAAACTAAATATTAGTAAATTCATCGTTAATCTAGGTTAGAAAATTAAATAATTGGGCTATTTTTATGCAGACTATTTACATCAGGAATCAATGAAAATGAGGACTATTTATATAAATATAACTTTTCTATTTATTACTTTTTAGCATTAAAAAATTAATAAATTTATCCCATTATCATTAATTAATAATAATTGACACAGGTGATTGATTTTTAAAATAAAAAAAAAATTGTATAAGATCCTATAGGTATTATTATTTCTTAACTATTATAATAAACAAATGTATTAACATAATCATTACTATGAGCAAACTAAAATTATTTTTTCTCTAATGGCAGAATTTCAGATTGTTAGAATAAAATAATGTGTCCCATTATAACATTCTCCTCTATAGAGTTTGAGTAGGTACCAAATTTATATTTAGTTTCAAATTATTAAAATTGAATTAAAAAATTGTTGTTTGAAATAGTATTTAGTATTTAAATCATATAAATCAAATTTTAAATTTTCAAATCGTTTTATTTTCATTTCATATTTATTTTATTTTATAAAAGACAATGAGACATACATACTTTTGGCCCTTGAAATGGATAGTTGATGGCTTGTGTATCTAAGTAACCACGATAGGATAATGCCATTATTGCACATAATAATATTACAGTTGATAGTGTCCATAATGGACTTAGACTGAATAGACCACCATTAGAAATGTCCTCATTATTTTCTGGTGGTAATTGTGTTATCGGTTTGAAATCGGTTCTCAGAATCTCAGGTTGTTCCGTTGTATCATCTGGTAACTCATCAGTAAATCTCACACTTGGAGTCATAGGACTAGTTTTTCTTTTAACTGGAATAACCTAAAATAGAAACAAATATTAATGTATTAGAAGTATTATTACCTATGCTCATAATTAAACCGCAAATGTGTAATTAATTGAAATTAAACATACCATATTCGTGAAAACGGACCGTGCAAGCCGTTAGGGAATAAAAAACGCATACATTTTGTATTAAAAAATAAAAACGTAATATACCGACAATGCAGAAACCGGCGGCCAACATTTATCTAATTAATTTACGTGGTGTCGTGGACAAAACGTCGAAATATAATTTATAAACCGGACGATAAATCATGTTGATGACGTTATCACAACCGTTTGAAACGTGAACGGATGCCGGATTTGCATAATCGTCTTATCAGCGCCGGGTTGCGATAAAAAAACGTGTCATCACATCACGTCGTCGTTCAAAGACCGTGCATCATGATAAAAATAGTATAAAAGAAGGTCGGTAGAGAGCAGTAGAGGACGGTTCTAGCATACACGAACGAAAGGGCGGATTTCTTTGTCGGTTTGTTTTTTTTTTTTTCTTATACAGAGAGGTAAACGTGGATACGGTAGTACGGTATTATCGTTTTTTAACGTACCCGTCAGCCTGTACCAGCGACTGGACGTCTCATAATACAGTCGCACTAGACGGTCTAGAGTCCAGACGTTCGATAGCCTGCGCCCAGCGGTCTACGGTACCCGGAAGTGTTTGCCTGTGTGATGATAAAATATTATGATAACAGCAGGTAACGATTTGCGTACGTCCGTACGTAGCGTCGTTGCGCGCAGACTCGCGATCCTATGTGTGCATTGCTGAATGTACGTGTGTGTATATATGTATATTATGATCACGGCGAACGGTGATAAAAGAATGGTTTAGTCATTGGGAAATAGAGAGAGCGCAACTGACTGCTAACGCTGCGCGCACATCTGATAGTGACAAACAAAAAAAAAAAAAACAAAAAAAAAAAATTATTCATTATAATATTTTGCTATGTGCGCGAGTGAGTGCAATAGTTATAATAATATACGTTATTATTAAACATTATAGCACTCGCCAACGTTTTCCATTGCGTCTATAGCCGTCGAACGTCGACGTAGATCACACAGTCCGTTCGTCAACAAAACGGTGTAGGTAATAAATTGATAATATTAGAATGTGTAACACCAAATAAATTCGTCGACGTCGTAACTCGCAACAGCCACAACAACGCACCGTACCTATCGCACACTGCGCAGCACAACATAAATAATACTCTTTTTTTTATATTTATTATTATTTTTTTTAATTCTTCGTAACGGTTTGTTTGTGTTTTTATGTTTCTCTTTTTGTATTTCTTTTTTCTTTTTATTTTGTTCGCGACGATTGGCTTGTATGTTTTAATATTTCGCCCTAATCGACTACATAGGTAATTCGTAAAACGCACAAATTGTGACATTACTGAAAACCCGTCCGACCAACCAACACCTACGTCCGGAGTTCATAGCACGAACTCCAGTGCGAAACCGGATATTGATATTGATCCGATACCCTGAAGATTTGCAATGGCCAAGACGTACGATTATTTGTTCAAATTGCTGCTGATTGGTGACTCGGGGGTGGGGAAAACGTGCGTGTTATTCCGTTTCAGCGAAGATGCATTCAATACAACGTTCATATCAACTATTGGCATCGATTTCAAAATACGTACTATAGAAATGGACGGAAAAAAAATTAAATTACAAATTTGGTAAGCTCGCTTTACTACTTATATATAATACATAGGTACATAGGTGTCTAAGACATTATGCAGTACCTTGTATAAAAATTAATTTGTTTCAAATTTTTTAGTAGGTGTACATGAAAAACTATTTTAGGTGATACCTAAGTATAAATTTTATGTAAATTGTATTTTTATCTTAGGGATACTGCTGGACAAGAGCGTTTCAGGACAATAACGACAGCTTATTATCGTGGTGCAATGGGGATTATGTTGGTGTATGACGTTACTAATGAAAAGTCATTTGACAACATAAAAAATTGGATTCGAAACATCGAGGAAAATGCTTCAGCTGATGTTGAAAAGATGCTATTAGGAAACAAATGTGAACTCAGTTCAGGGCGTCAGGTAAATGCCACTAAAAATAGAAACCTGCATATGTACTTTTATCATTGATTTTATAGTAAACTACTAAAATTATTGCAACATCAATTTTATTTTATTTGTACTTTTTAAATTCTTAGATTCATATGTACTATTATTATTGATTTTATAATAAACTATTAAAATTATTACAAAATCAATTTTATTTTATTAGTACTTTTTTAAATTCTTAGATTTTTAAATTAAATTTTCTTAAGTAACTAAAAATATTAATCAAACAAGTTAAATATGTGTACTTAAGTACTTCTTATTATACCTATAATGTAATTTGCTTTTATCATGATTAAATTTAAGTATTAAATGTTGTGATATTTGAGGTTTGTTGTTTGGCTTCACTTGGTTACATGCTTCATTAATATTAATTAATTATCTGTTTGACAGTGGAAAAAATAAATTAAAACTATATGGTTACTTACTGGTTATGTATACATACTATAATGGGTTCTTAACCTCTTTTTGTTTGATAAAGTTTAACCAGTATCTTATAACTTAATTTACAGGTATCAAAGGAACGCGGTGAACAGCTAGCTGTTGAATATGGTATCAAATTTATGGAAACTTCAGCAAAAGCAAGCGTAAATGTTGAGGAAGCTTTTCACACTTTGGCCAGAGATATCAAAACAAAAACTGAAAAAAAATTGGTCAGTTTATTTAAATACATACTAATTTTATTATTTTTTAAATAAGTATTGAATATTATTTTTATAATTTCATTGTGTTTAATATTTCATATTTTTATGCTGTATTTTTTTAAACATCTGCTGTTCCTGTCAACGTTGGAATATTTTAATTTCTCAATTCAATATTGGTGTTATATAGAAGGTTAGAGTGTGTGTGTATATGTTTTGCAACAGAGTAGTAGTGTAGTATATCAGTTTTTAGATTAATCAATTTTTTAGAAATTCATTGCCATGATTTTTTTATAATTAAAAATTTTAGTTGATAAAATAAAAAGTAAATAACAATATCTGGCATTTTTTGTTATGCTTTAAAGTAAATTTAGTTTTCGACTATCGCCCAATATGTAGTTTATCGCCATTTTGTAAAGTACCCAACTTGAAATATGAGTATAGTATGCAATCTACTAATGTTTCATTTTCAACTATATGGATACGATAACTTCATCATTGGTGTTTTAATTTAAACCAATTTATAAATTTTATCTTTGTATTTCCTAGTGAATAAAAAATAAATAGATAAAATCAAGATTTATAATTTATAGGCAACTTTTTATAAATGCTTGTAAAATAATTTTTTTTAACTAAAGAATCCACAAATAAATACTTGCAAGATTTTAGCCTGTTATCTTGTGCACATAATGATACAAAATAGATGTATTACGCTGTATCCAACTAAATGCTGTAAAGGGGCGATGCGGTGAATAAAATTATCAAACATAAAAATAGATTAGATTGTCTATCATATGTGATAAATGCGAACAAATTAATTCGTTCACATTTTGAAAATCAAATCATTTTGTTTTTGGTCGCGCATTTAAGTGAAATGTATAGGTAGTTATTCTAGTATAAGATCTAAATGAAGTTTCATCTTTAGGCAACTGTGGGTATAGATGATAGAATTCACCAAAAACAAGTCTATCCTTATAAATAATTGAATTTAAAAGTGATCTTTTTTTTTTAAAATATTTTTTATACATTAAATATTTCACTTCAGAATTTTCCAATTTTAACAATTGTTTTTGTAAACTAAAAGACATTTTTAGTTGTTTTTGTTTTTAAAGAGTAGAACATAAATGTGTAAAATACCTTTGCACAACTCACTTCAAAATATACTGCATGTAAAAAAAAATAAAAAATATCTGAATATGGTTTAGCAGCAAATTCGCGTTTGCCGCATTCACATTGGACATTCCGTTAATGAAGTAAAATTGTATCAAAGAAATGAATGAGGAAAAGTACGAGGCCTTTTTTTTTTATTAATTAAAATAAAATAAATTTTTTTACCGCAAATTAAATTATTATTATTTTTTTTTTTTCATAAAATTTAGACTGCAAACTATACTATAATTATTACTATGGTAGACATGTTCATTGGTAAACAGCATTTATTTTTGGCAGACTTCATATTGGGAGATTGTTGTTTTCGAATTAAACAAATTTGTTTCTATTACAAATTGCATCAATTAAAGCTGTTATTTTAAGAATATTTGCTTTTATTATATTGCTATTATACACTATATAAAATAAGATTGAGTTACTTTAACAAATAAAGACTGAGCTAATCTGGATCCTCTAGTCAGCACTATGGTTGCTGTGATTGGCCATCAATTCTTGTTCTTGTTGCCAACACCGTACTTATAGGGAGTGAGTGCACTTTTAAAGGTGGGGGGGGGCGGTCAACCGATGGGGATGTGTGAACACCACTTATTTTTATTGTTTCCAGTTCAATCTTATTTTGAATAGAGTGTACTATAGCTGTAATAATGTTATTGTTATATTGTTGTTTTTAATTATATTTTATGAAATGTTATTATGTAACAATTTTTCTTTGGGATTAAAGATAAATAAAATTATTTTGATCTATTCCAAATTATTAGGTGTAATAGCAACTATGACATTTCAGGAATACTTGTATTTTCGGTATAAATTTTTATTTTTAAAAATTCAATACATAATAACATACATTTAAAATATCACTTTTTTAAAAGTAGTATAATAATTATTTAAACTTGTAATTAAATATTTTTTTTAAAAAATCAGCTCTCTAACTACTTTTATTTAATTATTCACAGGAAGCATCTAATCCTCCAAAGGGAAGTATGCAATCCAGTGGTCAACATTTACGAGATAATGGTCCTAAAAAACTTGGGCAAGGTGGTGGAAGTGGTGCTGCTTTGAATTGGTTGTCTTCAAGATGTACAATACTTTGACCACAATTAGTATATTATTTTCTAATTAAACAACAATATTGTACACCTTAATTACTATTTTCAACATGACCGTAAATTAAACAAAATTATTATATTGATTTTCTTTCCTAATGATTGTTTTTAATTAAAACTGAATCTCCAATATTATTTATTACTTACTATTTGGAAATACAAACTTCTTTTTTTTTTATACATACAATTTTTACAAAATTATAAAAATAATTGTTTAAATCCTTTCTGATTTTTAAAAATGAAAAGCAATAATGGTATTATAATATTGTTTTGTATTAGTGGTTTTCATTTTGTAATATGTTGAACAATTTTTTTTAATATTTCTGTTTTAAACTATCACTATTTAACTTTTGTCTTATAATTAGGTTATATATATATCATAAAATACATTTGGTTTTTCAATTATTTTATATATTAGTGTAAAAAAAAAAAAAAAAACTGCTGAAGAAAATTTTGTTATATAAGAAATTATATATTATTACAATATTATATCTACTATAGCATTCTTTTTTTTTTATTAATATACACTTATTAATATTATTATTATTATTATTATTATTATTATTATTATATAAAAATATGTAAACTTACTTAAAAATAGGTATCTAGATAGTTATAAATTAGGTAAGAATATGTTTTGCCCACAAAAAGAAACATATACTGATGATTATTAGGGAGAAGGGGTTAACCACCTACTTTCTGTGTGATCCACTAAATATATTTAGCCATGACATATATTTTTGAAATAATAAAGAAATACCAATATTATTTTCGTTATCATTTTAAAGTATTAATTATTTACTTTTGAATGGTATTTTTAACAATTATTTTATATTAGTTATATATATTTCAATAATTTGATATGATATAATGTTAACATTTAGTTATTCTTAATTCTTATAGTTAGAGGTGAAACATTTTGTAAGACACAACACAAAAATGTTTGTTCACTTCTAATACTTTTAAATAATTTAATATCAATTATCAATACATTTAAACAGTAGGTATAAATGTTTAACCCTTACTATCAACAATCAGGTACCCATTTAAATTGTATACAAGATTTTTTTTTTTGAAAATATTTGCCTATATTTTTTCAGTTTCTCAACGTGTAACCATTAATTATATCCTATAATGAATATAAATACCCATTCTATTGATATTAGGTATTTATTCATACATATTGATTTTAACAACAGATGTTCTACAACCAGGTATGGGGCACCCATGTCATTGATAGGTATATGTTTGGTGTCCATTCTGTATTTTTAGTTAATAAAATAAAAGTACATGAAAATCATTACAGTATCTATTTCAAGATACAATTACAGGTATTTGACTATATTTGTCAGTTTTTTAAATTATGAGAAGAGTGGGCAATGTTTTTTATTTATTTAAAGATTTTTATTAAAATTAAAACTAAAATAATTACAATTACCAACATTTATGAGTTGTTGAATGTTTATCACATATTGGTTCATATTACAATTTCCTTGGTTTTGGATTTGTTATTTATTTTGCAGCAGTAGACAAATTATATATGTCCCGTAGAATCTAATTGTTTATGTTAGTTCCAAAAGTCCATTTGACGGGTGATCCATAAATATTATTTTAATTGAAAAGTGTATCATAATTTAATGGTTTTGAAAACGATCTTGAATATATGACATGCTCAGTTGGATCTTGGAATGAACAAGTTCAAAAGTTCAAAGTTACAAATTATAAACAGAAATTAATTGAGTAGGTACAAATCAAGTTGAATAGAACTTATTTTGAATTAATTTAATAATTTTTATGAACTTAAGCTTTATTTAGAAGTTCATTAGTTAAAATTATTGATTAATGTATTAATGTACCAAATTTCCAATAGGAATATAAGACTAGAACAATTAAATGTTAATCATTAATTTATATCAATAATCAATTTGATCATAGGTAATGGTGATATTTTATTTCTGAATTCTAAACTATTTTTAGTTGTTACTCGTTATTGTTTTCCTATGACAACAACCAGTTACACAATCAAATACTCGTAATAAATCACGGTATTATGAAGTATTAGTGATATTATAAATTATTTATAACTAGTATATTATACTACGGAACAGATAGAATCAGAAAGGACACTTCGAATGTAAAAAAAATTCATGATGTAATTTTCCTAATACATCTTTCTTATCATTATTTAGTATTATCAAGTATTAGTATTTAAGTACTTTGTTAAGACTCCGACCGCGACCACTCTAAAAAAAAACTAAGATATTGATAAAATTACTGATAGCTGGTTAGTCGGAAATTATTTTTTTATACCCATGACTTCTTTGTTGGATAAGTAGCAAATTCCATCTTTCTGATGACCATTTAAATATCGCAGAGTTCTTTTCATGTTACTTTTGTCTTGATGGGTTCTTCATTGACCTGCTCTCATAATTGACAGCATTAGTTAAGTCTGGCCTAATTTTGCACGATAGATAAATCATACTTTTTATGGTTTATTATTATTGAAAATTACTATCGGTAGAACTCTCATTTGCCTGAGGGTTCTTCTCATACAGAGTAATTGGAGTTGATATTGGTTTTGATAAATCCATTTGATACTTTCTTAGATCTTACCTATTTGTTGTACTTTGCTTGGTTGATATGAATATTCCATCTTCATTTATTTTGATTTCCAGTCAAAGGTATTGAGTTGGTTTTACTTGTACAGTTATTTCAAAGTTTTTCTTCAATCCTTCAAGCAACATCTTTATTTAGTGTTCATATTCTCCAAGTAAGATTTCATCATCAACATGAATAATTAGAAATATCAACTTATCTTTATTCTTGATTTTGAAAACATACTGATCTGACTTCAGTTGATTGTGATTTTCACCTTTTTATTTGTATAGTTTCAGTGAGGCGTTTTTTTCTACTGTAATGGTGTGTATTTTAGACTATACTACTGCAGAGAGCTTTATTGATTAGAAATATCTTTCCTGGAACACTGTATCCTTCTGATATTTCCATAAAAATGTTTTCTTCTCAGTTCTCATTCAGGAAGGCAGTCTTCATTTCAAAAATCATAATCTTCATTTTGCGTTGAGCAGCCTAATCAAAAAGAAATCTTAAATAACCTTTCTGAATTACTATAATGAAAATATTTTTGAAATCAAAATTTTCAGAATTTTGCTGACAACCCATAGCCCCAATCTTAGTTAGTATTTTCCATATTTAATCTTAAATGTGCATCTACCTTTAAAAATGTATTTCCATTAGCCCAATTTTCATTCTCAACTTACCATGTATTATTTATGTTTAGAGATTGTTTTTCTTCTTTTATTGTCTTTTGCAAATTTTTTTATCAGGAATTTTCATACATTCTGTTTATGTCATGAGAGCTTAATTATCATTATAGATGACATAATTTTTGGGTATATGTAGCAGATGTTTGTGTTTCTTTGGTCATTGCATGACACGTTCTTGATTGACTTCTTCACCTTAGACTTAATTTTAAATTTCATATTCTTTATCAATTTCACTGTCATTGTCTTCTGAGTTTATATAATTCTATATGGTATACTTGGGAAGGTACTTTAGGGAGGTAATTTTTTCAATTTTCCAAAGAGTTTTCCTAGCAAATGTGAAAAATCGGGAAAAACATTGGAAACTCCAGAAAAACTTAGGAAAAGCGGTAAAATCGGTACAAATATTATTAATAAAAATATATAATGCTTATTTAATTATTTTACCACAATATATACCAGATTATCCATTTATGTAGCTACACTTATTATTTCGGAAAGTATTTTTTTTGTAGAATTAATTTTTTTCAGAATTTGTTTTTTAAAAAATTTAAGAAACAAGCAGTTTTACAATTTTATATTAATGTTATTTTTCATCACACTTATTTTCGATTGAAAACCTCCATTATGCATTGTTACACATCACGCGCTATATTTATTTATGCATATGATGTATTCAACTAGTTGATATGAGTAAAACATTGATAAAATTAATAAAATTAATAAATTAATAATATGAATGGACAAATAACTAAGCAAGTAATAAAATAAATAATAGATAAACAGGTAATAGTACTATAATAATCATAATAACATCAATACCATTAGTACTATAAATCACAGACGTATAGTAAGTTCTTCAAGTCATTTTATTGCGGTTGGTCCACTCTTGTGTAGTTTTGCTAATCCTTCTGTAAACATTGTAGTAGAACTCGTCTCGATTAATTGTTTAATTTTCTGCATTTCTCCACATTCATAAAGTGGGGAATTTGCCATGTCTCATTTGTGAAGTAAATAGTTGCACCTTCCTTGTCCTATTTTCCTTCAATTGAGAGTTAATCAATTAGCCTTTGTACTATCCCAACCGGGAACTTTTATAAATGGCTCCTTAAATCTCGAGTTTCTGTCTATTCCCAGCGTCTCGTCCATAGGTGTTCTATAGATTCTTTCTGAGTTTCTGCGTGCCATATGGAAGATCAATTTGTAGTGGTAAAATAGGCTGGCTCTCTAGCTTATGCAGGATCTTAGTAGTGTTGGATAGTCTTCTTAGATCTGGGGATGCTATGTTGAAAAGGGTGGATAGCTATATTGTTTGAGTGTACCTGATATGATGCGCACAGTATGGTTTAATTGCACATCAACTTTAAAACAGTGGGCACTTCCAGTCCATACGGGTGAACAGTATTCGGCTATGCTATAGATCAGTGTAAGTGCTGCGGTCTGAAGTACACTGTTGTGGCAACCCCAGGTGGTATCAGTTAACTTAGCCATAATGTTGTTGCGCGTAATATTAGTTTATTTTTACTCCATTCAGGTGATGGTAATATGTTAGTGTCCTATCAAATTTTAGACTTTCAGACCAAAAGAATTTCATTCTTTTAAAACGATCTTTTCCCTATTAATTTGTATGTTTAATTCTCTGTTTGCTTCCCGGTTGTTGGGATTGAATACCTTTGAAAATTTAAACCTTTTGGAAATTTAACACGAGGTTTATTATGAGTTACTTAGGGGTAAAAGTTAAGCGTAATAAAGTAGATTTTTTTTATAACCGTTTTAAGCTCAAATTCTGATGAAATAATTGAAAATAATACGGCATTTTAAAACATGTATAACTGAACTCCACTCAGAATCGTATATTTTTAGTAATGGTTTATCGTTGTTTACAGGTATAAATTAAATTAATATATGTAACTTACCTTCCCAACTTCCCATCTACAACAGTGAATCACCTATCGACAGTATCAGCTTTTTTTATTATACTGGGGTTATATTCTGATAAATTGGTTAAAAATGTTTTCATCATTGTCTTTAAAATAATAAAAACATTGATTTCTCATTCTTTCTACGTTTTATTTTCGTTTATATTTTTATTTTATTTTATTTTAATTTTATTTGCTCAGTTATTAAAAATCTAGACGGAAATCAAAAAACGACTTTCCCATTCACCAATTAGATTTAAAATGTGACAAAAAAGGTTTTTTGTCGTTTTTGTGTTGGAGCAATATTTCTGGTAGATAATATTATGCGTAAAAATGTAAAATATGAAAATGTAACGCCGTAAATTTGTCAGATATTATTTTCTATCTATTTCTGGTTTTCCAAATTATTATGAAACTGATGAACTTGCAAAAAGTCTTACAGTTCTTTAAGCATAAAAAGACGACTTGAAAGGACTTTAAGTGAATCAAAATTTGACGCTTTTATGCCTATGGTCGTTTGACAAAATGTTGAGTGCCTAGCTTAGATATAGATGAAATATTCATAATTAATAATGTAAAAAGAAATAATGATTTATCAATAAAAGAATATTATCACACTGATTTTATTATATCATTTATAAAAATAATGAGATCTATAATAAAGGCATTAATTATTAATTTGCGTGCTTGTCGTTTTGGCTACACTAAGTAGAAATATAGTATACATGAGTTAATTTATGTTTTATTTTAAACTTTTAACATATAAGTATTTTTATACAGGTGATCAATTTATCGTAAGGTACTCGGGAGGTTATCATTATCACGGGAGTATTAACTTTTTTTCGGAATTTGTTTTACAGACAATTTTTATTAAGAATTTTTGATGATAGTAATGTTTCTAAAAGAAACTACTAGTGAGGTACTAGAGAGGTCATTTTTTGATTTTTCAGGAGTTTTGTTATCAAATTTTAAAAATCATGATAAAACAGAGAAAATTGGGAAAAACGTAAGAAAACTGGGTAAATCGGCACAACATAAAACAACAAATTTTCTCTTAAGTACCTCCCTAGTTCAATTTATTTTTAAACAAGTTGCTAAACTTAAAAATCAGAGTAATGTTTCTGGTAGAGAATTTTAAAAACATGGCAAATAAAAAAAATAAATAAATATCCTTATAAAATCATAAGCTTCTTTGTTCTATTCAGAATCTAAAATTGAAATAACTAATAAATTTATAAGTTGTCACTATAAATACATTAAAATAAAGAATAACAGTGAAACAGTTACATTATGAAAATTCTGAAATTTGTGTTATAATTGCTAAAAATCATGTGATTCATATTTCATTTTTCTTATCAAAAAGAACCTATACAAGAATAATAATAATAACAATGTATAATGTATTTTAGAATACTAATGTACTTGGAAATCTACCTATATTAATCCAATTCTTAAAAAAGGTAATAAATCATTTATCTCAAACTACCGTCCTATATCGATAATTTCTATTCTCCCTAAAATATTTTCTAAAATAATAAATAATAAGCTCACACCCATATTTAAACATATTTTAGCACCACAACAACATGGATTTTGCAATAAAAAGTCATGTCTTACCAATTTAATAACTATTAAACATCATATAATTAAATCTTTTTCTAATAATCAACAAACAGATGTTGATAGAGTAAACCACTCTTTATTAACCAGTTAACTACAGGAAATCGGCTTTGCCAATCCCCTATTATCATAGTTTAACTCATTCCTAAGTCAAAGAATCCAATTTGTCAAATATAAAAACTTTATATCGACACCTATAAACGTAATTTCTGGAGTCCCTCAAGGCGATCACCTTTCCCCTCTCCTTTTTAATTTATTTATAAATGATGCTGTATCATCCATTTCACACTCCAACATTTTATTATTTGCCGACGATGCAAAAATGTACAAATCTATTACTTCCCCCGATGATATTAAACTTCTTCAAAGTGATTTAGCTACATTTAACGAATGGTGCATTTCAAATAGTCTTTCATTAAATATTGATAAATGCCAAATTGTTACCTACTCCAAAAAGCACACTCCCTTACATTTTAATTATCATATATGTGACATTAACCTACATCGTTCGTCATTATTTAAAGATTTAGNCTCTCAAATGCCTTTATACCTCACTAGTCCGTTCTTTATTAGAATACGCTCCAATAATTTGGAATCATAACAATGTAGGACATAATGATCAACTTGATAAAGTTCAAAATAAGGCCCTCAGATTTTTATGTCATACATGTAATATTCAACGAACTCCTCATTCTGGCTACGATAATATTTTAAAATTGTTAAACTTAGAATCTTTAAATGCACGGAGACACTTATCATACAGTACGTTCCTCACCAAATTACTAAATAATGAGATTGATGATTCATTTATATTAAGTCAATTAAATTTCAAAGTTAATAGCCACCACACTCGTAACAATCATTTATTTTATATTCCTCATTCATCTAAAAAGTTTACGTCATATGACCCCATAAATATTTTAATGTCTTCGGGAAATAGTTAATTATTTTATTAAACATTGAATGTACTATTATTATTATTCTTATTATTATTATCATTATCATTATTATTATTACTATTATTTGATATATTAATCTTTTCATTTTTTATTATGTTATATTTTATTATTTTAAATTATATAAATTTATAATTTATATAAGTTATATTTTATTGTTATCTATACAAATATATTGTGAATTGGACTTTTGTCCGTATTAATAAATAAATAAATAAATAATATTATTATGATTGTATTAAAGCATAATTTGTTTTTATAATGTTGGGGGTGTGGGGGCAAAACCCCTACAAGTCTTTCCAACTTTTTGTGATTTGTGCGACTCCAGGTATTATGCCTAAATTACGCCAATGACTATGAGGGTAGTTGGGAACGTTCTAGTATTGGCTCTTTTAATTGGTATTGCAAATTTGGATCTGGTAGCACTTTTTATAAAATTTGTAAAAGTAAAATAGGATTTGGTTGAAGATAAATTATTCGACATCAAGGAAACTACATTTTGAATTGAGATAGTAAAAGATACCTAGTCCGTTTTCATAAAACCTTAACGGGTAAGAATGGTTTTGGTGGTGCTAGGATAGTGATTAGAGGACTTGAAATTGGTTAGGCGGTTTCTGTTGGTTGTGATAATAATTGGGCTATAGTCGTTACCTTGAGGCTTGCTCAGGGTTCACCATAATAAGTTCTAGAAGAGGTCGGGTGAACAAAAAGATAAATTAATGGCTGAGTTAGGACATCCGATATGAGAGCCATCGTTAAATAGGTATACTTGGTCCTAGAGAGTTGACATTAATGTCATAAATAATTACTTATTCATATTTTTAATTAACTCTATCGATTTACGTTTGAATACGTTATAATTGCAACTGAATTATGAAAAAGTGAATTTTTATAACTAAAGCAACTATCTATTAATTAATTATGATTTAATTAAGCAATGTATCGGTTTACATTTTTAAGGATAAATGCGAGTTTCATGTATCTTGCCTTGCTTGTAATGAATATAAAAAATATTATAATGACAAAACTATTTTGTTCAAAGACGTAGTAATTTATAACTATATATAATATTATATATTATTTACCAAAACATAATAGTTGTTTTTTTAGTTTTTAATGAGAAGTAAATAGGTTTTATTATGATGTTTTTTTTTTGTGTGTGTCTATAAAAAACTATTTTATCAGAAATCTTGTTCCAATCATTATAATTAGCACTTGTTTCTTGTAGGTAGCAAATATTGTCTATTCGGTGCATCGCATAGGTAATTTTTTGATTTTCTGTATATTTGACACCAATTGAAACCCGAAAAGAAAGTCGGAAAAATATGAATATTTATCATTTACCGAAGAACATTTGCATACTGTTTATTAAGATTTTGTTTCTTTGTTGTAATTTAGTGAAAAATAATCATGAACTTGAAATTTCCACGCAAAACTTTCATTAGCATCCTCAAGATATGGTAATATTCTGACATTTTTTGAGTAATTTATAGTTTCTGTCATGATGTTTATTGTATTGTTTCGGATAGATGTGAACAAAAATATTTCGATCAAAAATGATCAATAAGTTGATAAAAGATTCATCGAACTTATAGGTTATAAGTTTATAACGTATATATTGTATTATTATTTTGCGTGAAAATTATTTTATTATTTTTTTTTTTATTGTAATTTTGTTTTTTTAGTTAACAAGTAAAATAAGGAGGTATTATATATTTAATAATACTGACCATATTGTGTGTTATGTTAGTCACTGTGTTTTTTAGTATGGCCTTTGTCATCGTCAACATACAGTTTAATATAATATGTTAATCTATATTAATACTAGTGGAAAAAAAACAATATCTTGAAGTATTAGTCATAATATATCTTTGTTCCTCCATAAATTATATTAAAGTGTTGTTGTTTTATACATTAAAATCCAGTGGCGTATTTAAGGGGGATTTTAGGAGTCATATCTTCTACATGGTCTTTTTTGTTTTTAACTTTCAAACTCATTTATGTACTTCTTTTTCTATAAACATTAAAATATTATAATATTTCTATAAATAAAAAGGTACTTACTACAGTATATTTTATATAAATACTAAAAAAACAACTAGATTCTTCTGCCCAGTTTATATTAAATAAATATTGTACAATGTAAATTAACTTCATTAGTGTTCTGATATTGATCTGAAAAAATATACAAACATTTCTTTTCCTCCTCAATCGAAGTAAGATCTCTGGTAGAAAAGTTGTCCACAGATAAAAAAAAAAAAAAAAAACATTTTTGTAAACCTTTTTTTTTTATGCATTTTTCGGTTTTTCCTAATTATAAATAAAATTACAGAGAAAACCAAAAAAATACTTTCTTACTCACTAACTAGATTAAACATGCAACGAAAAAAGGCTTCAATTATTATGAAAAATACTTTGGATACTAAAAAACAGCTTCCTCTGTAAATGGCTGTGTAAATGTCTATATAAGTAGTTCAAATCTAATTCAAATCAAATTTAAGCTTAAATCTTTTGAAAATTAGACCATGTTCAAATCTTTACGAATATTTTTAACTGAATTACAACAAATAACAAAACTAAAAAAAAAAAAACCTTATTTTCGTAAATTTCTTGTTTTTCTTACGTTTTTTCTCACTTTGTTTGTTTATTGGGAAACTAAAAAAGTCTACATCGTATATATTGGAGTAAGATTTCAGATAAAATTTCTGTACACGGTATAAAAAAAAAAAAAATATCTTTATAAAACAAACCAATACGTGTACATTCTTCGTTACACTCAGAATCTAAAATAGGTATTACAAGTTATTATTTTTTTTTTTTTACTCAATTATCTTATTATAAATTAGATTACAACAGATTTTTGACGAAATTAAACATTGAAGTTCAATTTGTATTTAATTGTATTTAATTCTGAAAAGTGCTGTAATTTCTAGCTCGTATAACTTTCACGAGAATATACAGGGTAATTCACTAAGCGTGAACAAATTTTTTTTTGTAAACAGTAAATGGTAATTGGTAAATTAAATTTTGTAAATGTCAAATTTAGTTTATTTTTTCTCTATATGTATGTGCACGATAAATATCAGTAAAAGTGCTCCGGTCTTTACACACGTGCTGCATGATTCCAGGAGAAAATGTTGTTCCTCTTAAAGTTACTTTATTTCGACTGTAAAAAATCGGAAAGTCCGATTAACAATTTTACTGTTATTTATTTTGTATAAAGTAAAAATATAATACTTGAACATACCTTTAAAATTGTAAATTAACTCTAAGTTCAATACTTTTAACACAATGACTATCTATATGTATTATGATTAATTGTATACTGCAGTATGTTTTTAATTTCGACCGTTTCGTCCGGATTTTTATCAATACGTGTCATTCGAGTTTAATCTTAATCTTAATCTTTAGTTACTGTATTGTATTAAGCGAGATAATAATATTTTTTCATCGGTTTATATTATTAAATTATGACAATTGCATTTAATATATGTTATTTCAGCGGTTGATTATTTTTATTAATCTGTTGATATTTTGAACCTTTCGATATTTTGACTGTCGGCATTTTAACCTGTCGATATTTTAATTGTTGACGTTTCGTACCACATCCCCTATACTTATTATGAATAATAAAATTTGTACATAATATGTTAAAGGCTTACAATAATGTATAAATATAAATATTAAAAAATATGATATTAATAATTAGGATGTTAATGATTTGTCAAATGTTTCTTTATATGATTCATTATTACAATATTAGGTCTATGACCAAAGAAATATATTTGAAATATTTTTTGAGGAAACTCAACAATTTAGGGGTAGGTATTGATAAATTTTCTTGGGAAGAAGCCAAATAAACTTATTTTTTGAAAATTCTGAATATGATATACTATACTTAAGTAAAGAAAAGATGAAAACTAAAATATTCATTCCGATCATGAATCATTCATTGTATTGAATGATGATCATTCAATACAATAAATTAAATAATATGGTGTACAAAAAATTACTTAATCGAAAATTCACAAGATACTTTTTTTGTTGCCTTTTTGATTTACTTTCTTACAGTATCATCGCTAAAACTTTTGAGCCACTTTTGAGCTTTAAAGGAATTTAAATTTTTGAGAGTTTTTTGCTGTAATTCGGTTATAAATATACGTGGAGACTTGAAAATTGGTATTAATACTTATATTGAACTTACCTAGACGTGGTTAAATTTCCAAAAATCATTGGACGACTTTTTTCCCTTTTTTTAATTTTTTTAAAATGGTATTTTATTATTTTTTAATATTTTTACACTGTAGATCACTTTTATCCTAGACAATTTATTCCGATGTATAAGTGCAGAATATTTTCTGAAAGTCAAATTATATTCTTAGTAAATACATAAGTCATATTTTGATTTTCGAAATGGTATGTATAATAAAAACGATAACCCGGGAAAAAAATACGAATTTTTCACGATTTCGTTATTTTAAATAAGTACCTACCACGCTTTTTATCACAAATATGGCTCCAATTGAAAAATGACAAGAGACTATATTTTTGTTAATTTTTTTTTTAATAAGCACTTTAAAATAAAATTTAAACGAAAATCGCTAAAAAAAAATTATGGCACTTCAAAATATATATTACCAAACTGCGGTCGGAATCGTCTTTCGTCAGTAACGGTTTATTGTTGCTTACAGATATAAATAAAATAACCTTATGTGTCACACCTTCCTAACTTCCCACCCATAACAGTGGCTGCACCCGTCTCTGGTATCAGCTGTTTTTTTTTCAATTTTGTTATTTGTTATAATTCAGTTAAAAATATTCGTAGATTGGTACAAGAAACTTATACTAGCCTTTTCTAAACGTGGTAAAATTTTCAAAAAAATTAAGCCATTTTTTTTAGGTATTAATAGAAATTTAATTTTGAGAAGTTTGTACGTAATATTTATTCGGTAGGTATTCTGTAGTAAAATTGTTAAACTTGGACAGAAGTGCTTCAAAATTTAATAGAAGGTACATTAAGGGTCTTACTTTGTAGTAAAAGGGAATTTTAACGAAATTCGTTTGATTAAAAATTTATGAGAAACAAATCTAATTTTTCAATTTTTTTTTTTTTTTTAACATACATATATTACCAATTTAAGAACGATGGTGAAGTTAGAATTAAGTGGATTGATTAAGTTTCGAAATTATAGCTTTTTTAAGTTCTGATATTATATGAATATTATATACTATGTTAAATAATTCTACATTGTCCTGCTTAAAGCTTATTTGTCGGTTTATGCTTATTTATGCTTATTATCTTGGTTCCAAGTTCAAACCAGTGTGTTGAAAAAAATTGTTTACATTTTTTTCCCTTTTACCTAACAAAGGAAAAAATAAATACATTTTGGATGTACTTAGAGGCAGGCATGTACATAAAAAAAATATTGGGGGAGGGGTTATACAAATTTTTACAAAAATCAATATTTAATCAAAAGACGTCCTAGGATAATGGCGACGGGTGCAACGACTGTTATAGGTATTTATATATGCCATATTATAGTAAAATAGTTTAAAAGACTTTAAATATTTTCTTTAATATTTGTTTAATGTTGAACCGATTTTACCGGTTTTTCCGGTTTTCATATATTTTTTTCGGTTTTTCACATTTGCTGGGAAAATCAAAAAATTATCTCTTTAAGGTATCTTGTCATCACGATTTCTTTTCAGAAAAATTGCTACACGTAAAAATCGGAGCAAGTCAGAATACTAATATTATAAAAAGGAAATATTTGTATGTTTGTAACTAATAAATTCAAAAACAACTGGACCGATTTCAAAAATGTTTTTACCATTAGAAGGCTACATTATCCCTGAGTAACATGGGCTATATTTATTACTAGAAAAAAATGGGGCTTTCAATGAAAATTGAAATAATTAGGTTTTAGGTATTTTTGGTAATTATTTATTTATTTTTTGTTTATTCGTTGGTTACCTTGGTGATATGGAAGATAATTTGGCTGTCATGGACAAGAAAAATATTATTATTATTACTATTATTTACACTATTATCGAGCAATAGCAAAACGCACAAAACTTTACTATGCGCTGTACTGGGCGGGTAAGTGAAAAGTGAAAAAACGTAAAACGTCGTCTTTGCATCTTTGTAATTTTTGGTGCATTAATAACGCTAGAGTATACTATTATATCCTCATAATTTTAGTGGATATAATATAATTTAATAACGTGTAATAATGTGCTATGCGAGTATCTATGGTAATATGGATGAAAAAAATTATATTTAAAAGCACTTTTAGTCTACCGGACTACCCAACCTATTTTATTTTGTTCGATATACTGATACGGGCAAAGCAATACGGCTATAAAGGTAAAATGAATTAAAAAATAGCATGGAAAACGTCGGACGCAGGACAGCTAGTAAAATAATAAACGTCATTGTAAAACCAATATGTTCCTCTCTCCGTTCAGAATCTAAAATTAATTCATAATTAGACAAATGTTTGAAAAATAAATATTAATCATTAAATAATATGAGTAGTGGCAGATCTAGAGTTTTGGGAACTAGATTTTAAGGTCAATAATTAAAACCAAGGGCACACAAGAGACATGTTTTTTGATGGGGCTAAATAAAATGATTATAGGTCACCTGGTTTGGTTGGAATTATACTACATGGGTAATATTCCGAATACTTATTAAGTACCTAGGTTTTCTAAATAGTTTTAAAAAGTATTTTATTCTTTAAAAATAATTATTTATCTTAATTTTCGTTTTAGAGTGTAATTGTTTAATTTTAAGATGTTTGTTTTATTTTTCAGTTTTTCGATTAGTAAAAATATACCGATTTGTTCACATACTACTTTAAAAGATGAACAATTTTTTTTATCTGAGGTATTTGATTTAAAATATTTTTTTCGAATAGTTAACATATAATGCATAATTAATAATTATGTTAACTATTATTATATAATATCTATAGTTCCCTTAAGAGTTAGTTACCTGAATTTGCTGTCTCCGTTTTAACAATCACGCGATGTAACAAATTTTCGTTCAGCAGGACAACTCTGTGTTGTTAATTTTAAAATCAAAATCAATTGACTTATTATGCAACTTAAATATACGAACATAATCTGTATCATGTTCTCGTTTTTTTTCGTTTTTTAAATGTTTAAATGAGATATAAGGATTTTTAAATTGTGATATTTCGCACACTCAAACATTGCTTACTAGTTTAAATTATGAAAAAAAAAATCTTATATTTATCTTATCTTTAAGTTTGATAACAGGTAATTCTCAGGGAAATATCAGCGGGAAAACACTCCAAATATGATAAAGTCATTATTTTAATATTACATAATAAAATGACTATCTTTCCCTGCTGTTTGTAAATTTACAGTTCGTTTTTAAAGTCAAAAGAGACCAATTTTATCAGTATAAATTAAGTATGGTGACCTCCCGAATGCCTCACTAGATCCGCCACTGAAAACGAGTAAATTATTCCTGGTAGGTAGCTCATCGATAAATGCAGGCACCAACTACGCCAATGGCTTCTCTGACCGATTTACGAAGGCACACTCGAAAAAAATGAATGTAAGTATTTTAGTTATTTCTTTCATTAAATGTATATTACATTTTGTTACTGGAAAAACAGATAAAATCTTAAATTAATTTTTATTATAATGAGGTCGTGAGGTTTTTTACGTATTTTGGGTGTCGTGACACTAAAAAAGTTGAGAAATTATCCTCTTTGAGAACACATACTAAAAATACAATGCGCGTATTTACGTGGAACACTGTACAGGTGTGGGTAAGTAATTATTTACTTAATTTACTATTTATTTATATCTTCAGGGATGGAAAATCCATTTTAAAAATTTAAAAATCAATAAAAATAAAAATATTTGTAATATATTTTTATATTTAATAATAAATAACATCACAATGTTAATAGTTTTTCAGTATCGTTGACGTCTTTCAGAAAAAATTAGTAGATTCGTTAAAAACATAGATAACATACTGAATGCAATAATAGTCTAAATTCTATATCCAAATACTATATTAATATATCTACAGATAAAATTAAATAATTTGTTTTGACCGATAAGTAGCCGCATGCTCATAATATGTATCTCAGTAATCACTAACCAGTACAAATAATACGTTTGTCAATTTGTAAGTGCGTGTTTCGTGTACAAAAGTTATTTGAATTTCGAAATGTAGTCATATAAATAATAGATAATTATCTACTAAAAAAAAAAAAAAAAAAAAGATCAAGGGGAAGATATAATATATATATAAATGTATACACTATATACATATATGTCTAATCTCTCCTATAAATACATTAATAATAATATTAATATAACAAATTAATAACAATCGGCATTAGTTAGTTGTATAATATTAATCGAAAATAATTGTATATTGTACAGTGTCTATTTGTAATTAAATGTAAGTATACATACTATTATAGTATCGAAAATGCGATTTATAATAATACGAGTGTGTATAATGTATAACATTAGGTGAATATTATGTATAATAGTCAATAGATAAACAATTTATTTAGTATTTCACTTAAAGATATTGTCGGATACCGCGTAATAGGTATATCTGGTATACAAAAAAAAAAAAGACGATAAAGCGTCGTAGCGGTGGCGCGTTTTTCCTCTCCTCCGGGGGTGTTAGGGGGCGCAAAGTAAACTTGGTTGCTATCGGGTGTCTGAGTGTTCTTTCCGTATCCGGAACTCGTATGGGGCGGTCGTCTCTTGGAGAAAATGCACTTCAACCGTTTAGTCGTATATAATTATTGTAGATGTACTCATAATAATTATTATTCCAGTCTCAGTGTTCTTAACCGTGATTAATATAATATTAATAATAACAAGACGAAATTGCCGCGGAGAATTAAATTAAAATAGCCGTAACGTTTTCGTGATCGGGTAAGTTAAAATTGAAATAATAATTATTTTTAAATTAATATTTGATTAGATTTAATTTTTTTGCGAATAAATTGCAGCGTACCCGCAGTAATTTGACATAATTTTATAATATTTAATTATAATATGAAAACGTATAGGTAACAGTTGTGTTTTTTTTTTATTATTTTCAGAACATTAAATTTATATATGCGATAGGTGTACTCAATTTATACAACATTATTTTTTTATTATTTCTTAGATACAATATAATTGGTTAGGTTAGATTTGTCTGGATGAAATCCTTGGTAAATTTATAAGTCGCGTGCGGCAATGAGGATTCAATTAAATTAAGATTTGTTTTTTTTTTGACTTGTGAACATTTTAAAAGTAAATAGGTACGCATCATTAATAGGCAGAACATGCAGTTCTTAAATTCGTACGATAGATTTTTCAAAAAAAAAAAAAAAATATATATATATATATATAATGAAATAAATAAATATTAATCATAAAACAAATCTGCAAGATTTGAACATTGTATCGAAGAAAATATACTTAAATTGTTTTATTAAAATATAAAACACGCAATGTTGAAGTGTTTAAATTTAAACAGATAATTTGTATTTAATTTAGATTTTTTTTATAGTTTAAATTTATCGCTGTTTAGGACAAGACATACGAAAACAATTTTAATATACTATTACGTTTAAGTACTTATTTGATTTTTAAAAATGTCGACATTTTGTTATATTTTACAAACATATTTCTGTAATGGTTGTATACGTTTTAACATTCACACATTAAATATTAATACTTAAATTTTAGAATAATATATATTATTTTAACTTATTCCGCGCGTATACAAATATTATTTTTGTTTACAATTATTTGAAATCAAAATAAAATGAGAATAATTTATTATGTTAATTGTGCGCTATTAAATAATTTATTTATTAATATAATTTTGTCATAGTTATAATATTTCGATTTATTTTTAATATAATGTTAAGGTGATGGTTTTCCAAATTGTCTAATATTTTTTATTTCGATGACCACAATACTGTTAAGACTTTTTCACAATTTTCCGACTGATGTCCATTCGGGTCGTTTTTACGGACGAAAATTAATACGATATTTTGGACCGATATCTAAACAAAACTGTAGGAATTGCGTTTAGCGGATTTAAATATCGAATGCGTTTTACGATACGTCAAATTTTGATATAAAATGATATTATATAATTTTTATAATGTACCTTGAAATCTATTATTTTAAATATAAATTATTTTTATCATAAATAAAAGGCAAAATACTTACAGTAAATGTATGAATATTTTTCAAAAATATACAATCGAATTTCATTACGGTTTCCATATAGCAAATTATATTTCTATTTCCAACATACCCTCGTAAAGAAAATAAAAAAAATCATAATCAGATTTCAAAACTGAAATACGTCAAACCTAATTGTTACAATTTTGTCTAGATTTTCGGTCCAAATAAACTAAAATATTCACCGTCGCACCAATCTCCTTAACGTTTTTGGAAATAAAACGTCAAATTTGTAAATTCAATTTGCCACGTTATACCACGCGTTACGTACATTATTATACATACTATGTCTAACTATGACTAATTAACAAAGTTTATATTCTTCGTATTATCCTCATTTCTCAATTTGTTTATAATTATTTCTCGAAACAATAATTATAAACAAGAATAGATTGATCTCCACGTGCAGTGGTTTTTAAATAATTAACATTATTATTGTTATGAAATTTAAATCAATAACGCAATTTTATAATCATTTTGTCTTGTACACCGTGATTAATGAAACCCACGAGAAGTGTCTTGTCCGATCTATTTAACATACCGTCCGTTTCAACTAATAATTTATAACATACTGCAAAATAATATCGAAATATGTATAAATAATTTTCTTTCGCGAACGTAATACAATGTCGGACCGTTCGTTTCCGAGACTATATTGTTATAGAGAAGTGGAGGCAATATAACTTAACCTATCATATTTGTAACAACATCACGTCGGTATTATTTGCTTAAACTCCGAACAAATTATCGATTTTACGCGGAAATATAATTCGCATTAATCGTATGCCTCCGTATTAATTAAAGTTACTCATACGCATTAATATACGTATTATTTTACCATATTACCTACCCAGACGCGCGGCGGGAGGACGGGGTGTTTCGGGGGGTTTTGAAACACCTCCCCCGCGGCCGTATTTAAGCCAAACATAATATATTGCTATAATACTAAATTATACAGGTACTGAACGCTTCGGGTTCTTACAATACGTGTAGAGTGTTGCCTACTTAGATGATTAATCTATGATCGCGTTATAATTATTATTTATTAATGCGATTTTATGACTCCGTGGAGGATGCGCGACGGCGACCCACAAGTTGTATATAAATATAAAATTACAACACACCTATCCGCTCCATTCTAAAAGAAATCCTGGCTCCGCACCTGTAAGTATAATACACCGTTCGAGAATATTATATAAGTTCCGCGATGTATATCGATACATTATGGTATTTTTTAAAATACCGCGGTTGTGATTTTTAACAAGGTATAACGTCGACGTACGTTTTCTACAGGGCCTAATTTTTTGTAACATTCCGTATTGCACACTTTCCAGTTTACACCATAAATTCATGGTCGCAAAATAAAATTTGCCCCCGTACCCTTAAATACAGTAAGTTCGCTAATTTTTCTACCGTTTACAGTTGTTAACAATTTTTTTTTAAATAAATATTTCCAGGTTTAAACGTCACCAAGGAGAAATGTACGGCTAATGTAAGAAGTAAACTTAAAAAAAAAAAAAAAAAAAAAAAAAAATATTACATAATATCAACTAGTTTGCACTTTATTTATACACTATTCTTTCAACAAATTTGTTTAAATAACGTTCCTCTGTGTTTAATTCCTTATTCAAAGTCAGCAAACTAATTCTAATAAGCATTAAGAAAACAAGTTTTAAAACATCATAATAATACATAACAAATTTTAAAATACTTTGTATTTGATCAATCTCTTTGGTATACTTATTCTAGATTTGTTAAACAATTCAAAACTACTATAACAACAAAATATAGTTTAGATATATATTTTCTTATAACACTACACGTTTTATAATTCCGTGCTACACATTTAATAATTTCGTACTACACACAACAGATTTGGTATTACATACAAAAATAGGCCCTGATTTTTTATAATTTTGCGAAATTTTATTTCGGACATAATTTTTATAGCGTTTTATCATAATTAATACCTATCTAATACTGTTGCGATTTTGGTCCGATAATAATTTATTATGACATTTCGTGTATATTTCAAACATTGTTTTCAGTTTTAAGCATATTGTATTGAAGTCGTTACGGGAAGGCCCGTATTCCCGTACAGGCGGATACTTGGTTTCAACAAATATAAACTTCGGAAATAAAAATTGTTTTTTACAGTTTTATTACATTGGTTGTAGCCGCAAACGCGCACCTAGGATTTTTACGCCCCGGGGTTAAAACAACGTAAAATATTTCCTTTGTTTTTCTTTGATTTCTCTTTCATCTATAAAAATTGCCACCTTGAGTCATTTAAATTTTATCGCTTTTGAAATTTTGCAGTCCAGGGCAATCGTCCGCTTCGCGCCCCACCCTAAACGAGCCACCGGATAAGTATATATCCCGCGGTCAAATGATTTTGACATTATGGGGGGGGGAGGGGGGAGTAGATGAATTTGATTTTTAAACTGTCAACAAGCATCATAATATTTGATAGCGATAATAACAAACGAAATATATTAGTATAAGTACATTATCAAACGGAAACAAATTATTTTTTTTTTTAATTATCTTAATGTGTAGGTACCATACACAGTACACCAGTGCCTACCCAAGTGCTACGGTCGAGTAGGCACTGGAAATAACGTGCACAGGGTGCGTTAAAAAACAAAATAATAATTCCGCGGGCTTTTAATTTTTTTTTTTTTCTACAATGTACGGGTATGTAATTATGATTTACATACGCCTATAGTAATACGTCCGACGCATAACGATATAATATAAGAAAGAAAATAAAAAAACCCCCCCCTCCCTCCAATTATTTTACTAATACGTAACATAACGCGCTGAAATACAATATAATATACGTATGTTTTCATAGTGGAACGAGGACCGCATTAATATTACACTCGGCGCGGCGTATTGATTGGTTTGGTTTGGTTTTTTTTTTTTCGTTTTTCTTGTTGTTGTTGTTGTTGCGTACAATAATAACGTTTTCTCTTTTACGAATAACAATAATAGCGATTTAATATAATTCCCGATTATTAGAATTGTACTCTAGACGGTGGGTACCTGTGATACGCAATAATAATTTATAGCGAGTGTTGTACGGAGTGCGCGACTGGCTTATTATAATATTGTGTTTGGCAGTGGGGTACGGGTGTAATGCGGCCCGCGGTCATTTCCGATTATAACAATAATATACGGGAGCGCTGTGTCTGCGGTGATTGCTGCCGGTCGGCTTAGGTGCGTATCGCACAAACGTGAATAATTCACCACCACCCCTCCCCCCCACCGCCGCCGCCTCCGCCGCCGCCGCCGCCGCCGCCGTCACCGTCTCGCCCCTCCCGCCCCGCGCGCGCGCGTCGTTATTTTGCAATAACGGTATTATGTACGCGGACGAACGGTTATACGGCGTTCGTGTGTTTTATGCACGTGAAAATCAACCGACAAGGTGTACGAAACGTATACACCTGGAGGTATATACGGTGCAATGACATATTAATTCGTGTAGGTATACGCGCACGGTTTACCGGAACGCGTTGTCGCGCTTGATACGTGCGCGCGCGGTGGGAAAGACAATTAGATAAAAAAAAAAAAAAAAAAAAAAAAAAAAAAACGATTTGTCATCAAAAACCCCGGCCGGTGAAAATATGTTGTTTGATCGATATACAGTGTATTATTATTGTTTAGCGGGCCCGTGTAGGTGACAATTTTAATGTCGGATAATATTTCGATAATGCATATTCTTAAATTTAAACGCGTCGCGTCGAAACACGCTCATTATTTCTCGATCCATGTGTTATTATTATTATTATCAACAAACGGGTAAGTACAAACGTACCTTTTGACTTATAATAATAACAATTATTGCACGTATTACGCGTCGTAGGCAGATAATAAAATACAGTTACACGTCATCGTGTCGTGCTTTACGCGTACAGATAGGCGTTTGGTCCTCCGGAGCCGAAAGACACTGCCTACCCACAAAATACCCGAAAGAACTTTAATCGTTTCGCGAACAAAACACAATTTTTTTAAATCGCTTTGTTTACTCGATCCTTATCAATCAACAGTAAACAAAAATACCGTATACGAGCCGGCACAAGCGAAATCGCGTGTAGATTTGCGCGATCAGTTACTGTTTTTTTGCTAAGTACAGATGTATGTTTGTTACTGCTCTAATAAATATTTAAATTTTGTTTAGCTTAGGCATTGACAGTGTGTGACGAGAAAAAAAAAATGCATTTTGTATAGTTGATGATTAGGTTGAAAAATATAAACTGCGTAATTATTGATAACAATATAATATTAATATTATGTCGCTAGTTGTATCCTGCATATTTTATTATAATTTTTTATAAATAATATTATATAATTATGAGGTCGTATAACAATATATTATAAAACAGGTTAATAGTAAAACTATTAACTATACTTATACGTTCAATGTGGACTTTAATAGCAAAAAAAAAAAATTAACTTTTTTCAAACTAAGTTGTTAACATTTTGCATTGCATTGCATTTTAATTTTTAACTTCACTAGTTAAATCTGTATAAACATTAACAGTTAACTTTTACTTGAAGGCACTTTTGTACATTTAACTTAATTTAAACTAGTCAATTATTTTCATTTACTTACCCACATTTGCGGCTATATTATTGATATATTAATAAATAGGTAATAAAGAGTATTTCATTTAAGAGTGGGTACACTCATTATCTTGAAAAGTATTCATTTTTTTCTGAATTTGTTTTATAGAACATTTCAGAAACAAGCAGCTCTACAATTGTTAATCACACATTTATTTTTATTTTGTTTCATCCTTGTTTTTTATGGTAAAACTTAGTTTTAATTTTCAAATAACAACTTATGTTGAAAATTCAATAAATAGATGGAATATTAGTTAAAGTAAATTTGGTGTTAAAATTTTTGATTTTCGTCAATCCGTCGAAGACATATTCTACTTTTGAGTTTGGGTCGGGAGAGAGTAGTAACAGGGCATCATTTGCGTGGCAGCATAGTGCGCGGCGTTTTAATGATGCACTACTACTCTCCCCTGACGCAAATATAAAAGTGGACTTTCTCGAAAATACATTGACGGAAATAAAAAATTTGAACACCAAAATGTTTTTTAACCTAATCTACCTTAACTTACACCATCTATTTATAAAATTGATATTATATAGATTGTCATTTGAAAATAAAAATTAAGAAATAGTTTTATCCCCAAAAATAAATGTGACAAAAAATAGAGCAGCTTGTTTCTGAAATGTTCTATAATACAATTCTGAAAAAAGTTAATACTTTTCGGGATAATGAGTATATATAAATTGAATAACTTTATGCACCTTACTTTCCAAATTTTTCACCTATAACAGTGCCATATCCATCAGCAGTATACCAGATATTTTTGTTGTTTGATCTATCCGTGAATAGTAATTATTTTTTCCAATTATATATTTCCTTTTTTTAATTACGTATACATTCGATTAGTTCATAAACGGTAATTATTATAACGATTTATGATTTGTTATATTGTGTAAATAAATATTTGCTTGTACTGTGTGTTAATGTAATACATTGTCTATATTATCAAATATTATGATTTAAACTAAACGTTAATTTACGATTTGCTTATTAATACTACCTACAGGAATTATCGACATTTTAATTTTGCTATTTTGTTCAACTTTTTTGTAGTTTTATTTTGTTATAATTGATAATTTATGGTAATCTCCGTCCCTCAACACACTGCCAATTTGAATTAAAGTACGAATCTACATTATACACATTCTATCCATTTCAATTAGGTATTAAAGTATACTACACAGGTTTTCGTATTTCATGCTATAATTGCTTAAAACTTATAACTGCTTAATTGATAAAACAAAAGAGTGAGAGGAGGGAAGTGAAAATATAGATTTATGAAAAATATAGAAACAAAGTTTTATTATTTTATGTCTAAGTATCTATACTTAGTTATTATTATTTAAATGATATTTTGAAGAGTCCAACGATAAGGTATAAATAGGTACCTACATGTTAAAATATTATTTGATGACACTGATGATATTTCTAAGCCAAATATAAACGTGCCCTTGGAGTTAGTGTTAGTTTCAATGCAAAGTAACGTGCATTCATTGATTACTTATGTAGGATAACAAATATAATTGTATAACTACGTCACTCAAAAACGTATATAGGTACTTTTGATATTTAAAACATGCGTTTTTCGCTTCAACGACTTTATTAATAATGTCGCATTCTACGTCGAGAGTGATTCATTATCGTATTCGAAATTATTATAGTATGTTGATTGATTAATCAGTTTCTGCCCGAACTTTTACGACGCCAATTATGATTATTATTGTTATTATGATTATTATTATTGACGTCTTTGGCGTCGGCTACAAAGTTTTCTTTATTATTCATGCTTATATATATATATTATGTCTATAAATTACTGCAGTTTAAATAAAGACAAACGCAATTTATAATTAATTAATAATAAATAAATATGTGATAACATCTAAGAAACGAACCGAATAATATTATTGTAAATTTTGTTGTATTTTTTTCTTGCGTATAACAATTAAATCTAAGTTGTTCTTTTAAAGCTAACGATAAATATAATTTACTAAACATGTTTAAATGCTATTAGATGCACGTACATAAGTGTATGAATTTGATGTACTCCACTGATTTTAGTAAAATAAGCAATTATTCACTAATCATATTATTTATACAAATTATATAATGAATATTTTTAGTAAAGATAATATCCTTTATAATAAAATATACTTTAAAAGTAAGTATCTATATTGTACGTACAGTTATACTTGTACTAACTGTTCAAAAGACGACAATAATGATTTAAGTTTTTTTGATTTTGTTTTTTTTTTTTTTTACGATTAGATATGTTTGAACGTTTTACTCATGGGGCTTATCAAAAGTTTTACTTATAGCGGTAAAAGAAAAATTAGTGTGACGTAACAGTTTTATTTATAAGCTATAAAGCTCAAATTTTAATAGAAATCATAAATATCGAGGCATTTCGAAAGATATTTAACCTAATTTCAAATTCATTTTTTATTAGCAGTGGTAGGTATATAGTTGTCAACAGATATAAATCGAATAACTTTACGTCTTGTACCTTACCAAATTCCTATCTACAGCAGTGATACACCAATCGACAGTATCAGCTTTTTTTAAAAATTCTTGTAGGTATTAAAAAGTAATTCAACTAACAATATAAAGATAATACAATACTAATGAATCTGGAGTGAATTTGAATGACTTGCCATTGAATAGGGAATGGTGTATTTATTTAATTTTGTTGACTGGCATAGTTTTAGGGCCAAAGCTACGCTAGAAAAAGAAGAAGAATGGGAATATGAGATTATCACAAAATGCAATTTTACTAACTTAATAAGTATTTTTTCTTTACCTATAAAGGATAAAATAAATAGATAATGTATATTTTTTTTATTACATATTATAAAATCGTATTATGCAGTAATTTTGACCATTGGTTATGCATGGAAAGATTAAAAGTTTAATGGAGCGGTACATTTTTTTATAATCCGTCGCGCGGCGTTAAAAACAAGTACCAATTTATTTACACATAAAATTGTATGTCGTTTTCAATAGTTTTAATGAATATAATAGCCAATTTTAGTATTTTGCATTCACCCTCATATTTTGTATTCTGAACTAGGTATTGAGTACTTATAATAAAGTTTTGTAATCATATATAATATTCGTTTTTGTTATCAGAAAATACTTTATTTGAAGAGAACACATTCTGCCTGTTAAATTGAACATTTTAAATATTAATCACGAATGGCAATTACTTAGAGAACATACGTTTATTGATTTATTAATAGTTTTTTCTGAAATAATGTAATAGCAAACATTCAAATTAAAATGTTGCAGTGCTCTTTTTCTTCTTTATGTTTATTCTTACGTTTTTAATATTCAAATTTTACCAGATTGAATTTGTACATCATTATTTTCCTGGATTTTCTGCACAAGTGTGCAAATCATTTACAACATCAAAATTAATACATGATGAAAGCGAGCATTGCAAGCCTATGCTGAATTGCAGAATAACTTAGGGCATTAAGACGTTCTTGTCCAGTGGAAGCTAGTTGCAAAGTTTTAAGTTGGTTTCCTAGCTTACATAAAAACTATTTCTGTCTTTGACCCACAATAATCTGTTATTGGTAGGTAGCATACATAATATTTCTAAAGTATAGCACATTTTTTTATAGAAATTTTGTCTAAAATTTGTGGTAAAAGTATTATTCGTTCTGTCTGAAAACTAATTTTTAATTATATTACAATGACATATATAGCAGATATTAATAATTATGAACACTAATATAGTAATAATTACAACATGATTTATCTATACACAGAGTAATCTATCAATTACATTTTTTTTCTGAAATTAGGTATAAGATATACATAGTTACGGGTAATTTTTAAACTCATATAAACATGATGCATTAAACTTTTTAAATAAAAATTTAGTGGAATTTTCCACATAGTTTTTGTTCATTTAATCAGCGTTTGAACGGTTTGATTTTAAAATAGAAAATAGTTCCCTACAAACTTTGACGTAGAGGTATATCGAATAAAATATATGGCATATTAATTATAAATATTTAAAGTTTGTAAGAGGAATAGAGCGGTGCAATTTTAAATTATTCACTTCTTCTCATTACTCGTCTTATCTAAACTTGAAGGAATTATTATTTCATCGGTTTATCGATTTAATTTATATAGGAAAAATAGCAAATTGAATTTAATAATGACTTTTGGAAATTATCAATGATAGCGATTAAATATTTCTCAGACTATATGTAGCTCGAGTTCGAGATATTTGATGATTTTGCTGCTTTAAGAATATAAATTCGTAAAGTTTTTCCGCCATTTAAATTGGAGAATTTTTCTTTATTACGCTGATCATCTCTAAGCGGGTCATTTCGCGGTTCGTTTTAATTAAAATATATGTTGTTACTTATACACGTAGCTTTTAGAATTTCGGAAAAACGATAGAAATATGTACACGAATAATAATAGCGTAACGTATAATATTATGGGCATATGGGGGTAAGTATAACAATTTTGATCTCGACGTTCGTTAACTGACTAATTTTCATTTTTTGTGATTAATCTCGATTCTGATTTTAATTTATTTCAATCTGAAAATAAGTTTAGTTTCAATATCATTACGTTACAATGGAATATGTTTCATATAATTTCCTTCAATTTCAAAATTTTAAAATTTTAAATTAAACCCACACAAGCGTTGATATTCATTTGAGCTCATTAATATACCCGAAGAAGATTTTCGGGCCAGGATAGTATCAGTGAAGAATGGAGAGGGAGAGAAAATGAAGAATTCGAGTTGTTGTTCCAGAATATAACCGCTTTGAATGAGATAAAAATGTGAAGATTTCAGTGAGCAGGACATGTCTGGAGGAGCCAAAACGAATTAATAAAAGCAGTGACGGAAAAAAATCCGTATGAGAAAAGACCATTTGGAAGAACCTAAAAAAAGATGAGAAAACTTACTTAAAAAAATGTGGAAACACAGGTGGAAGTACAAATTGAAAAGAAAGAGCTCCGCTCAGAATCGAAAATGTGCGTATTTCAAGTTTTGATTGCCTTTATGTCCATATATGTTTATAATCTCCATTCAGGGCCAAAGGTAGGAAAAAGCACGGGGGAGTGATGCACCCTCAACTTGAAAGTTTAGATTACTGAGTCAATAATTCAACGATAGTTTAATTTTCATTTCGATAAAACTAATAATTCCTTATGTTTTATTTTCTTGTATATTTTTATGTGATTACACCTTACACCGTTGTATTATTTTGGTCAAATTTATTTACTATCAAAGGACAACAGAATTGGTGGCAACATTTGTTTGAAGTCAGTAAATTTTCATAGGTATTTGAAGTTAGAAAATGTTCAATCACACTTCTCCGTAATTTTTATTTAGGGGTTTATTTTTTGGATTGATAACATGATTTATGGGAAATCTTATGCCTCGTTGTATGGTCCGCTTTTTATGATTGTGTTTTTGTTGGAAAGAGCAGCCTCTCTCTAAAACTCCGTTTTTTAATATTTCCAAGTTTTAAAATAAATGTTTAAAGAAGGTTGATTTTTGTCTTTTTTACTATACAATAATGTATACCATTTTAGATTTTGAGCGAAGCAAGGAATGCATTGGTTTTACAATATTGTTTATATTTTTTTTGTGAACCACTTTTCTGACAGGAAATTTCATCATGCATTTTCAAGCGGTTTCTATATTCAATCAAAATTGTGGGAAACGTGAGGAAAACGGGAAAATTTACAAAAATAACTAAGTTAGAGTATAGGCTTTCACATTTTAATATTAAAACAGTTTAATAGTACAAATCAGTTTTCATATAAAAAAAAGTATAAATATAACGACATTATTAAGTTAAAAAAGTAATAGGTATATGTTGTTACCGTATTACTATCAATAATAAATTATCCCACTAAAAAGCGATAATAATCTATGAAAAGTATTTAAATAACAGACTTAATATTTTAAGAAGACAACATATAATTCCATTGCATTCAAATGGAAATTGAATAAAGCTATAAATAGTGTAATAAATGTTAATTTATTTATACATGCCAATATTTTACTAACTTCAATCAGTTACACGTTTAATGTGTATAATAATACAACACAATAATATAAACCGGATGGTCCATTTAAGTGAGTACACTCTTTATCTCGGAAGGTATTAACCGGAAGGTATCCGAATTTATTTCCTAGAACGTTTTGAGAAACAAGCAGCTCTACAATTTTATATTAACGTTATTTTTTGTCATCCTTATTTTTGAAAGTAAAACCACTAGGTACTTACTTTTAGATTTTCAAATGGCAACCTATATTAGAAATTTCATAAATAGATGGAGTGTTGGTCAAAATAAATTTGAGTGTTGACATTTTTGATTTCTGTCGAGCCGTTGACGAGATATTCCACTTTTAAGTTTGGGTTAGAGGAGAGTTGGTGTGTTATTAAAACACCACACGCCGTACCACCACACAAATGATACTCTACTGCTCTCCTCTAATCCAAAGTTAATCGCAAGTTATTCGCAATTAATCGCAGTTCAATGCGATTAATTGCAAAACGTTGTTTACGATATTGGTTTACGAACGCAAACATCGTGGGGAAATTGCACGGCGACAAAAGTCGTCACACGAGTACGGTTATTGTCGCAAAGTCGTCAATTTCGTCCGTAAAAACGGCTGTATATTCGGTGGCGGGGTGTCGGGGTGGAGTTTGTGGGGGGGGGGGGGGGGGGGGGGGGGGGGGGAGGGTGATAGAAGATGCGGTCGGTATTGTAACGTGTAACGTAGGCGACCGCGGTGCACGGAACATAAACGGAACATTTTTAATAACTACAATGCCACACAGGTACGTAATAATTTACAATACATACCGCGTCGGTGCAGTTTTATCATTATTTTCCGTATTCGGGCGGAATTTCTTCACGAATAGCAATAACAATAATAATAATAATAATAATAATATTCGATAATACCGCGCGGAGAAGAAAGTTTTTGTTTTTCGCGAGAAATATAAAATAAAATATATTTACTCGGCGGCGGCGTACAACATTAATGGTTTTTACAGAAGAGGCTCGCGACGACTCCCGGATATCGTATTTATTATTGACGGTGGGCGCGTATGCGTATTTAATATAAAATGCCGCCGCCGCCGGTCTCCCGTTACCCGTTGGCGTAAAAATGCCAAGGGCGTCCGCAGCCGCCGCCAAAGGGGCACACATACAACGCGCTGCGTTATGGTTAGCGGAGGACTTGCGTGACGGAATGGCGGAGGGACGGCACTAATATAACGGCGTGTATTATGGTGCGCGGGCTCTCCGGCGGTGCCGGCAGAAGTGTACGGTTTTTGTGGCCGGCGACGGCGGCGGGTGTAAGAAGTACGAAGTGTATAATAGCGCGGAGGAATTATTCTCGTCGTCGTATATATATATATATATATTATATATACGGAGAAGAATGGACGCGCGCGGTAATCGTCATCGGTGATGATTCGCGCACGTTTAGGTATTCAACTTGCCCGTGCGGGCACTATACAGACGCCGCATTCTTTTACTTATTTTTTTTTTTTCCTTCACGCCGCGGCCTCTTATCCCCCCCGTTAACTTTTCGTCTCCAAAGCCAATATCTCTAACGTTGAACAATCATTAGCGGTCGGCCGGGAAGCAATAAACGCCGCCGGCGTCGTCCTCGTCTACTCGTCGTTTCTCACTTAAGCGCACATAATATAAGCGAGCGCGCGCGCGTGTGCGTCAAAGGTACATACCATTTAAAGGGACACCGAGGACCGGAGCTCAAAGGGGAGAGTGGACGCGGAACGTATAGCCCCACTATATCGATGATGATCGTGACTGTGGAATCTCGGGAATCCGCCGCCGCCGCCGCCGCCATCGACGGCGACGACCGGAATAATAAAATTTAAAAAATATTTAAGACATATTACCCACCGTCGTCATCATCAGCGCCTGCGAAACCCCGTGTGTAAAGGCGGTATGGTGTTCTCGCGCGTCTCTCTTATTAAATTATAATATAATCGTCGTCGTGCAGCTCGACATCAATATAAATATTATATATAGGTATATACACCTTCATACCTATACACCGGTGGTTATTCTCATTTTCTCAACATTTTCGAGCCCGCGACCCCCTATACACGTTCCCCTCCGGAACGGCATCTGCAGGAATGACGGCGATGCCCGTATAGGTAATACGTTTATAATCGTATTTAATTATAACCAGTGGTTTAAGCGGGGTGGAGGGACGGAAGGCGGACACTGAATGGGTGCAACACGATTGCGAACGAATCGGTCGGTGGTCGTCTGTATTGGAAAATTTCTTTCTTTTTTCCTATTTCTTTTTCGCCGAAAAACGAACGATTGCGAACGGTTTTTTTTTTTTTTTTAGGCTACATTGCCAAGTATAGACGGTGTACATTTTTCTGTACAATATGTTTTATTCTATTCGAGGATTTAATGTTATACGTGTTATAACATTACAACTGCGTTGAAAGACCTAAATTAAAACGATAAGGAATTATTGTGTTTAGAACAATGATCAATTAAAATTTTTTTTTTTTTGTTTGAAATATATTATACGACACGAACGAATCACGAATAATACTGCACGACTATACGAATCGCGCCGGTTCGCCATCGAATTAATACAAATCTAAGACAAGTATGTTAGTATTTGTTCTACATCGTATCTTATCACACGGCATAATAGCAGAAAACCATTGTTGTTAACATAATATGATTTGACTATATGAAAGCAAACAATTTAAACAGACAACATTAAATCCATTAGTTAAATAATTATAATTGACAAACGCCAAATCTGGCAACGCCGCACGAAAAAAAGCAAGTAAAAACGTTCGCAATCCTGTTACGGACAAAGGTCCGTTCGCAATCGTATATCACCCCAGGGGCGTCTTCAGACATTGATTATAGGAGGGGGAGGCGAAATAATTAAATTTAATAATAATGATTGGTAAAAAGAAAAAGACGGACACACTTCGCACGATGAGTGAACCACTGTTATAGATGAAAAGTTGGGTAGGTAGGATATTGAGAGAAATTTAATGTATATCTGTACCTGAGCAAATTTAAACATTGCCAAAAATAAAACGATTCTGAGCAGAGTTCGGTTGAGAGTATTGCTCAGGAGCGTCTTAGGGTCAATTCTATGGGAAGGGGGCGAACAATTTTCACTCTTGAATACTACCGCTTTGGTCAACAAAAACTTAAGGCCTTTATGTATGATGTCATTTCAACTTATAGCTTAGAAGACTGCAGATATATTGTACAAATGCAGTAAAACAGTATAATTTAAAAGTTAAATTTATTTTGTTGACATTAAATAAATAATAATTAAAATAATGATATTATGAATAACAAAAATAATAATAATAATAATAAATAAAAGTTAAATGACCATGTCTAAAATAATTTTATTTTAAGCAGCGTTTTGCAAGCGGTTTGATCAACAGTATTTTCTATACTTGTTAATGTTTTCATTTCGATGAACACCTATTTAAAAGTGATAAGCCAGTTAGCCTCTGCTCAAAATTCTTTTTTTTTTATACCACATAGTACGACTTTTAATGAATATCATGTTAAATTCTCAAGTATTTCTGTTTGGTCTAACAGTTTTATTCACAGAGTACCTACCGAATAAAAATTACGCACAGAACTCGCAAAATTAAAATGTCTTTAAATTGTTCAAAAAACTGTACCACGTCAACAATAGGCAAATATAAGTTTCTGTTCGAATTTCAAATTTCTACGAATATTTTTAACTGAATTACAACAAAAACAAAATTGAAAATAATAAAAGCATTATTTTCGTAAATTTCCCCGTTTTTCTTACATTTTATTCTGAGTTTCTCTAATTTTATGAAAACTGCTTGGAAAATCAAAAAATGATCTTTCTAAAGTGACCGGGACAGCCTGTATGATAATAAATTCCTTAATTTAATCAATTTGATTTATGCGTATTTAGACTATGTTTTACTTTATTTATACTGAACAGGCACATTTGTAGAATAGTAGATTTGGAGGAGGAGGGGTTAAAATTTATTATTAAATCCTATTAGCATAACATTTTTATGAATAGATGTGTGTGAGGGAAAACAAAATAATTTGAAATTCTTTACTACGTGATTTCCTGAAAGTTAAGTTGAGTTTAGATAGTTCTCGGAACGCTCCTCAATTATAGTGCTAAATATAGTCTATGAAGATTTTTCCCACTTCAATCACATTATTATTACTTTTTTTTTCAAGGAAATATAAAGATTATTGTCTTCATATTGCATATATTACTGAATTAGATTAGTTCATCAAGATTTTTTACAAAAAAAAAAAAACAATTAGAAAACCACAAACAACATTACTAATCGTAATATATTTACGTAGGTACAATTGTCTTAATAATAATCCCCTATGATAATGGGTTAGGTTAACAGCAAAATATTTGCATTTGTTCAAAAAAAATATATATATATTTGTTCCTATATTATATTACTATGTACGTGTATGAATAAAGTTGACATTTTTTACGAGTTAAATTTTTAAACATAAAATAAATCGTCGCCTGCCCTATCTTTATGGGCGATTTGTTTACACGTGCGTGTAAAAGGTCTATTAAACTTTTTCGTCAAAGCTGCACCGCCATCAGTAAAATAGTATACGACAATGTACTTAAACTCAGTATATTTGTCAGTATAATGTCAAATCATTTTTCACAATGAATTAATTTAAGAGACCTATTAAAATCCCTCCGAATGTACATAAATGTTTTTAAATTTAAACAACACGAAAATTGTCTAAAAAAAAAAAAAAAACCTAATTGAGTGGTAGGTATGTTGCGGATATTTCGTACACCGTCGTTACACTTCTCGAATAAGATACTGTTCATTATGGTAGGCAACTGTTGTAGGTGGACAATTCGGAATAAAGGATAATTAAATTTTTATTTGTACTTAATGATGAATCATTGCTATCGAAAAACGATTCCGAGCTAAGTTCGTTTTTTGATAAACTTAAACGGATGATTCATTTGGAACTACTACATATCCAACTACAATTGTTTCTGTCTCTTTCGTTTCAAATTTTCTAGCATTTTTATAGAATTAAAAAAACTGCACAAACTTACGCAAATTACCGTGATTTGTATGATTGTAAACCTAAAAAGTAACCTACAAAAAAACTACTATTACGTAAGGATCAAATTTGTTTCCATTGGGTACAGCTTATGATAAGTCTTGTGTCATATTACCATTTCGAAAAGTTAGACAAATTTTATCCACATAAAACCAAGCAAAAATCAAAAAAAAAAAAATCTTGAATTTCAAATGGCTATAAATAGCTTAAAAATCGACAGAATGGTTTAAACTTTTTATCACATCCAGAAATGATAATATAAAATATATTCGGTAAATTACCGGTTTCTACAGATATTTTTAACTGATTTACAAAAAAAAAAAAAATAATAATAATAATAATAATAATATAGAAGTCGTTATCACGTACCAGTTTTCCAACGGGTTTTTATCAATTATTAGGAAAATCACAAAGAAAATAAAAGAAAAAAACCTTCTCAATACATTGTCTAGACAAAGTTTGTTGCCGGCGATTACTCTTAAAATTTATGAATAAAACACGGAAACTTTTCTGGTAGAAAAACATTTTATAGTGAAACCACTAAAACCAATGCGTTCTTCGTTATGCCGAGAATATAAAAAATAGCAAACATGCTGCCAGTACAAAATATTAAACGTTTACTTTATTATTTAATTACGAATTTACGTAATTCGAATCAGTATTATATGTAACATTATCTAATATCACAGGTTAATAATATTACTTCATTATAAACAATCTGTAGATTTTTCAAGTTGGATTTCATAAAAAATTGTTTTTTAACATTTTTGTCAATAAGTTTCACTCCGATGTTGTCAGCCATAATCTTTATTCTATTGCTAATTTTGTCATTAGACATGGGTGTATTTTTTATCTTGGCTACATGCTCATTACCAAACAATGCAGTACAAATATCCATCATGCAAGGTTTTAATAATTTTTCACCTATTGTACATGATTTTTTGAATTTCGCTACCATACGCACAGTCGGCTGCCAAATAAGAACATTTTTAAATATATTTTTTCTTGGCTGCGAAAGTATCGCTCATTTTTCTATTTAATTTAACTCGTGTAGTTTTCCTGAAATAAACTCACTAGTATTATTTTGTTTTGTATTGAATGTGATTTGTTTCAAGACGATGTAAAACTTACATAATTAGGTGTTTTAAATGTAAATCGACCGGCATAATATATAACACGTCATACAACACGCATTGATGCAAATTATTACGATTCTCCCGTAAGTAAGTAAACTCGTATTCAAAGCAATAATTATAATAATATTGGTATATCAGTTTAAATATTTTTTCGAATAATTTTATCGTTTTAATTGTTAGATTTATTTAATTTTCTAACTTTGACACGTTTGATGTTTCTTGTTTAGTAGTTGATGGGTATTTGAAAAAAAATGTATAAACAATACATTTATTCACCCATGATACGAAAAATGATCACGCAGGAAATTGTTTCCTCGTTATTTATTATTATTTTTTTTTTTTGGCAAAACTATAACAAAACATAGTAAAGGCTTATTTTGTATCCTAGATATAAAATAAAATATGTCAAGTGTTGTGATGAACGTTTTTTTTGATGTATTGAAGAATAGAAACGTAGTTTTTTGAAGTGCTTTGGCAGATTTCAAATTTATCTCTGATCTATATTGGAAAAGATTTAGAAAATATTGTTGATCCAGAACTTTTCCCAGATTTTTGTCCAAAAAAGTAGATGTTTAAATTAAATTTTATAATTTAATATTTATTAATATTTATCAGTATATACACTAATTATTTTTAAATATGTAAAAAGTCAGTATTTAAAAACACTTCGTTATAACTTATAACTCCGTGTAAAAAAAATTAAATTTAGTAATGATTAAGTCTTTAAAAGACGTGATGTAATATGGAAACTAAGAAAATGCCATTTTATAATATTACAAATACTAAGGACGAATAAGATCATGTAATCATGATCATGATTTTAAAGTTAACTACTTAGTCAACATATTGTTTAATTACTTGGCAGGACGTGTATGTATACTTAAATAAATACGAATGAGTAATCACTATAGTAAATTATAGTAATTATAGTAATTTCGTAAATAAATTAATAATTGATAAACAATATGTTGACTAAGTATTTAATTTTATAATAATTGATCTTATTAGTCGTCATAGATATTTGTAATACTATAAAATGACATTTTACTTAGTGTTCGTCATGTCTTTTAAAGATTTAATCATCACTAAATTTAATTTTTTTTAATTCTGTTATTTTTTACACAGAGTTATAACGAAGTGTTTTTGGTGTGATATCAGCTATTTTTTATAAAAAAAGTCACGATGTTATTTGACTTTGTTAAGCCCGAAGGTGAATTTTGAATTTGAAACTGGTCGTTAAATATAAACCTAATAACAGAGGGTCCGGAGTCGTCGTCGCCACAGCAACGAAAGTAGTGGGATAGATAAGCGGCGGATCGGGGGGCAATTATATTTTACGTGGTTGTGGCCGTAGCAAAGAGATAGTAGATATTTTTACGATATTTTCGTCGAATACGAAAAATCGAACTTGAAAGTACTTGCATATTTTTGCTTATAACTTTTAATCCATCTAACCAATCTGCTTGCGAGTTCTCCTGTTTCCATCTGCACAATATTTCCGATCGATTGATACTTTATATGACCTTGTATGTTCAGCCGTTTGGCCTGTAGAACTGGTCAATGGATTAACGCAAATTAGCGCTATTTTTCAATGGTACAACTCGGTTTCCTGTTACTATATATGTTAATGACAACTATGCTATTTTTTTTTTGTACTTAGCTTCACGCCACTATCGTTGCGCTGGATAAATTATAAAATAGTGATGTGAATATTCATGTCAGCATTGTTTTATCTTTATTGGTAGTCATACAAATTTGTAGCCACCTAGTTAAGTTAAATTATTTGTATTAAATCATCGTACTTCATCAAATATAAACAATTTTTATACTAATGAATTGAAGAAATTACTTAGCTCATTTTTGATACCATAACTTTTCTAACTTGAGTATTTTTTTTCTTAGCGCGAGGTTTTTACACTCAGTTTACGGAGGGATTTTGCTGGAATTTAAATTTACAGTAAATGAAATACTTATAATCATAGCAACCTACACGATTTTTAATCTTAAAAGTCTTATAATATAAAATGACAAATGTAATAGTAATTAACTAATATAATAAATAAAGGTAAACATTTTGTGTTAAACATCATTTAGCAATATAAATATCATATACATATTTAGATGTTTTTTAAATTAAAATTATTTAAAACAGTTAACACAAACAACCTTTTTAGGTTTTTCATTGTTTTTTTGTTAATTATACCAACCAATGATTAAGTATCTTGTATATTTTAACACAATAAAATGCTTAATACCATAATAAAACGAAATACTTGAAATTAATTAATTAATTACATAAATAAAAAATACAAGATATAAGGTACGATCGTACCTTTGATACACATTATGTATCGGTAATACTGTTAAACTCCGGGCACAAAACCATTGTACCTATAGTGTACTTGTACAAATATAAAATTCAATTCAATAAAATCAAATAAGTATTATATTTGTTCATTGCGTTAAAGTCTACAAAGAGTATTAATAATTATCGAAAGGTATCTTCATCCACATTTTGGGTAATCCGATATACGGGATAACAATAATCATTTGGCTGACACCTTTGAGTACATTAGTCATCTCAGTAAACGTAAAATATATTAATAAACATTTTCCAGTTTCAAAAGTATCCTATTTTATCGACAAATATTTATTTTTCTGTAAAAGTCAATAGTGATAATGTTAACACATAATCTATTATGATTTCTACTTACACTAATCATATTATTATACGTGTTGGTGAATCTAAATAATTTTTGATAATTATTTAAAAACAGTTTAAAGTTAAATTTGAAACACTTAAACATTAGTGGTCTATATCAAATCAATATAATTTCTCTTATAGAATAATTCTATTCGTACCAACCTAAAATATTACTGCCATATTTAAATAATTATAATATGTAAATGTTTTACTATATTTTAAGAGTTTACTTCGAGTATGACCATACCAACAGCAAAAACTTCGGCGATGTTCAACAACGGTGTAACCAGTGTCGAGGTCGTGGACAGCGATAATGATGATTTTGATAACGAGAAAAACGGAATTAAAAATAAATGGACTCCAACGATAAACAAATTTCGACAATTTTTCTCTTCGCCATCGACTGCTATGTCAAGTAATAAACGTCGTTGGCGTCGGCGTCAGAACAAACAAGACGCTGAAAACGAACAATGCTATGACCAAGACGATGAACAGGACGATTCTAGTGAAAATCAGGAATCGCACCATCAAATTGATGAAGGACGTGCGGTCAGTAAAAGCCGCGATATAGAAGAAGATGAAGACGATGACGACGAGGACCAGGATGAAGACAGGCAAGTGCGGAAAAAAATGCTCAGAAAACAAACCAAGAAAGAAGTCGAAGTCAAAAAAAAAAGTAAATCGTTTTTAATTTATTATACTTTTTAACTGAATATATGTAGGCATCTTCTTATATTGTTTGTGTTGGATATTTTTATTTTTAGAAAATACTGAAATTCGGTTGTTACTGGCTAAGTCATCTGACGACACTAAAAAAAATTTAAAACATATTGCCGAATCGACTGCTGTTGTGTCTATAGTGGACGAAATTGATTGTAAAGAAGGTTTTACGTCCGATCCTATTGACGGAGAAAGAGAAACTTGGGAGAGAAACGCGGATTTTTTACTTTCCATTATCGGGTTTGCGGTCGACTTGGCGAACATATGGCGATTTCCATACTTGTGCTACAGAAATGGAGGAGGTTCGACAATAAATAATAATAACGATAATTATATACATAGTAATATATTGTTTTACTAATAATGTTCATGTTATAGGAGCGTTTTTGATACCATACTTTCTAATGTTGATATTCGGCGCGGTTCCCCTGTTCTACATGGAACTTATATTGGGCCAATATAACAGACAGGGGCCGATAAGCGTTTGGAAGAACGTTTGTCCACTTTTTAAAGGTAGGTACCTATATAATTTGAACAAAATATATTACAAATAATGGCAAATCTTTTAGATAAAAATTAAATGGGCACCTACAATACGTATTATTATATTTAAATTGTATTGTCTAAAGTTTAGATAAATTAAATATGTAGTTTAGATTCTAAATTACACATTTAAATCAGTAAAGTATATATTATATAAACATTATACAAACATCATACAAACAAATGGTATTATATTTTTAGGAAACACAAACAAAATAATACACACAAATCAACAAAAATATACCTATATTATTAAGACGTCGTATTGTATAACGACTATAACGTATATATTTGTATAACGTTTAACTACAATTTGAAGATAACATCATATTACTTACGTTAAAATATATTTCGTTTAATATGAAGGGTATACAGGTAGCTGAAGTCCATTTTTGATAATTGTTTAGCAGAGCAAAACTTTTCTATTCTGTGGCTATACATGAACTACGAGTTTTTTTTAACCAGTATAAGTATTTATATCCGATATTTTACATTTAATATTATCTGAGTGAAAACTTTTTTCACTGAATAAATTTTAAAATTTGATAATAGTTTTTATGCACCATCGAATAATACTCTAATATTATCATACAATTTAAAAATAATAATGGACTAACCTCTCTTCTTCCCTGTGCCCTTCATAAACGTTTTTTTTTTTTTTTTTTTAGTAAGTATACCTATAAGTATCGTCTAATCTATGACAGTGGTTCCCAAACTTTTTTTTACTGTGACCTCAAAATTAAAGTGTTAACTTATATGCGACCCTCTCTTGTATCGGTAGATACTTATCATTACAGGAAAATATAAAAATAAAGAAATGCCATTTCGCATCGTTATAAAGATTATAAACTATAAATACTAGTTCATTTTATTTATTTTTCATATTTATCGGATTAAATTGGTTGAATATTGTTTAAAATGCATGATTATTTTTAATTAACACGGAAAAAAATATACATACAATTTACATAGAATGTCTTATAACAGTTAAAACACAGTAGTAGGTATTATTTTTAAATTAATCTATTAATGGCTATTGTGATGTTGTTGCATACTGTCCACTAGTTCCTCAATATTTGGTTTGATATTCATCGCAAGAGCAAACCACATATCATGTTGTGGATCAAGTCTATTTCTATACTTGGTTTTTATTACCACTAAAGCTAAAAATCCTGATTTACATTAGTAAGTTTTTGGATACGGTAATACAACTTTATCGGTTTCTCTTTTAAGAATTGATTTATTATTCAATTGAGCCCAAAATTGTGTAAGATTCTTTGTAGAAAAATCGTTTTTTAATACTTTATTAGCTTGAAGGTCAAAAAGTTCATCCTGATATCCATTAATGTCTCCACCAACTTCATGAACATTAACATTAAATGGGTTTCTTACCCAAATATATTTATATAGTTTAACATTTTCAGATAAACAACGATTGAGTTCTTGTTGTAATTTCGTCATGTATTTTTGAAAAATATTAGCTATATTTTCAAGATATATATTATTACTATACATTATTTGAGTCTTCAAGAAATTCGATTAGACGTGGAAATAATCTAATTTTTCCACATAACAGTTTTTCACGCTAATGTACTAATTTGAGTTTAAATGACGATATTCGCTCACCAATATCGACTGTTGATTTATTTTTACATTGCATTTCTGTACTTAAACAGCATATGCATTGTGGTCGTACTACACTAAAACAGTATTTAATTTCAGTAAATCCAATTTTTAAAAAATCATCTTCATAAGATAAAATACGTTTAGTCATTTTTAATAAAAAAATAACGTTTTTTTTTTTAAATATTACTACACACACGCGGTACATTCAAGGTCACAACGTCTTAATAACGCGAAATTATTCTAACTAATATTTGTCTTTGTCATTTCAATTCTTGTTGTTTAATCAAATATAGATTAATGTCAACCGATATGATTGTATATTATACTTCTATATACATTCATATTGTCATAGAACCAATTATATCAAAATTGATTTGATCTCTTCCACACAGGTCAAGCCCGTATTTATTTTAGATTCCGAGTGTAGCGAGGGAGTTATTGGTTTTAAAATGCTGTTTATTTCTTCTTCTTTGTTCTAGTCTGTGGACGAGTTTTTTCTTAGTAAACTTGCTCCGATTTTTACGTGTAGCAACATAACTAAAATTTTAAGTTTTTTAGATGGTACTTTTAAGAGGTCATTTTTTGATTTTCGAGGACATTTTTTAAATAAAAGCACTCAAGTGGAAAAAAACGTAGGAAAACGTGCAATTTCACGATTTCATTATTTTATAAAAACACGGACGACGTTTTCTACCAGAAAAAATGATTTGATCGAAAAATTACAAGATACCTTTTTTGTTGCCTTTTTGATTTACTTTCTTGCAGTATCATTGTAAAACTTTTGAGCCACTTTTGAGCTTTAAATGAATTTTAATTTTTGGTAGTTTTTTGTTGTAATTCGATTATAAATACACGTAGAGACTTGAAACTTGGTAATAATACATATATTGGACTTACCTAGACGTGGCTAGACAATGATGGTTAATCATTGCTTACAGATAAATATTAAATTTTCCCTCAATTTCTCACCTACAACAGTAGTCCACCCATCGTGCGAAGTTTATCAGTAATTTTTATTTTTTATTATGTACTGCGTACACAATTTCTCTAGAAAACCGGTGTATCAAGTGTAGCAGAAATGCTTAAAAATTTGATAGAAGGAAGGTTCATTATATGTCATACTTAGTATACTCAAAAAAAAAAAAAAAAAGGAATTATGAAGAAAACTATCCAACTACAATAGTGGTCGCACCCGTCTTCAATATTATTTTTTTTATTATTATTATTATATGGCGTACGCTCAACAAAATAAATAAATGTTTCCAAATTTTCTATTATTAAAAGTTTTTTCGTTCTTCTATTGATTTCGATATTATGTCCAATCTAAAAACTAATGAATTAATATTAAGGGGGTATGTGAAGCAATGGTGAGTGGTTAAAGGATAGGTATTTGAAATAAAAAAATATTGAGTAACGCTGCTCTAGACTATAGCTGAAGCATATAATATTGAATTTTATTAAACGGTTGTACGAAATTTTGTTTTGTTTTTTTTTTTTTTTTTATGGTAATTTTTTTCATAGGAGTTGGATTTTGCGCCGTGCTGGTCGCTTTTTACGTGTCATTCTATTACAACGTCATTATCGGCTGGTCGCTGTATTTTCTGGCCATGAGTACTACCAGCGGTTCGGGACAGCTGCCTTGGGTGCACTGTAATAACACTTGGAACACGAACGCGTGCGTTGAACAGAAGGACGACGATTGGACAGGTGCCTGGAACCGCTCGGATCTGGATTACAGTAACTATATGCCCAGGATGAGCGCGAACGGCAGCTTGCTGATGACGTCGGACGGCACGTCGGCTGCGGGCGGTGAATTCAGCGACCAGAGTTCGCCGGCGGCCGAATACTTCCAGTAATTGAAATTTTCAATAATACAAATAATTAATATTAATAACAATAATAATAATAATATGGGCCGTAACGTCCGAAATTCAGTGACGTTAAATCATAACAATAGGTAATGTATAAATTCGGTGGTTTATGCAGAGAGACGAGGGCGACAGATTCCTATTTCCGGTGGTAAAATTATCCATCACGCCTTTAATTCAAGTCTTTAAAGTCCATAAGCACAACTAGGGGGGAGGGCTTGGAGGAGCTAAGTCTTTCCAGATTTCTAAATCATTCCCCCCCCCTCCCCAGTTACGACGAATATAGTTAGAAATGTTAATATTTTATAATAATTATTTATATTTGTTTTTATGACTACAATAATGTAATACAATATTATATTTTAAAATTTAAGCAAATATATTTGTTTGAGGCTATGGCCAACCTCAAAATTTTTACCTAAGTTGCATCTATTAAAAGGACGCTCTTAATAAATTCATTATTAAATTGAATGTATATTTCGATAATTTTCTATGGAATAAGTATTACGTATTAGCATAACCTAAACAAATGTTTGTGGGAGAAAAACGTTTCGAAAGTCTTGTCTCTGTTTTGGATTTCCTGAAAGTATTTGATTGGGTTTAAATAATTAGGTTTGGGGAATGCCTCTCAATTTATGGTAAATATAGTCCCCCTCCAAAGTTTTTTCTACTTTGGCCACTGTATATATTCCAAAACTCAATCGTTTGATATTTAATATTTACCGGCGTACAATTTTATTAATTTTTCAAATTGATATTTTAATTAGTTTTTATTCGTTCTCAATTGCCGTGATTTAAATTTATGCCAAGAACAAGGTGTCTATATTATCATATTTTATAATACTAGACCAATTTTACAAACTTATATATATCGAATCATGTTCCAATATGCAAAATAATTTAAATATTTTTGCATCCGACAACCTTCTGACAGATTCATCGTTTAGCTGAATTTTGGAAGGCAAGGTAATATTATTATTTCGCGTGTTTTCAATAAAGCAACTATCGTGTCAAACCTTGTATAATATTAAGTTATCTGTACAGTGTACACGTCCACACAGTTTAATCTCGTTCGAAATCATTAGGCGTACAATTGTTCATATATTACCATACAGGTTTCGGAATTCCGTGTAAATATTTGCACATTTCTTAAGAAAGTGCATATTATCAATAATTTTATTTGAAACGAGTTCGTTCTATAGCGTAATTATTTATAAATATATATATAGATTATACAATGTACATATACTAGTACACACATATTCATACAATTTAGAATTTATATACAATACATATTCTTCCAGATCCAATGCTTAAATTGGACAAAAATTACAAAGGGGGCGGAAAGAGAGGAAAAACAATTTTTGCAAATTAAAAGATTTAAACGTCTCGAAGTTCATCATATACAATCACAATATCTTTTCGCCACCAAAAATAATGGTGATAACAAATAAAAGTCATGTACAATTTTAGAGCTGCTTATTTCTTAAATTTTCTAAAAAAAGAAATTCCAAAAAAAGTTAAAATTTTCCGAGAATGTCCCAGAATTTTCCGTTATGCTATTCACCCTTCACCCTGTAGAGATATAATAAGTCCATTACGAAATAGTGAATAAATAGTCCGCTGTGATTTGACTATTCAACGATAATTTGACTTTAAATTCGGTAAAATTATAATAATTCCTTAGTTTTTTTTTCGGTATTTAATACAATACCAATACTACCGATTTTATACCGTTATTGGCGTTATTGCCGTTTATTTTAACGTTAAATATATTATTTATGTAAGTAGGAAAAAAATATTGGTAAAAACATTTTTGAAGTCGGTAAATTTGGTATTAACAGTCAGCACATTTTTAAACACACCTCCTCCGACTGATTGTATAGTGGTGCATTTTTAACACGTCGCGCGCCGTACCGCCACACAAATGAAACTCCACTACTCTCTTCCAACCAAAATTTAAAAACGGAATATCTCGTCAACGGCTTGACGGAAATCAAAAATTTTAACTAGCACTCCATCTATTTATGGAATTTTTAATACAGATTGCTATTTGAAAATCAAAAGTAGGTAGTGGTTTTACCCCCAAAATAAGGTTAACAAAAAAGAATATAAATATAAAATTGTAGAGCACCTTGTTTCTTAAATGTTCTGGAAAATCAATTCCGAAAAAAGTTAAAACTTTCCGAGATAATGAGTGTACCCACTTAAATGGATCACTCAGTACATTTCTGAGTTCCAAACATTTTAATTGCATTATTTAAAACTTTTTCAAAATCTAAAGTTGACTATTGAGTATTAGTTATTATTATTATTATTTTTATTTTAGTTTGGTTTGAAAAAGGTAGTCAAGTTTATACTAAAAAATATTAAAATTGATACATTTTAAATGTGTATATGTTTGCGTATAACGTAAATGTATCCTAAATATTATGTACCGCATATTTTTCTGTTTTTATAGCATTAAGTATATGTATATAGGTACCGAACATATTTGTTTTTTAGCGCCGATCCTTAAAAGTATTATAACTATTTATTGCCGAATAGTTCTTTGCGGTTATCGTGCTCAAGTATCATTACGTTTATTTTATAACCGTCTTCGGATATGCGTAGGTAGGTATTTGTTTTTATCTTGGAACGTCATATTAAGCATATTTTTCTGTCGGATGCAAAATTATAGACCGGAAATTTTCAGTGAATACCTACTGCACGTACATTCCCCACCAATAGAAAACATACCAAACTTACCTCTTTAACTTTTGAATTTTCCCCATTTATCCATTCTCCCACTAATGAAAGTATTTATGCTAACTATACCTGTATAAAAATATTTTGTTACAAAATCTATTAATTCAATAATTTACCCTTTATTTTTTAACGATAACGCTGTAAGTAAAATTTTACTCTACTGTTACTGTACTGCGCCTATGGCTTTACTGTTAGTTCATTTGAACACAGAAACTTTAAAAAAAAAAATGTCCTGAGGCACAGTACCAAAACAAATTATTTTTAACAATGACGGTGATGGCCAATTTATTTATTTTTTCGTTTATAAAACCTACTCGCCTATAATACAAGTATAATAATAAAGACGGGAGCTTAACAAAAAAAAAAAAAACACGGGATACAATTTCACGCCGGCCCACGACCCTTATCCTGCGAACAACGCCCCCGGGTTATTTCTATTACATAATATACGTATATCTACCGACAGAATGTCACAACGAATGTCGAATGCCTACTATATTATGTCTATCTATATACCCATAGACACATACTTTTTTTACTATAAAAAAAAGTGAACAAAAAACAATTCCATTATCCAGCGATTTTCTCGGAAGGATTGTTTTGATTGTCAGATTTCCTCGCACGTTTTTATACGGACCGGGAAATTTGTTTTCATATTTCATCAGTCGGCTTACCGTGTATAATGTCGTTACACGGTACAATAACGCGGCGCACGTGTTGACCATTTTACGTGCACATAATTTCGGTGTGTAATGACCTCGATTTTCTGCAGGAGAAAAAATTTAATTAAAATAACAATATTATTTAAACATATTTTTTAGGATTCATGGGAGACCCTGGTTGTGCTATCAGTTCATAAACTATAAAAAATAACCGAAAGTTGTAAATATTTGATAAATCAATATATACAAGTCGAGAGTTAAGAATCATGTTCAATTTTATAAATTTCTTAAATAGATGGTTATCCTGTGGATCCTGTATGTAGACAAAAAGAACAATATTTGTTTTTGTACTTAAAAAAGTAAAATATACTACAAAAAAATGTAATTTAATATATTACTATTTTACGGTTTTGAAATATATGATAATATTACGGATAATTTAAATCACAATAGAAACTATACATTATATTACTATTCACGTTAAAATATATAATTATTCAGGTACAAATATATAAGTACCTACCACAATCGACTTTTTCTTTAATAATTTTTAATAAAAATATATTACTTTTACTTTTTAGTGTTGTCTATGTTCGGCAGTTTTTTGATATTTGTATCACAACATTCAATTACGGGTATAAATTATATTTCAGTTTTTTTTTTTTTGTATCCGTGTGAAATTTTAATCATGCCTTTTTTAAAACTAAAAGAAAATTAATATTTTTTCTCCTTTTAATCTTTTTCTTCTTTTTTCCTGTAACTAAACGCCTTGTTGCCTGTTGGCTACTAATAAATTAGTAATTACCGTAGATTTTATAAAGCACTCGAAAAAATTAAAACCTTATAACTGCAGCGCATGTTTAGGTATGCAGTGATTCGAAGAATTTAATCAATAATATAAAATAAAAAGGTTCTTTTGATTGGGAAATCAATATATATATATATATATATATATATAAAAAGGTAAAATATATAAAGTTATTTAATTTATATTTGTATGCACTGATTAATCGTGTATAACAAAAAACGATTTAGAGCGAAGTTCTTTTAAGATTTTTTGGATCTGGCTTTTAAGTTCTCACTGTCGAGTTCAGTATAATAAAAAAATTCAAAATTCCTGGGCATGCCACTGAATTACTCAACCTAATAATATTATATAATACAAGAATAATTTAAATGTATTCAATTTTTTGATTAGGTATATTTATAATTATAATTCAACGATTTAATAATTTATGGTTATAGATATTATATTAACGAATTTGTGAAATTAATTAATTATGTATATTAAATATGAAATAAATTTTGAATTTTCTTTTTTTTTTCAAAGCCGCGGCGTACTTGGCATGCAAATGAGCGACGGTCTTAACGAACTCGGATATCCAAAATGGCAACTGGCGCTGTGCGTGTTCATAGTATACGTCATGCTTTACTTGAGTTTGTTCAAAGGCGTTAAGTCATCCGGTAAGTAAACCGATCGTATATAGTGATATTGTAAAAGAATACATGTCACTCGCTTAACAAATTGTTAATCAGTATATAAACAAATTGATTAAAAACATTATTGTGTACACATACATTTTCACAGGCATCGTTGTTTGGGGTACGGCCACATTACCGTATTTGGTGTTGACCATCTTGTTGATTAGAGGTCTCATGTTACCCGGATCGCTTACCGGTATAACGTACTATTTACAACCAGAATTGTACCGCCTTTTAGACACACAAGTAAAATTATTCGATTAAATGCTATTTACGAATACGAGTATATTATAACGTTTCCTTTGGAATACGATATAAGGTGTACGCCAGTCAATCATTTTCTTATGTTTTATTATAGGTATGGGTGGACGCAGCCGTTCAAATATTTTATTCAGTGGGTGCCGGGTTCGGTGTTCACTTATCGTATGCATCGTACAATAATATAAAAAACAATTGCTACACGTATGTATATATCTTACATTCATATGCATGGATGTCCATTAAGAGAGGGGGAGGTCACACGAGGGAAATATGTTGCTTCCATGTAAAATATTAAAATCCACAAAAAATAGTTTTTCTTAAACCTTGACACATGACGAGTAGCCAAGATGATTGTTATAATTGATCTTCCTCTATTAATAGACCTATCATATTATATTCTTCCAAAACATTTTGTACAGGTCATGTGTGCTCTTACCCATATCAATAATATATTTAATATTTATATATCAGTCTTGTATAGTATTTAAATAATTTTTTAGTATTTAAAACACTATTTAAATACCTTTTGAAGTCTTAAACGTATTTGTATTTGAATTTCAAATACTTTTATAAATTTAAAAGAATAAATTATTCGTCGTATTATATTTTAATGGTTTTTGAAAAATTTTGAAAATGCCTCTTGCCGATGTTTCGTTATAATGATAGGTAGTAATACTAGTTATATAGGTATGTACCTAAATAGTTGAATTTTAGATTATAAATCTCAAAACTAATTTTGCAAACCTACTTATATAAATTATTATGTAAAATCAAAAATAATTTAATTATTTTCCAAGTACTGGTATTTGTTCTTAAATACTTTTTCTTAAACGTATTTGAAATTGATTTCTTAATGGCCATCTAGATTAAAAAAGCAACAAAAATGATCTCTTATCGTTTTTTTATTGGAACAATATTTCTAGTAAAAAACATGAAGTGTACAAATTATAATAATGGAATAGTCATAAGTTATGCCATTAATTTTTCAATTTTCATTTTTTGTATTTTTTTGGTTTTTCATCTTTATTTTCAAAACTGTTTAGAAAGTCAAAAAGTGACCTCCTTAAAGCACCAACTAGATTTAACTTCCAAGTGCGAGGCCCTTAAAATGCGTGAGACCTTGGGTATAGGCCCTGCAATTTCTCCCTCCTAAGAGTGGACCTGTAATAATGTACGCACAATTGTATATATTTTTAAAATTCAGTTAGTTTGTATTGAAAATTATGTAAAATTAACTTAAAACTTTCTTCCCCGGACAAATGCATATTTTGAAACTTGGTTTCAGTTAGTCTCTCCTTTGAAAATTATCCTATAGGCTTGTATGTTATTGTTATACCTTTGGTAATAATAATATTCATTAAATAATATGTTTTGTTATTTTTAGCGATTGCTTGATTACGACGGCTGTCAATTGCTTCACCAGTTTCTTTTCGGGTTTTGTAATATTCACTTATTTGGGTTTTATGTCACACAAACAACATAAACCTATCAGTTCTGTAGCTACGGAAGGTGAATGACGGTTATAAACCGTATTAGTTTTTAAATTTATATAACAGGACATTCTTATTTTTTTCATTTTCTTTTATATCTATAATAACTGTTTGTTTAGGTCCTGGCCTGGTATTTCAAGTGTATCCAGAAGCTGTAGCAACCTTACCGGGATCAAATATCTGGGCAATGTTATTCTTTTTCATGTCCATCACATTGGGCATCGATTCCGCGGTAAAATTTAAATATACAATTATATATTTATCACTAAAATATGTAGATGACATTATTAAAATCATTAAAACTTAAGTCTTTATAGTCGTTAACTATTTTAATTTCTGAGGTTAAAGATTGGAACTTGTGATTTTTGACTCTTTGACTCAGAACTTTGGCCGGGTATACATAAGGGAAATTTGTTCCATGCAAATGATTACATGAAACAGGAAATTCGTTTTGTTAGTTAAAAATACGTGTAATATATTGGTGTTTCCGAAACTTTATATTAAATTTATTTTTTACACGAGTTTCCTGAAACAAGCCGTGTTTTGTTTCGCTTGTAAATGTTTTATCATTTTACGATTAATTCCATCGCGTTTCGAAACGAAAAGAGGTTGGTATGTATATTGATAGTATATTGTATCGTATATTGTACAAGTATCTGAATGTTTATTTAATAATTTGGTACAATAGTAACACTATGTTTTAAATTAATTTGGGTTGTACATAAATGGATTGTATTTTTATTATTTTGTATTTTCTTCCTCATATTTATTCACCACATAATAATAATTTCATCGGCATACGGCACTTATAGACCGATTTAAATGCATGAAAAAATCAAAAAATGATCTCTTTAAAGAATCTCCCCAGTCAGATTTCCTTTCAGAGAAAGTACTATCGTTGTAAATCGGAACGAAATTGCTATTTACAAGGTAAAAAAAAAATAATAAAAAAATAAACACCGTTTAACAAAAGAAATCCTATAAAATAATGTCTTTTATTAATTTTCTTGTTTTTTGAAACACGTGTTTTGATTTCTAGCGTACTCATTAATTTTTTGTTCTAACTAAACAACAAAATCACATTGATAGTTAAAAAATAAATTTTATATTTTGTTGATTATATACAATATCGATAGATAAATATAACTAATTTTAAATCTATAGGTAATTTTAATATATTATAGGTAGGTTGTATACATTTTTTGTTTATAATTATTGTGAAGGAAGGCAAACATAGAGTATTTCTGTAGAATTTATACTAGATAAGTATATACATTTCATTTTTCCGATAAATGTCTATAATACTTACTTATTATAATTTCATGTGTGTTTAGATGGGTGGATTGGAATGTGTTATTACTGGGCTGATGGACGAGTTCAGTGGTTTCTTTAAGAATCGTAAATGGCCACGCGAACGATTCACGTTCGCGGTCATAAGTATATCATTTTGCGTGGCTTTAATAAACGTGACACCGGTAAACAGTTTTATTACAGATTTTTTTATTATAATATCAATCTGAATCAAATTTCTTTAGGGTGGAATTTATATGCTGCATTTATTGGACACATACGCTGCTGGAATATCTTTATTGTGTTCGGCGTTATTCGAATGTATAGCGGTATCGTGGTTTTATGGTGAGTCGATTTGGCAATAGAGAAACAAATATTTTGATTTAATAATTTATATAATTACATATATTGATTATTTTTAGGATTGGAAAAATTTTGCGACGACGTGGAAAAAATGATTGGAAAACGCCCCGGCCTTTATTGGAGAATATGTTGGAAATTTATAAGTCCGATGTTTATTATAGTAAGTTTATTATCGAAATTGAAATATCCGCAATAATATACAACAATCCGATATTTATTTATTCTATTATATACAATATACGCGTGACTAGAAAATTCTAAATTAAAGTAAAGTTATCGAATTAATTTATAATAGTTATTAACACATATATATATGTATATATATAATGTATTATAATTTGTTATATTTTACGCTTAGACTAACATTATTATACTACACATAGTAATGTAAATATTTCTTCTATAGGGTGTTGTGGTTTTCGCTTTGATTTATCATCAACCGTTGAGTTACAACGGTTATAAGTATCCGGAATGGGCCGAATGGTTGGGTTGGACTCTTGCCTTTTCGTCGATACTAATGATACCAGGAATGGCAATAGTGCAAATGTGCAGAGCAAGTGGATCGTTTAAAAAGGTAATATTGAAATCGGTGCAGATATACGATTGCGTACGTGTGTCCCTTGTGTGTCCCCGACTGCGTACGTTTGTTCGACTTTGTACGATTTCTATACCAGATCCTGAAAAATATTACAATTGCGTACTAAAATGAATGCTAGCAAAACTACTTAACCTGTAGATTGTGGGTACGTAGGTATCTATTGGTGAAAATTGTGGGTATTGGTTTTACCTTTGAAGAACGATTGAGTAAATTTTGGGCATTTGTAGATACATTTGTGATACAAAGTTTTTTAGATCACTAAGTAAGACATTCGAGTATACTGAATCAAACAAATTTGGAAACATTTCTATTTGGTCTAATAAATTTAACCACAAAGATACAGAGTAACTAACAAATAAAAATTATGTAAAAAAAAATTGGAAAATTAAAATGTCTATAAATAGTTCAAAAAATAGATCAAATATTTTTTGAAAATTTTACCACGTCTTGAAATGGAAACTATAAGTTAGCTTATTCAAGTCAATACGATTATTTTAACAGAATTAGATTAAAAAAAAGCTGTCCTAGGATAGTGGATACCGATTTAGCCACTGTTATAGGTAATTTAATGTACAGCTGTAAGTAACCATTGTTAACGAAAAAACGATTTTGAGTGGAGTTCAGTTGATAGTGATGCTTTGCCAACAATATATCTGTTATATTATAGTAAAATAATTAAATAGTCCTTATATATTTTCTTTAATAATATTTGTTTAATGTTGTACCTATTTACCCAGTTTTCCTATGTTTTATAGTTTTTCACATTTTCTGGAAAAACTCTTGGGAAAAGCTCCCCAGTCCGATTTCCTTTCAGAAAAGATGCTACACTTAAAAATCAGAAAAAGATTTCTAGTAGTAAAGTTGCGCATAGATAAAAAATAAAAATTTTTGTAAAACCATCTTCGCTCCACTCAGAATCTAAAATATAGTAGATACCTTAAATTTGCACAGAATACTTATATTATAGTCTATTATAAACGTGGTAAAATTTTCAAAATATTTCGTCGATTGTTCAGTTATTTGTAGCTATTTTACATTTGAGTTCATTTCAATATTTATTTGGTTTATGAGAATAGTCGAGCAAAAATAATACTTCAAAATATTATACGGGGTTTATCATAAGTTGAACTTAGTGGTCAAAATAAATTTGAGCGTAATGTAGTAATTTGTATACTTTTACCTACAAGTATATGTTTTAACAGTACAGAAAATTATTGATTAATTATTTTATTTATAACATAACCTATCTTAACCTATGTATAACAAATAATAATCACGGGTTGATAAGCCCTAGATGTTCTCGGTGTGCCACTTTTTTTTCCGAAATGGGTCGTGGCGTAAAACATGGCTTAATATTGCCGTGATATGGGCAACGAAGGTAAAATTTCTTCCGGATTGATCTTAATCTTAGTACCAATCTACTCCTGATAACAATATGTTACCTATGTAGATACTTTCCAAATAAGTAGTTTTGGGAAATATTTCAGAGCGTTTTGGCTGGTTATAACCCATGTATAGGCTACGCCACTAGTTTTACGCTGTTATGAATGCAGTAACTATTATTTAAAAATACTAGTGATGAGCCAATATGTCTTTTTTGCCGATACCCAGATATTTGCTACCGATATAAAACTGATAACCGATCCGATATTTGAAATGAAAAAAATGTGAGCTGATATTGAGATTAATCGATATATTGAAAAGCCCGATAACCGATATTTACCATATTCATGTTAATTTGTTTAACAATATATTGTTCATAATCATTTAAACTATTAGAGTAAATGGTTATTTCATATTGTAATATTATTATTGAAATTAGACGTTCATTGAAAACAAATGTAAAAAAAAAAAAATTGTTTCAAAAATATCGAGTCCAATATGGATTTTGAAAAAAACCGTTATCCGATACTCAGATATCCTCAATATCGGCCGATATACGAGATCGGTTTATGCCGATACTTACCACTAAAATATACTTTGTCGATTTATTTTAATGATTATACGTTAACGATTTTACAGAGATTAGCGTATAATATTACGCCTGCGAACGAACACGAACTGATGGAAAATAACAAAGGAGAATGTACAAGATTCCGTTTAAAGCACTGGCTATACATTTAGTATTTTATTTTTAATCAAATGTATTAATTTGTGTGTGTTCTTATATCGCTTGTGTTCCATTTATAATATTCTTGTATTACCTTTTATATTTTCCGCAGTAGTTATTAAAAAAAAAAAAATTAAAATAATAAGATCTATATAATTTAAAAAAATATAATAATTTCTATACTTCTTAATTTTTATATTAGACATATATAGTCATTAATATTTACTATAATAATTATAACTATTAATCTTATTAATCACTTAGGTATTATCTGTTTATGATGTTTGAAAATCTTTGTAGTATTTAAATTATAACTTATTAAAATAACTATAACTTAAATTATAAATTATAATGGTTTTGAATATTTAAGAGAAATAGGTATCTAGGTATAAGTAGGTTGAATTTATAAAACTAATATAAAATATTTAGCATTTGCAATAAATACATATAATCTAATATTATACTATATTTAAATAATTATTCATATAATAATATTACCTACTTATGATTTGTTCCATAATGTTAACAATTTTTTTATTCGTATCGATGAAACATTTCCTTTCTATTATTTTCGAGGAAAATAATTCCAAACATTATATTGGACACTATTTATAATAATAATTATTATTATTACATATTTACTTACAGTGGTGGATTTGAGGATAGGTTACATGGCGTTCGGCTCCTTGCCTCTTTAGATTCTTATTTTAAACTGCCATTGTGAAGTAAGTACATCAATATTTAATAGGTACTCAAGGTGGTAAGTGCAGGAGAAAGGAGGGTTCAACGGTGTATATTTGAACGTAAGAAATACAAGCGTATAAATTTAACAAATTTTAGACTACCCTTCTCAATATGAAATTTGTTTTCAGTACATATGATTTCAGTTCACCTATCCCCCTTAAATGAGTTTCAGATCCACCACTGTGTACCTATACTTACCTATTTATTTTTATGCAAAACTGCCAAATTGTATGTTGTAAAATATCCTTTTACTGATTTTATTATTATATGTAATAAATTTACCTATAATTTTATACAGTGTAGGCGTGTACTTGTATCATAAAATACGTAATATGTATTCAATTTAGGTACCTAGCTTTTGTACGTTAAGTTACCTACTTCATGGCTAATATTTATACGTTTTTTTAAAACTTTAAGAACATATTATTAAACGAATTTCTCACCGTTACTTATACGTTAGTAATACCTGTACAGTATTTTGATAGAATTGATTATCTGTGCGTCGAGATTTAAGTTCCCATATAATGGAATAAAAACCGCGGTGAATTTCGAGGATAGATGTAGACTTCCAGACAGGACCTGTAGACTCTTCTATAACATATAGCATAGTTACTGTAAACACTTTACATAAATAACATTATATAAACTTGTAAAAAGTATACCTATCTAAATATAATAATAATTTTCATAAATCTACTAGGTAATATAATTTGATTATTTGTTCCGCGATCAATTTTATTAATTCAACACATTTTTTGTAATAATTTTAAGTTTTAAAATAAAAATTTATATATAATACGCATAGTCATACGTGGATACATCGCAACACATGCAGCCTAGACAGCATTTGCTTTTTCTAGAAAAATGTACACAGTGGTGTAAATACTATTTTAAGTTAATAATTGTAGAGACACAACTTAGAAATTCAATGTTATAATAAGAGAGACTAAAATCTCTTTTATCACTATACGTTGAACAAGAAAATTAAAAAAAATAACCATTAATATTGAATAAGTACTTACAATTTGATAAGTTCAAAACCATAAACAATGGCGAATGTAGAATTTTTTTTTTGTAATGTTCAGGAAGGCTTAAATGTCAAAAATATATGAATTTGTATTTTGATTTTTTAAAGTTACAGTATACTTACTACTTTTCGAATACGTAAATGATTTATTTTATGTCAATTTATATGCTAACAAATGTATGCTCTTTAAAATAAAAGGTACCTATTAAGATAAATTACAATTTGTGCTGCACTTGATTGAGGATTCTACTTACGCCTATGATAATACGCTTAATAATATATTTAAAATATTACAAACATATTGATTTTATAATCATTAATTTATAACCTATAGAACTTGCATAATAGATGAATAATAAGTATCACTAATAATATAATATATATATATATATATATTATATAAAATATATGCAATTTCAAAATGTGTGTCTAATTTATTTCTCAAAAACTGTCTACAAACATATTACAATTTATGGTTTTATTTTTAAAATTCATACTACATCTATATTATCTAGTAATTCGATTTGGTATAAAAATAGTATAATATAATATTTTAAAGTCAAAATGGATTGAAAATATTTGTACTTTTATTGCAATAGATGGATAATTAGATGAGTAGAGAAGTTATGAACCTATATAAATACTATAATGTGTTAAGTCTTGATACAATTAATTCTAGTAAATCAAATTTGATTACCTATCTATTGTAATTCTGTTATTGTATTTGTTCAATTTAGTAATTTTAAATTAAGACTTAATAATGAGTAGGTAGTGCGCTTAATGTTTAGTATAGGTATATGTATATATACTAATAATCTAACAGGTCATTTTTAGTTCATCTTTATTATCGTGGACAGTATGAGTATAATATTATCATTTTTTAGACACAGAGCATTTAAAATAGTTCTAATAATGATTTATGTAAAGCCATATAAAATCAGCTGTTACATTTGTAGTATGCGAATTTACGTTATCCATATTGTATATAATAATTATTATACAATACTATATTATAATAACATATTTATATAAAATCATACCTATATAATTGTATACCTAGTAGTAAGTTATGATAATAATCTTACGTGGCTTTTATTTATTTTAATTATTGGTACATTTTTTACCAGTCAAATATTATAATATAAAAAATAAATTAAATTAAGTATAGGTACCGCTGCACTGCACTAAACATTTTCGTAATTATCTTAAAATTAAAACAGAGTACCTATACTTAATGTAGTCGTTTTATCTATATTGGATTTAGTATTTATTTATAATGAACATATTTTATGCCATAAGTCATATTACTTACTTTTAATGTACTTATTAAAATACTTCAATAAACAAACATTTAAGTCATTATTCTAAAAAAATAATATTAAGTTGATTGTGTTACTATTAAAATAAACCTATTTATATATTATCAACCATCAAAAGCATTTGGAATAATTGTTTGTTACGTCTTCTTTAGATTTTAATCATGTTCGCTGAACCTTTTTTTGTTTTCAATCAAAATTACAATGTGTATACCATTTTTATATCATCAAAAATCACACTTGGCTGTTTCTAATAAAAAAAAAATCTGACGCAACAAACAAAAACTGTGTGCATCTTCAGGATATTAACAGTTTCGTAGTTTAAACTTTAATTAATAAAATAGCACCAGTTTAATCCTATGTGGGTGAATTCTAAACTATGATGGTTTTCTCTCCCCATATACAATCACGTGATTCAGAGTGGAAATATAGTACTATATTATCAGCTCTTCTCTAGAATTCAATTCTTTGAAAAGCACATACGCATAGTATTTAATCGATCCCATAGTGTAAATAAAGCCCAGCATAATTCCCATTTCGAAAAATTACAACAGATGTTCGTTAGCTTTAATAGTTATATTCTGGAAATCAAATCATCAACCATCCTCACCATGACTAGGCTCCAATTTTTCTCTAACTAAATTTAATTATTAACTTATCTGACCTTAGGGTGATCATCAACGACATTTCCTTTCTCAAAAATAAATCACCAGCTCCCATTGATGCTCCAACTCTTTTTTATAAAGCGAACTATAGAGTTCCCTATCACAGTAAATAAAAATAACTGCGTAGTTATGTTTATTTACAATACTAATTGATTAAGCTGTTATTTATTAATTATTATACTTAATAATAATCGAGGTTATTGTACGTCAAAAGAATATAACTATGAAATAAAATACATTTACACACGGTTAATGAAAAGAAATTTAATCTGTGTTTATTATTTTTGAATTTGATTATAATTCATATATGATGTATAATATTATAATTTAAACTAATATGAAATTAATTTGACTTGACAATTATTAACAATAAAAATTTAATTTAAAATACTATTAGTGATTACATTTGTTTTAAAGCAATAAAATATTGCAGCCCATGTGTCAAAAGCTAATACTATACCCAACAAAATCATACTTCTATTGGAATCCCATCCTACAGATTGTACTTTCCACTTTTTCTCTTTCGGTTCCAAATTAATGGCCACCACTCCATTATTATCTTCATCCAATTGCATAATTTGATTTTCTAATGTTGCAGAAGTAATGATAGTGGTGTTTTGTGCCAATGGCACCGCCCCCTGTTTGATTAAATAATACATATAAAACATAAAAACAAAAACAGTGTTTTATAGTTAAAGGAGGATATTTGATATAATTATACGTAGAAGTTTACATTTTAGAAGAATAAATTATTATGTTTAAATTAAACATATCTCAATACTCTGATTTTAATGAATTTAAAAAAGGGCAAAACTGAGACAGAGTAAATACGTGAAAGTTTAAATTCAGATATTTTAGTTGAAAAGACAGAATTATTAATTTAATTTAATGAAATTTTTTTAAGAGAAAAAATATTTTTGTTCCCAAATTTTGAATAATTATTGGTAAATCAATAACTAGTTCAATAAACGTTTTCAAAACCAATTAATTTGTCATTTGTATTTTCCTTAAAAGAAATATATATATATACAAATATAATTTACAATAAATTTAAAACTGTTTTCAATACGTTCAATTTTTATACAAGTTTATCATTCACCTTATTTGATTTCTGAAAACCATCTTCATATGCGTCATTAACATAACCATCTTGCATGGTAGTTGTAGGTATTTCTGAATTTGCCATTTTCGTCAGGGAATGAATTGTTTCTGTCCCAACCTGTAAAATTGTAATGATAATATTAAACTTTTTTTAGCTATTGATACTTAATTTTTAAACAAAAAAACATAATATGGAAACAATAATGTATAATACCACACTCAAGTATTAGGTACTCATGCAATGCAATAAATTATTTTTGTTATTACAATACTTGGGTAGGTACATATTAAATTATATTATGATTATAAATTGTAATACCTAGTATGGATAACGGTATTACGAATATATTTTTTTCAAATAAACACATACATAATGAACACATTAATAAGTACCTATATCATATATGACTATATGTTTAATAGATATATAGTGATTAGTTGGACCTTGCAGTATAAATATTAATCTAAAACTCTTGAACTTAAAACAGTAATACTATAATAGATAATACTATCATTCAATGTCATAAAGACATAGACAATAATTACTTATTTTAAAACATTTTTTACGGTCAAAGTAAACCAACAATACATTCATATACTTATATTTTAAATTTCAAATATTTTTTTACATTAGATACCTGTAATTTAACCTTTGAATTAAAGAAGTACATTATAATTGATTTTTAAAATTATATAATTCACTCCCCAGAAATTAACTTAATTGTATTTAATATTTACATACTTTAAATAAAATAATATTTTGGACACAATAGATATTATCTACGTTATTTTGTTGAAATGAAAAATAATATTAAAACACTATAATGTACTATTGTTACTAGGAGTTACTTATCCCAAGTTGAGAAAAGGAATACGAATATCTTAACTTACCTGATTGAAAAGATCTTCCTTTGAGCCATTAGAATCGTTAAATCCTTTATTCACATAATATTCATTAATAGTTTCGTTGGTTTCTTGATCTGAAGATAAGTTTTCATGTTCGTTAAGGCACAGCTCCTTTCCATCCTAAAAGTATAATTGAAAGAATAGAATTTTCTTTAAAAAAATTATTATACACATATCATACATGTATAATGGTAACAATAGTAATTTAAAAAAAATATTTACCATTTTTATTTATTAATTAAATGTATTGATTACAATAAAATGAAATGTGTAGGTTGAGAACTTCATTTGTGTAGTAAATTCTAAAAACTAGTTTGCATTTAAATATGTATCTCATTGAATTTATTAGTATTAATTCTGATAAATATTCCATTAAGTGTTTCATAAACAATTAATAATTATTTTGCACAATTGTTATCATTACATACTTAAGATTTTGTATTGACTTTTGAGTAATCTAAAGACATTACTGTTTAGTCTACACAGGTTCATAACAAGTGATTGTGTATTATGCAGTTTTTTTTTATACTACTCAAAACTATTAAAAATAATTTTAGATAATTGTATATTACAACACTTATTCTTTATATTTTTTTGTCTAGTAAATGGTTAGTGGAAATGTTGTCCAGGCAAAGTGTAAGAAGCCAGAGGTACCTTGAGGTATTCAAGCCTTGTAGATGATTTTTAGGGGTAGACCACTGTCAAGGTATATAAATACTTGGTAGGTACAATACTCAGTGGCAGTTTTATAAGAGATTATAAGTGGATTACCCTACCCCCTCCCATAGACTATGGCTTATTGACTATGACTTCACAAGTTGTAAAGATATATTATTCCCATTCATTTGCATGACCTAGAAACAATAGAAACAAATATGTAAAAAAAAAAGAGCTGATACTGGAGACGGGTGCAGCCACTGTTATGGGTGGGATGTTGGGAAGGTGTGATATATAAAGTTATTTCATTTATATCTGTAAGCAACGAAAAACCATTGCTGACGAGTGCAATTTAATAATATATAATTTGAAGGGCCGTATTTTTTTTTGCGATTTTCGTTTAAATTTGATTGTAAATCGCTTATTAAAAAAAATCAACAAAAAGATGATCTCTTGTCGATTTTAAATTAGAGCCATATTTTTGCTAAAAAACGTGACAGGTACTTATTTAAAATAACGAAATCATGAAAAAATCGTATTTTTTCCCCCGATTCATCGTGTTTATTTTAAATACCGTTTCAAAAATTTAAAAATGACATATGTATTAACCAAGTAGATAAAATTAATTTTCAGAAAAGGTACTACACTTATACATCGGAGCAAGTTTTCTAAGAGAAAAGTGGTCTACAATGTAAAAAAATAAAAAAAAAATAAAGTAACATTTAAAAAAAATTAAAAAAAAGAAAGAATGTGGTCCGATGATTTTGGAAATTTTACCACGTCTAGGTAAGTTCAATATAAATATTATAGTAAATCAGAAAGTAATCATAGAAAGTAAATCAAAAAGGCAACAAAAAAGGTGTCTTGTGATTTTTCAATTAAATTATTTTTTTGTTAGAAAACTTAGTCCATATTTTTATAAAATAATATATTCGTACGTTTTCCTACGTTTTTTCCCACTTGAGTGCTTTTATTTAAAAAATGACGTCGAAAATCAAAAAAATACCTCTTAAAAGTACCATATAGACAACTTAAACATTCAAAAAAGTTGTTACACGTAAAAATCGGATCAAATTTACTAAGTAAAATAAATAAATAAATTTTATATATTTTCTTAGTTATGCTTGTATAAATTTAATTTTTAAAAATTTTTGGTTCGACGGGTGTTTTTTTAATAATATTTAATATTGTATTTAATAATTAAATTTTGGTATTGTAATATTACGTTACAAAATTACTTACATTATTATTCTTTCTGGCTAATAGGTATACATGTATAATGTAATTGCAGTAGTTACTATTTATTATCGTTATTAATTTTATACATGCATAACTGTATAAACTATTGAATAGTATTACTAAAAATTAGCTTATTAAAAAAAAAATTTTAGACAAATTATCTGTAAGTTAATAATACCCCTCTCCCATAAATATAAACTACTATAATATATGTTTATGTATAATCTAAATTATATCTGTTTCTGTATAGATGTCATCAGAACAAGCATTATTTCAAGAAATAAGATGCTTAAAAGATAAGTTGGCCTCTAAAAATGAAGCAATATGTAAACTCAATGAAAAACTGGTAGCTTATGATGAACTCGTGATCAAGAATAGTGACCTACAAACAGAATTTGACAAATTGAAACAATGGGTAGAGCATATTGCTAAAACTGAAAATAAAACCACAGAAGATATGTTAAAAGATTTAGAACTCCAAAAACAAAAATTATGTGAGTCAAAATTATCAGAGTCCAAGCTACAAACAGAAATAAAAAAATTACACGAAGACATTGAATCTATGAAAGAACAAATAAATAATCTAAAAAAAATCGAACAGAAATACTGCATGGAAATTGAAGATCTGGAAACATGTAAAAATCGTGTACTAAACGATTTGAGTAATACCAAAGTAATAATAGAGTACTGTGAATATTAAATATTTTATAACATAATTATATCAATGTCTGGAGATTTTATAATAATTTGATATCTCCAGCTAAGCGTTAACTGATTACCCAAAGATTAAACAGCCTACACACTGAAAGAAATGTATTTTTTAGGCTAAAAACTTCGAAAAAATGAGACTCTGCCTCCGTAAAATAAGTACACATTTAAATATAATCCTGAATTTTAGATAGAAACTTCCTTAACTTTACAAAACCAGTAAAAATAACATAATAATATAGTAAGGTCCATAATAATTTTTATGATAACATTCTTTAGTTTTGAATACATTTTTCTTTTTTTTTTTAATGAAGCGATTTAAGATTTTAACGGTAGTTTATGAATTTTTTTATACCTATACCATAATTGGATAAACAAATGTATATATTAAAAGTATATAAGTAAAATAATATAAATAATCCCTAAATAAATTTTAATAATTATATATATATATATAATAAGTATACCAATATTACACATGAAAACAAATGTATTATCATTATTAAAAATGACAAAATAAAAAATTAAAATTAAATGATTTTTATTGTAATAAACAGAGCAAGTACTTTTATGTACTAAAAAAATAATCAAATATGCACTTATGCATCAAAAAATAAAAATAATATGTGGTTACAAAATATACAATAAAAAAAAATTACACACCTATATTACGCTAAAATATATCATTTTTTCTTAAAATATTCGATTAATATAATAGAATTATTTATTAAGCTAATATATTAGTTAAATATACGCTAAAAAGAAAAAAAAGCTAAATATTACATTTTTTTTAATAATTATTGTACCACGTACAATTCGTAATACAAAAATACAAAAATTAACGTAATAAATAATTCGATTTGATTTCACTATATAGTAATAATAAAAAAAAATGTATAAACTAAAAACACTATAGTAAAGTAATATAGATAATCATTAAATAAATCTTAATAATTATAAATGTATTATGCTTTTGAATGTACGGTTAGATAAAATTAGTCTCTATCATCTTAATGATAAATTCACTAAGTTTAATATAATGATTGACTTTGATTCATGAAAAATATTTTCATAGTACTTAAATAATAAAAATAGTAACTTTTTATTTAATTTTATCAAGTTTGTACATTTTATGAAATCAAAAATAGGTAGTTCACGCCAAAGTCCCAATATTTACGTTTTAGTCAAAGAGCGAATATATTTATAATAAAGTAATATTAATTTATATGAATAGAGTAACAATTAATAATTATTGTTGTTATCTTATTTTGTCTAGAAGTGTATATTATCTCATTATACATTTTAAAGCTTAGAGTCTCTTACCCTCGCTACGTTCCCGTGACTATAACTTCTATATTATTTGAAGTACATAAACATTCGTAAATAATTAATATGCATAATTCTGAGTATTTTTGCGTGGTTTTTTTTTCAGATTGAAATAGAAGAAAAATGTAGTATGGTTGAATGTTTGAGAAACCAATTAAAATGTAAAGAATCAAAAATCTATAACATCGAAAGCCAATTGGATACATGTAAAACAACGTGCTGTCAACTACGTGAGGAATGTACATATTTGAAATCTGAATTAGATTGTAAAAAAACTGAGCTCGCAACCATGAAGTCACACGCAACGATGACGGAAGAAAAGTTAAAACTTGACAGGGATGCATTGTCGAATGAAGCAAACGCTGAACGTAAGAAAGTATACACTCTCGAGATTGAACACAGTGAAGCCAAACGTACGATTACAAATAATAAAGTGCAAATAAAAAAATTAGATTCACTGATTTTGGAATTGCGGGAGGCCAGCGAGAAAGATCGTTCCGAAATTAACAACAGGATTCAAAAATATAAAAAAGAACTCTGTGCCAAGGACGAAGTCCTAGGTAATATGAAAAATCAAATTGCCGAACTGCAACATGAGAACGATTGTATGACGTCAGAGATCAACTCGGTTAAAACACAATTGAACGACACTGAATGCAAATTAGACAAATTGAAACACGAAACTAACGAGAAGATTGAACAATTTGAGGGGGAAAAACAATCAATGTTCAGAGATTTTGAAGAGAAGAAAAAGAGTGAGGTGTGCGCATTAAATGGTAAAATTAATGATCTAGAAGAGGAGATTTGCCGTAATAAAGAGCAATTGGACAAATCGTGCTCACCCACTTCCAATTATTCGTCGGATGCACCTCCTCCAACTTGTTCATCGGGTGATACTTGCGAATCTTGTCAAATTACCCCTAACAGTTGCCAATCGCCGTCATTGCAGTATACACAGATGTCATCGAAGTGCACGTCCGGAAATAGTTCGCAAAACAATGACTTGATCAACGAACTGAGACAACTGTATTGTGGTCTACAAGAGGTCAGGCAAAGTGCTAAAATGTGTATGATAAAGACTGAATAAAATGCACTATTTAATTTTATTATTTATCACACTTAAATAAATTTCAAATCATTTTTATATTTGTTATTACTTTTTTTTTTTCTATTATGAAATTAAGACATTCCTAGCCACTTATTTATATATTATAAGGTAGTACCGTCTTAAAATAAGTATACGTAGAATGGTTCAACAGTTGATAATGGTAATAACAACACTAATACTCCTACTATTTACTAATTTTTTAACGTACTGTAAGGATTTAAAATTTTATTAGTATTAAAAGCATTTATCTTAAAAAAATGGAACTAATTTTAAATAAAAATCGGTTATCAAATATTTAAAAAATATGTGGAGATTACAGACAAAAGAAAATTGATAAAAAGAAGCTTAGTTTCGTCCAGAAGAAAGAAGTATAAAAAAAGACGAACATGCTTCACTCGTTGGTAGGAAGTGAGAAAGGCAGAATGTTGGTGGACATTAAATGTATATCTGTAAGCAATGATAAACCATTGCTCACGAAAAACTATTCTGAGTGGATTTCGTTGATAGTGTTACTTTGTCAATAATATTTATGTCATATTATGGTAAAATAATCGAATAAGTATTATATATTTTTTCTTTAATAATATCTGCTTAATATTGTACCAATTTTCCTACGTTTTTTTGGTTTTCCAGTGTTTTTTCTCGGTTTTTCACATTTAATAGGAAAACTCTTGGAAAAAATTTCCTCCGTATTTTTTCGGTTTTTCATATCTGTTGAGAAAACTCCTGAGACCCTGAAAAAGTGCCATCGCTATTAATCAGAGCAAAATTGCATGTAGAAAAGCTGAAAAAATGTATAATATTTTACTAATATATTTCGTACATTTTCCAGTTTTTCCTCGCTTTTTTTCGGTTCTTTACATTTAATGAGAAGACTCTTGAGAAAATTGTCAGTGTTTACATATTTTTGGTATGAAAATCGTGAAAAATGTCACAACAGAACACTTTTAGTCTGCCGAAGGTGGAATACCCACTTTCCGCCTATTTGTTTTCATTCAATATCGACATAGCCAACATCAAAAAGTAATATGGGTAAAACAAATAATATAAATTGGCACGGGCAACGATGGGCCGGATAGCTAGTAATTTATAATTTTAAATTTAAAAAATAAGAGGAAATAGATTAAGTTTAGTTTAAGTCAAATACATAATACTGTGTAATTATATGTAAAATTTGATTTTAACTCTTATAAAAAAAAAAACAGATACTATCTAACAATTCATTTACAAAGTACCTGACAAATCAAAAGTACGTTAACAAACTCGCAAAATTAAAATGTCTTTAAATAGGTCAAAATTGGCTTAAACTTTCTGAAATTTTTAGCACGTCTAGAAAAATTAAATTTATGTTTTCTGTAAATATTTGAATCATCAAGAATATTTTAACCTGAACGAAAAAAATTTTTAAATTATTAAAGTATTATTTTCGTCACATTTCCGTTTTTTCTATATTTTTTTGGGTTTTGCTAAATTATTAAAAAAAACACAAGAAAAATCAAACACAGACTTTCTTGATCACCAATTAGATTAAAAATTCAGCAAAAAAGGTCTCTTGTTGTTTATCTGTTCGATCACATTTATAGTAGAAAACATCATCAGTAAAAATTTTTTTGTGCCGTAATTTGGAAAAAAATCATATATTTCGTCTTTTATGGTTTTTTCCAACGTTAAGAAAAATACTTTAGTTATAAAAACCCTATTTCCTTTGTCAATGGTTACGTACCAAAAGGAACAAAATCCGATCTCTTGTTATTTTTCGATTGGAGTAATATTTTTTAACAAAACATAAGTTGAACATATTAAAATAATATAAAAATCTGTACTTCAAGGAGTAAAATTTTTGATTTTTCTAGGAAATTCCAAATAAATTGGAAAAACATGGGAAAACCGGAAGACCTGGAAAATAGGTACAATAGTAAACAAATTTTATAGAAGGAAATGTTTAATTCATATGTTATTGTTTTACCACAATATGACACATACATATGAAGTTGGTAGCGTTTATAATACATAATTTACGCAGTTTTGAATTTTAACTATTTTTTTTTTTTTTGAATTAACCTTTTGATCTCAAACTTCAAAAAAAAAAAAATTGAGCTCAAAAAAAGTATCATCATTAAAGTGACAGATAAAATGTAAAAAAAAAATTCATATTTTACAAAATTATAATAAATTTGAAAAACCATCAACAACCTTCCGATTTATACCCCGCTGCAATATATATGTATGTACTACACAATTTTCAAATTCAATAACTCCTTCCTATAGACAAAATGATATATTTACGCCACTGCTTTTGTCCACCCCTGCTGTTAAAGTTAATAGTATTATTGTCGATAATTATGATTACACTGGCGACGGCGGCGCGGTTTCGAACATTTTATTTTTTTTTTTTTCATGTTTTGCAGTGTCATTTTTGACGAGCGTCATAGCGTGTTTATTGTTTATCGTGCCTACCGGAGTGAATATTCGACGTGTCAAAAAAAAAAAAATAAATATATTATCGATGCGACCGTGTTTTTCGCGCGTCGACATGTGTTCGCCACTCCTCTGCAAACACGACAATTAAATATTATAATAATAATTATTATTATTATATTTTATAAATGACGTCCCGCTACTCTATCTCTAAGTATATAAAACGTACTTATTATTTACAAAAGAGCGGTTGCTCTCATTAAAACAACCGCAGATGGATTACCTATACCTATTATTGTATATTATAAGGATTGTCGATTACACGATATACCGACGATAATAGTTTGCGTTAAAAAAAAAAAAAAAACACGCACAATATAATTATTATTATTTGACGGTGAACGCGATGATAACAATATTATGTAAGTCTGAAAAACAAAAACCTATACGCTCATTTTTTGCCGGTTTTTTTATGTATAGACACAACCTATTTGATACTTATAAATACGCAACATATTAAATAGCTCATTGAATCAATAGGCCTTAAAGGGCATTTGTCACGGAGGTTCTATGTGTTCGAATGACACACAGTTGAACACATTGGACACCCAATAAATTACGATTTGGTGTATTGTGAGTCCACCATTAGAAATAAATTGAAAATAGTAATGGATTTTGTAACAAAATATAATAAATATTTATTATATTATAATATAATATAATATAATAATTAATATATTATATATATATTATATTATATAATAATAAATATTATATATTATATTACAGGGATTAATATTCTCACTGGTGTGTGGAAAGGGGTGACCGGAGAAAGTTCAAAAATTAAAAGGAAGATTTGAATTTCGAGAACCGGTAGTGGACATTCAATTGATGTTCACTAAAAAAAATGCACCAAATACGTCTATTTCTACGTCTTGTTACAGATTGATTCAGGACCGTAGCCGTATAGGATTAGGTTAGACTCAGGCTATGCCAAAATCACATATATCTCGAATAAGGCATAGAATCCAGAATGTACGGTACATATTATAATAGTTTGAAAAGTAAAATTTAAACAAAAATTATTATAGAGGTAGATTATGAGATCAGAAATTTGAACGTGATCAGACTCAGCCAGAGGCACTGTGAAGAGATTTGATATGACTCTGCAAATATCTGAAGTTATTTCACGTCACTATTATATAAAAATTACTAAACTACTAGCGAAGAAAACCGATTTAATAAAAATATTCGAAGGGCTCAGTGAGATTGGACAACTATAATAGTTCATTGTTATTTGTTCGTAACATTGAGTGTTTTATAGGTAGTTTTTTTACCATTTATCTTGTAACTCGTTCCCCAACAAAATATTAATGTATTTTTTTACAAATCGATTACGGTGTTGCCGGTGATGTTGCCAGAGTTTTGAAACGATACGATTTATTTATCAACGTTTTTGTTTTAGGTTTAACCTAACCTAACTTAATCAAACATTTTTAAAGTGGTTTATAAATACGCTATATAATTAAATAATATGTATAATATGTCGGTGGTAAAGATATCATATTATAATTTTTATGTTAGAAAAAAGTATTATTGTTATTTGGGAGAGGAAATATGTTTAACACAATAGAAGCAAGGTCGGAAAGGTTTTCTGGTACATACAATATAATAATAAGTGTATAAATTAACCTAGTAAAAATATTTGAAAATGATTTATTTTATATAAACACGTGGACACATTAATTTTTTATTTTTCTACACAGTTGCTGTATATAGTGAACGTGAGTTTGACCAAAGCGATCAACGACGTTTACTGTCGGTTCTAGACGGTTTTGAACGTGAAATGGGTTTTCTGAAGGGTGCCTCTGGTTCGAATTAGATATCATCCGAACTCTCCTCGTTAATTTGTAAACTAACTATCTGAGTCAATTTTTCGACGACTTTTTCGAACTTTTCATCGAATTGATCAGTCACCAAAAACCTGTCCAAACTATTGAGTAACGCTATCACCACCTTTTTGGCAGGCTTTTGGCGTTTGAATAAATTGTTGACGCCGATCATTGTTTGGAGCCATACGTTTTGGAAATTCTTGTCCTTCATCACCTTTCTGGTCCAAAAAAACATGTTTCCTATGGTCCGCGAGACGTTCGGGTTAGTGGTCACGTCCGTAATCCCATCCAGTAGGCCTATGATGGCGTTATGTGCCTGCGAGTCCATGCATATGTTCATCATGTTCTGTCGGGAATCATTGAGTATTTGCAAGCCCCAGGGGTTCTGCAGTATTGTGGCCAAATTTTCGTGCAAGCGGTACTTGATGCGGCAGATTTTTGGATCTTCTTGTTGTTGGGCCTAAAAGACAAATGCAACACACCATTGTGAAAATAGACAATTACAAACGATCTCAAGATTATAGGTCTTATTACCGTCTCAGTTTAAGGGGTAGGAGGGGATATTACACACTTGGTGAATACCTTTTACTCAAATCAAGAATTTTTTTTAATTGAGATTTTTTTTTATTTGGTATATATTTGGGTAGTATTAACGGCAGTAATTATGTTATATCGTACAATATAATCGATACTTGAAAGTTGTAAATTGAAAAAATTAAAAAAATGACCTAAGGGGAAATTTCTGAAAAACGAAATTAATGTTTCAAATAAAGCGTCATTAGGGGAAAACTGCGCATCTTTAAAGTATGACATGAAATAATTGAAAGTATTTATTGACCGAAAAGCATTTTCTGAGAAAAAAAACTAAATTTTTGTAAAACTAATAGTTTCTTCGCTAAATCGGAATTTAAAAATAAAAAATAAATTTAAATAAAAGAAGCAAAAATTTTAGTACTTGTAGTAATTGAGCTTCAGACCGTAATTTCCTTCCCCATAATCCAGTTTTACCAAGAATGCGGGGAACAGGGAATATGGGTGTTTTCTTAATTACGTTTGGTTTATAATTATTGCACAAGTATAACCATCAATGAAATTTGTGAAATCGTGGACTTGGCGGTTTTTTTTAATATTTGATTTTGTTTTTTTTTGAGTTTTTTGAGTTTTTAGTCCAAAAATGTTTTTTTTTTTTTTAAACGTATAGACAAGGTGAATAAAAATGGAAAAATCACGTGGGCTTTAAAATTAAGGGTAAATTATAAAAATTATAATACAACGACATTACCTATAAAGGAGGATTTTGTATTTCATTGTATTTACATTATGATACACATATCATACATGCAAGGCGATCCTCGGAGATATATCCATTGTAATATTTAATTGTTTTTTAGTTCAGAAAAAAGAAGTGTACATTCAATTATTCGTAATAATAATAATAATCAATTAGAGAATACGATTACAGCTTGCTGTATATTTATAGGTACTTTCAACTTATTTAACTTTTTACTCTAAAAAATTATTAAAAATCACGAATTTAATGAAAATAAAAAGTTGATAAATACAAATGTTCAGAAAAATAAACTCTATAAAATGGTTATCTTCAAATTTTTCAAAAATAATAAAATAAAAAGTTATTTTATCAAAGCATAAAAGAATTAATTGCAATATAAATATTTTTAGTCCTTATCCCGGTGGTTAATAATAAAAAAAAAAAAAAAAAAACAACAGAATTTGATTATGAATTATCTTTGTTGTCTCTAGGGATATTAAAATGGATATATTTTCATAAAACACCCTGTATTCGTGTAATATTTTAGAGTTGTAAGATTTATGTCGGTATGTATAAACGATCTATAAAAATAATTCGACAATCTACGGATATTCGCATACCATTAGATAAATAATATTATATTGTGTCCAAAAAATTATTTACTATTGCATAAAATTATATAAAATTTGCCATCGTTGTAGTTCTTTAGTATACGGTTACCAATTCGTTCTTTATCATGATTATAAGGAAAAATTGATTCATCGTGCATAAGTTATAAAAATAGTTAAAAATGAGTTTTGAAATTCATACGATAAGAAAAATGTGCAAAAAACTGACAGTTACCTAAATCGCGTTAACAGTTTAATTAAGTTATGGGACTATTTTTAATATTTACCGAACCAAAATCGGGCCTACAAATTATCGATCCGATAAGAGGTTATATTTTGTCAGATTGATACAAGACAAAAGCCGTCTCTGCAATAGCTAATAACTTTATCGAACCGATTACGATGTTATCGGTTCGATAACTTACCAGTTAATAATTGTTTATGTGACCCGACATTAAAGACTAATATAATTATGATATCGTGCTTGCCATTAAAAACCGAAATGCGCGTATAATTGAGTGATTATAATATTCTAACATTATTGCAGTTAGGTTTAACCTGAAACGCGGAGTTTTACGATTACGGGAAAAAAACGTACTAAATAATAATATAAAATAGTAAGTGAAATATATCTGAGAAACATAATTATTACAATACAATATTATTAAATACTCACTGACGTGTTGGCTGAAAAAATCATCAAGACCACTAATGTGGTCACCGTGGAAAAGCTATTCATTTTTTGTGTTTTTTAAAAAAAAAATTGTATATAGTATTGTTATTATTTCGAAAACACGATGATTTCTAAAAGCGACAAAAATTCTCGGGCGTTTTTGTAATTTATACTCTGCGTGGTTCGCCGATACAACATTGAATTCTAAAGAATGATTATTTTAATGATTATTTCTAATATTACAATAGCGAAAATCGTATACAATGTTTAGAAATAGACTTATTATCAAAATACCGTACTTGTGTAAACAACAACAAAAAAAAAAAAAAAAACCGTAACCGGCGACAATTATTATAATTATTATTGAAAAGCTGCAAACGCCAATTATTTTTTTTTCTGTTTCTGTAAAATATGGGAAACAGTTAAACGGTTGTATTATTTTATTTTGTATATTTATTAGATATGTTTTTTTTCACGCCATTATGGGTACGTTATTATTAAAAGTTTGTGAAATCGCTATGCCCTTTTACAGCACTTGCGCCGCTGGCCGTTTGCTCGTGTCGTATACCAACTGTAGAACATCGGAAGGTATCGGTAAAATAAACAAATATTACGTTTTGTTGTGTGCAATGGCATAGCTATCATAGGGCAAAAAAAAGGCGATATCGCCGGAACTTAGGAGGCTTTGGGGTCCTTGGATAATTCTGAAGTTGCTTCCTTAAAATAATTTCAAATTTCAATGTACTTATCAATGTTTCAAATGTTATTACACCACGATCACGCGGTCTGAGATTAAAAGTGGCCGAAATAACTATTACCGTACACATAATAAATATTGTAAAATAGTCTATTGAAAACAATTATATTACACTGTCGTGTCAAATATTATCATACGCGAATTTGTCCGTATCAGTACATCAGTCATCAGTAACAATACTGATAATTAGAGGCGTCATTTCACATTTATTTTTTTTCATGGGATGCAAAACCTATATTGAAAATTAAAATCAACTAGAAATTAATAATTTCCATATTTAACTTTATTTTTCAATCATCATATTGTATTCAAATGTATAATAAAATATTCAAAACCGCAATTCAAATTAATTTCAATATTGATTATTTCGTTTATATTGAACTAAAATACACAAAAATTACCTACTTATAAAGCGTATTTTTAGAACAAACAATACAGTATGTACTCGTATAGTATAATAAACATAATAAGTTAAAACAAAATGATATTGGTACCGAAAACTCAACAATACCTATAAGCATTTTGAACTAGCATAATTTAATTACGAGTAGGTACCTATAGGACCTATAGGTTCTGAAATTTAAACAATAAAAAAAATTCAAGAGTACTACAAAATGCATCTATAATAATATGTAAGCATATATATTTTATAGTACAGGGGCAAATACAAGGAGGGGAGATAGGGGCGATCGTCCCCCCCTGGGCATTGTTAAATTTGTTTCATGTTTAGGTACTTACTTATTTTATTATTATTATTAATCAAAAATTTAAAAAAAGTTAATTTTCTTTGTGCGAAAATGGTTATCAAAACTTGTTAAGAGATTGATAAGAGATTAGAGATATTGTAGCTATCATCAACATATATACCTACTGTTAGTTATAATAACTTTAATGATTGTCTATACGATTATTGTATGTACTGTGCAACCATGGTCCGTGTTATTAACTATTCTGTTTTCGGGGAATCATACCATAGATCCGTGATAACTATATCATAACGAAAATTGATAAGCTTTAATGGAAAGACGGTCATGGTAGTACGAGTACGAAACTATTCTTACAATAATCAATACAGGTAAATTGACTGCAAATAATATATTAAAATTATCATTTAAAAATCACGAGTCCCAAATATACAATATAACATAAATTTGGTACCAATACCTACAGTAAATTATTTTATGTTGTTCTGTACAGGGTTTTTCAATCAATAAATTAGAAAAATAAGTAGGTAACAAGTAATAATATACGTAAAACATGTTTTTGAATAAATATACCTAATTATTTGTGTAGTTTTAATTTTTTTTAAAGTATTATATTAATTTATAATGGGGCTTTTTTCTAAGCATTCTTTTCAATATTTATAAAAACATTTTCTCAGGATGCTAATTACTGTATTTTTCCTTGGGTTTTATTATCCTTAATTCCTAATAATAGTTATCGAAGTGAGTGCAAGTCAATTATTTAAGTTCTAAGTTAGCGAAACGATCAGAAAATTTTTAACTGCCAATTTATTTATAATCTGTAACACTGACATTTATAGACATTTACTTTTATAACTAATAGTTTATAAGTATGATTAAAGTTCGGATTTCGCCTTCCCTCCCCCCCCCCCCCGGGAAGATTAGCAGAATACGCCCCTGTTATAGTACATTAATGAAAAACTTCTATGCTTTAATTTAACAAAACTGTCTTTATTTGGTAGTTGCTACTATAGTACTAATATTATACTAGTGTTTATAACGTTGTTTTTGTCTAATGATACTATACAAATTTTAAGTGATGGTAAAATATTTTTGTAAAATTACAAAATGAGTGTTTTAGAATATAATTTATGTACGAAATTTACTTGGTAGATCTACACGTTTTAGGTGTGCTAAAAAAAATTCACGGGATGCATTTCCATACCTTGCATTTCACAAATGACGCCCTGCTGGTAATTATAATTTGTACAGTATAATAAACTAGATTTCTTTTCACTTTGTATATTTATTAATTATCCATTTATTATTCCCGTTTTTGGTTCTATAGTAAGTATTCACATTTGAAAAGACAATGTGACGTGTAGGTATATTTCGAATTTTCATAAAGAATATATAAGTTAGAGCGGAATTTTCATGACTTGGTACATTACAGAGGTCATTTTTTGATTTTCCCCGAAGTTTTCTAAATATATGGGAAAAAAGAGAAAATTTCCGAAAATAATGTTTTTAATATTTTTAATTTAATTTTTTTTATGTAATTCAGTCAAAAATATTCATAGAGACTTGAAATGTCGACAGAAACTTTATATTTTCCTTTTAGAAACGAAATACAATTTTCAAAACATTTGAGCTATTTTTAAGATATTAGTTATTTTAATTTTGGTAGTTTATTTACGTAATATTTATTCAGTAGGTACTCTTTGGATAAAATTGTTAGACCAAACAGAAATGCTTGACAATTTAACAGAAGATTCATTATAAGTTACACTTACCGGTCAACAAGAAAAAGTTGAGTTTAGTGTTTAATGTAATATATTTATTTTTTTTTTTAAGAATTTAAATATCAAATTTCGACGAATATCAGCCTTTTAAAAACCAAAATCCTCTCAGAATCGTTTTTCGTTAATAAAGATTAATCGTCGCGTACAGATATACATTAAATTTCACTCTAAAACTAACTTGCCTAAAATTCTACCTACCTTCAAAACTTTTCACCTACAACAGTGGCCCACACATCGTGCGAAGTATGTCCGTCTTTTAGATTCCGAGCGTAGGAAGGGAGCTATTGGTTTACAATGCTGTTTATTAATTTTTTTTTTCTAGTCTGTGGTCTCGTTTTTTCCTAGTAAACTTACTCCGATTTTAATGTATAGCAACTTTTCTGAAAGTTCAAGTTGTCAAATTGTACTTTAGAGACACCATTTTTAAATAAAAGCATTTAAGTGGGAAAAAACGTAGGAAAACGTACAATTTCACGATTTCGTTATTTTGTGAAAACATGGACGACGTTTTATATCAGAAAAAATGGTTTAATTGAAAAAACACAAGACATATTTTTTTTTGCATTTTTTATTTACTTTCTTACGGTATCATTGCCAAAACTTTTGAGCCTTTAAGGAATTTTAATTTTTGGGAGTTTTTCAGCTGTAATTCGGTTAAATACATGTAGAGATCTGAAACTTGGTAATAATATTTATAATAGACTTACCTAGACGTGGTAAAATTTCCAAAATCATTAGACGATTTTTTTTTTTTTTTAATAAGCGTTTTGAAATCAAATTTAAACGAAAATCGCAAAAAAAAAAAATGACTGCACTTTAAATTTTGTATTACCGAACTGCGCTCGGAATTTTCTTTTGTCAAGCAATGGTTTATCATGATTTAGAGATATAAATGAAATAACCTTATGTCTTCTACCTTCTCAACTTCTCACCTACAACAATGGGAAATGAGAACCTAAAATAAATAAAAAATAATAAAAAAATAAAAAATTCCGTAAATAATTGGAGTATTATTTTAAATAAATGTTGGTGTTAAAATGTTGACGAGTCATTTCACTTTTAAGTTTAGGTAGTTAAAGAGTAGTGGAGCACTAATAAAACGCCCCGTGCCGCACCACCCTGCAAATGAAGTCATTGCCTAGAAAACCTTATAATTTCCTAACGATAGCAGGCAATGGTATACATTCACAGTAAAATTACTCATTCGTTTTATATTTAAAAAAATAGTTTACATTTATATTTTTCAGTGGTGCCGAAGTCATTTAAAAATACTCGGGCAAACGAGGAAATTCTGTATTGTACTGGTATTTTTTGAGTATGATATATTACATTACTCATGGTATTATTCGAATAGTTATATTTTTAGGATAGGGATAGGTGGCAGTATGTTTATCTAGAGGTATGGTCTTGAATGGCCGAAACCAAGAAAGAAGAAGAAGAAGAAGTTATATTTTTAGTTTATAATTTTAGATTCTGAGTGGGTTGAAGAACCTTATTGTTTTACAAATATTTTTTTTTGAGTGTAGCACCTTTTCCGAAAGGAAATCGGTGTGAGAAGGTACTATAACAAGGTCATTTTTCGATTTTCCCAAGAGTTTTTTCAAAAAATTTGGAAACCTGAAAAAAAAAAGGAATAACGGGAAATATAAGAAATTTAGGAAATAGTTAAAAATATTACTGCCTTCTTTTTTTCCTGTGAATAATTTTTTCACCGGCAATTTTATTCTAATTTACAATGATAACATTTATTTTGAAAGGAAATCTCACTGAGAAGGTAGGTTTTTTTTAAAAAAAAACGGGAAAATGTATGGAATATATAATAAAAATATTGCCCGAAAACATTGTCTAATAAACTACGGAAATGTCCTCAAAAGTCAACTAAAATATTATTTCCTATGGTATTTAGGAATTGTCATCATTTCCTGAATTGTCAACATTGCTGGTAGGTATTTATATTTACATATTAGTATATAGCATCGTCATAACAAAACAAGAATTAAAAACGACAGACATACCTCGCACGATGGGTGCAGTCACTGTTGTTGGTGAGAAGTTGGGAAGGTAGGATATAGAGAGGAAATGAATTTGTATCCGTAAGCAACGACAGTCCATTGTTAACGAAAAACGATTCTGAGCGGAGTTCAGTTGATAGTGATGCTTTGTCAACAATAATAATATAATAGTATTTGTTTATTGTTGTACCGATTTACCCGGTTTTCCTAAGTTTTTCCTGGTCTTCCTATGTTTTTTCTCGGTTTTTCACATTTGCTGGGAAAACACCTGAGAAAATCGAAAAATGACCCCTTTAAAGTACCTCTCCAATCGGATTTCCTTTCAGAAAAGATGTTACACTTAAATACCGGAGCAAGATTTCCGTTAGAAAAGTTGCGCACAGAAAAAAAAAAAAAAATAAAAATAGTATACCTTATTAAAACCATAAGCCTTTTCGCTCCACTCAGAATCTAATATAACATATAATATAATGGACGTATCAAAGTTTATATAAATCGGGTCTATTTTTCAGGGGAGGGGAGAGGGACATGTATGTCCTATGGAGTCCTATCCCGTAAAATACCTGCTAAGTTTCATAAAATAAATGTATGACGATTTTCAACAACGCTACACATATAATACCATAAGTACGATTAAATAAATTGTCAGGTGCAATAAATATTAATATCATTGTTGTTCGATCCGTCATTTATTTTTATTTTTTTTTTTTTTTTGTTGTTGTTTTGTTTTCCCGTCGTCGAAAGGTCATACGAACGCACACACACGACACGCGGTGTAAAAGCAAACAATTCGCGGCGGAGCGCACGGCGCGACCGGCCGGCAACAAAAAAAACACGTTCGTCACATCTGCCGCGCGCGTCACACAAAAGACCGCGCGAGCCCGACACGCACACCGCGCACGAACGGCACCGCATTGTGGGCGCGCGTAATTTTCACAATCGGCAAGTTATAAGTGACGGGCGTGTATAAAACGATGTTCGTGCGTCCGCCGACGTCTGATTAGGTACTACACTGTCCGCCCCGAAGGACTTCGACGTGTTCCTGTTGCGCTCGCAGATTGAGATTCACGGTGCCGAGGACTCGCTCACGCCGACCGCCGAGACCGCGACTACGACGCCGACGACGATGACTGTGACAGCGGCCGCCGCAAGGCATTTCGGTTCCGGCCGACTCGCCGCCACCGCGGTCCTCTGGCTGCTGGTCGCGCTGTTCAACGGCCAGGTATACGGTATTGGGGCGCGACCGCGATCGAGCGGGACGCCGCCGCAGAACCGATCGATCTATACGGCGGGCACGGGACCGGAGCCGCGGTCGACGCCACTGCGACCCGCAGGCTTTGATGGCCGCCGCGTCGGCAGAACGGCTTCGGACCGGAGGTCCGCTATCATTCGGCTCCGCGGCGGCCGTGCGAACCCGAGGTTCATTCCGCCCGCCGACGCAGTAATGCTGGCGGTCGGTAATAACAGCCAATTACGCAAATGTCCGTGGAAAAAACGGCTAGTGGAAAATGGCCAAATACTCTGTAAAAGGCCGAAGGAAAAATATTCGGACGTTTTTTCTACGGTCATTGTTTGTTTTTTTTTTTTTCTCGATTTGGCCGTTATTACCTTTATTATGTTATCGCCACAGAAAAATATTATGTTCAAAGCGCGTTATTTTAATACGGGCAATATTATTTAAAATAATTGAATAGGTACTCCGCTAATGGAAGAAGATATGGCCATTTTAATTTCTTCTCGTCATATTTGTAGGGAGCGCGTAAAAAAGCCGAACCGTTTTCCAGCCGAAAAATATTTTAGCCGAGCACATAATGCGTGATGTCTCGGCGGCTGTCAGTTTAACATTCTAATTTTTATACCTTCATTTTTCAACGTCAGCCAATAACCGTAGTCTTTTATTGTTTTTTTGTAATTCCGTGTAGCAAATATTTATGATAATTCATTCAACTATGTTCGAAGTTATATAATTCAACATTTTCTGATTAAAAAAAAAACCATCAGCAGTCTTCTAAAACAATGATAAGAAATTAACCAGTCGATAACAAGTAGAGTTTCGGCTTAAATTTACTTATTTTATTTAATTATTACTTTATTTTAATTAAAATACGTTCGGTTGAAATATTTTCGGCTGTTTTATTTTTGACTTTTTTTTATACCTCCCCCTTTGTGTTTGACCATACATTTTTCTATGGCATTTTTAATAAATGACGACCGTTTGTATTTTGGCTATTGTTTCGATACCCGCCGATTCCGCCACTTTCCAATTTTCAGACAACAAAATTAAAAACCGACAACCAATCCCATTTTACACAGATTTGGGACTGTCTAGTAATCCGTAATTAACACATTAACCACCTAGTTTTCTTATAAAAAAATTAACATTTAAAATCACTGATGTACGCAATGGCGAGTTTAAGAGTTAAATCCCCCCCCTTCGCATTGGCAATACAAACAAATATGAGCAATTTAATATTGAAATGTATAAACGTATTTCAGTCAGGTTACGAGGAAAATCTTGATTCATCGATTATAAATTGTCTTTTTACTGGAATCTTTTACATTATCAATTGCCATAGTCGAGTTGGGTAGATAAGACTATTTTACGATTCTTATTTGCTACATCCCTTCCCTTTGAAAATCCCTGGGCACTGCTTAACATTGTAATAATTTTTACTTCCATAATAATACATTTAAGTTATAACAAATACACATGTACCTAATTGACAGTACCTATGTCTGAAATATTGTCCAATCCAATATAGTATATAATATTGCATACTTCCTAGATATGACTCTCCCATTCAGTTAAAAACCTAATTAATTAATCTTTATGATATGAAAATAAACCAGTTCCATAGTCAATTGTTAGTACTTTAATAGTCTTAGAGTTTTACACCATAACTGAATTATAAATAATTAAAATACATATAATTTAAAAGAAAAATGATTTTCAAAAGTTAAACATTGGTTTTATGACATGTTGTATTGTCAGTTTTTGATTTTTAAATGTGTAATTGTTTTTGATTTGTAAATTTAATTAATAGATCAAAGAATAATGTACCCTATCTGTTTGAATTTTTGTAATAAAGACGTGTTAATAAATTCTGTGAAGATTGTTTTCTAGAACTTCATAATGGCGGAATCGGCGGGTTGATAAGCTACTGTCCATCGTAGAGGAATTGGTACTGACGGAATCGATTAATCCTTTTTTATTAAAAAAAAACAAAGAAAAGAAGAAAGTTCGATGAAATCCCGCCAAAGTAGAAAATATCATTCTTTCCGGACGCGTCGACCCGAGGGAAATATTATCGATTTTTCTATGGCTCCTTGACGTTTCGTCGAATTGACGTGATTGATATATTATTTTAATTAACGCTATTAAATGCACGCTTTTTTTAAAAAAAATAGTGTTATGAAATAACGTTCGAATATAGTGAGGAATCCAATAATTAGGTATTGACTATAACTAACATTATATGATGAAAAAAATTAATTATTAAAACATATTTTTGGTACATATACTCAATGACGTAGCTAAAGGAGGTTTTAGATATTGTAACCCTCTCCCAATGATTTTTTTTTGTCTAAAGGTATGGTTTAGAAAATTATCAACTCCTAAACCCCCTTAGATCTTCCGAATCCTTACTCTCGTTGACAAATCCTGGCTACGCCACTGCATATACTGTTTGAATTCGTATATAAAATACCTAAGGAGTACGGATATCTATGTAATGTTTATTCTGAGAAAAAAACGGTTTATGTACTAAAAGCATATTTCAATACTATGTAGGTAATTACTTAGATTATAGATCTATTTCTTGTATAAATCGTGTAAACGAGAAACACGATTAAAAAAAAAAAAAAAACTTTGCAACAATTAGAAGGTATGCGGTTAATATAAAATATAATTTGTGTTGTTTTAAAAAACATAATTTATTGTTACATTTTAGAGCAATGTTTACGGAGACCCGCTGCAACCCGATTTGTTAGCCCCATTAAATAGCGTTGTAAACGGATTGACTGGCCAACCAACGAATGCCGGACCCAATAAACAAATGCCACAACAACAAAATAATAATATCGTACCACAAGGAATGAGTAATAATAATTCACCCGCAATGCAAAGACCCACTATTCCACAGAACAGTTTACAGCAAAATATGCAAAATACCGGTGCACCCAGTCAGCAACCAAAATTTAATACGCCGAATCCGGCACAAGAACCTGTAAACTTGAACTTTCACCAATCACAGGCCCAAAATGGCCCACTATCTGGTCCATCACCTGGCCCACCAACTGGCTCATCACCTGGCTCACCATCTGGCTCACCATTTAGTCTATCATCTGGTCAATCACAAGGGTTGAACTTAAACCAACTACCTATGGATAATGTTGCTAAACAACAATGGAAAAACCCACAAAATCAAGCTCCTCAACATCCACATTCACAACCAATGGTACAGCCTATGGCATCAAACCAACTGCAACAACAGCTTCCAATGAATTATCCTGCATACCCGCCATTCAATAGTCAGATGGCACAACCATTACTCTATAATACGCCACAGAATTATGGCACTCTACAGCCGACAAGTTATCCAAACTTTTATCAAAATCCAAATAATATGGGCACCCCTGCCGGTGTAAATAACTTTCAAATGCAAATGCCGGAAACGAGTTACCCGGTACAGTCAACTAATACCGTTCCGACGTCGGATTCAGGTATATCCATCAGTATATAACAGGGATAAAAAAATAATTATTAATGATATGGTCAAATTATATCAACATTAATTCTAGTAAAAAACTGTTAATTGAATGGGTTCATCAATAATAACCATTATCGATACCTTAGAAAGTTGGAAGGAATACGTTGTACAATTCATAACTGATTCTTTACTTCTGGATAAAAACTAGTTAAACGATTTTATGATGGCAGTGAAAAAAAAACACGCTAACGCCATCCGATCTCGCGAGGGGGTGCTAAAGAAACGTTTCTCCAGCACCGCCTCAATTTTTTGTATGTGTAGCGAAAACTAAAGGTGTAGAAATTCGGTAAATAGTCATATAAACTGCATACTGAATGTTAGCGAAAAAAAAATTTGCGAAAATCATATGTTGGGGTGCTGGGGAAATATGCGTGTGTAGATCACTTTGAAAAATCATTTTAAAATAAATTTTTCGAATTAGTACCACTGCCAGTAGTGCTAAAATTTAAAAAAAACTCATCTCAGTTACAGAAAAGACCAACAGACAATAAATTGAAAAATAATTGTAATATTATGCTAGAAACTAGAAAATATAATATTATCTATCCCGATTATATTTTATAGTTTACGAAATATTGATAAGAAATAACCCAATATTCTAGAACTCATAAATAAAATCGTTAAATTAATTTAAATTTATACAATTGTGCATGATAATTTTATTTTAAATATTTCTGAAATTCCTTCACATACAGAATTAAATACCACTAAATACCGATTTTATTTCCTTGACTAGAGTTTCTATATTTTTTTTATAGGCGATTGCTTCATGGGTGATAATTGCCAACAACGATTCAACATTCAAAATATAAATATAATCAATTAAAATCTATTGGGCTCCAATTTGGGTTGTTGTAAACTTTCTATACCCGTTGCTCCTAAGTCCTAGATGACTACCACTTACATATACAGGGTGGTGATTAACCAAGCGTGCTCATCCTGTTTTTTTGGTCGAATCTCGCATACATTCAAATTTTAATTTTTGAAATTTTTATGTGTTGTTAAAGCCGATATTTTGGAATACTCGGATTTTTCCAAAACATTAAGGAATTATCCTGTGGCGATACCATCTTTGGTTTTTCAAATGAAAACCTTTATTAAAAATTCCATAGACAGATGGTGTATTACTTTGAGTAAACTTCGGTGTGAAACATTTTTCTTTCCGTCAACCCGTCGGCGAGATATTTCACTTTTAAGTTTAGGAATGAGGAGAGTAGCGGAGCACTAATAGCACTGCGGGCCGCCACACAAATTATGCTCCACTACTTTCCCCTGCCCAAGCTTAAAAGTGGAGTATCTATATTAAGAGTATAGTAAACAATAATACATTTTCTATAACGAAATCATATATGGTATATGTTAAATAAAAAAAAACAATGATGATAGATTGGATACCATCACGAATACGCGCGCGGAGCTTACCACAGATAAATATACGATAGGAACTCCATAAATACGTAATAAGCCTCCCGTGCTTAAATATATGCAGATATTTTATCATTTACTATACTCAATACTTCGATATTTCGACGTCATCTCAATAATACAATGTACGTTTTAGCATTGATTTTAATCAACGGTTTTAGTTTAAAAAAAAAAGTTTTTTTTTTTTTTTTAAATTTCAACTGTTACCTTTTCGATAGTATACTGTGTACTGTACTCGCATGCAATTGTTATCGCCACGTCAATGTAAAATATCAGACGAATTAAAATATGTGAACAATTTCCAGGTGACAACTTTGTACAGCAATTGGAACATTTGCCGCAGACTTTCATGAACATGTTACCGGTTGAAACGTTGATGAGCCTCGCGAATCCGTTGCCATATGCACAACAAGGTGTGGGCTTGGTGACCAATACGTTAGGAAAGGCGACCAATTATGCGACCGGCGTGAAGAACAGCGTTGGCGGCGCGGTGGTGGACGTGAGCAGAAAAGTAATTGACAGCGAACAATCGCTGCTGAACGGCATTGTGAGCATGCTGACGGCGTTCCCGAACGTATTAGTCGACCTCAAGCAAAGGGGCGTCGACATACTCCAGAGCGTGCTCGACTTACCGTCGCAGTCGTCCAACGGTAATAATAAGTCGTCATCCGGCGGCACGGCCGATAATTCGCCGAACACCGCAGCCAATTCACCGATGTCGCCTAGTCAGATCAACCAGCTGAACGAACTAATCAAGTACTACCAACAACAGGGCATGTTGCCACAGCAGTTCGGCAACGGTAACTACCAGCCGCCGTACGCACCGCAAGCCCAAATACAGCAGCCGTCGTACGCACCGCAGGCCCTGATGCAGCCGCCGTCGTATGCACCGCAGGTCCAAATACAACCGCCGCCGTACTCACCGCAGGCCCAAATACAGCCGCCGCAGTACTCACCGCAGGCCCAAATACAGCCACAGTTTCCCGGGGGTTATCCGTATCAGCTGCAACAGCAGCAAATGCAGCAGCAGCCGCAAATGCAGCAGCAGCAGCCGCAAATGCAGCAGCAGCAGCCGCAAATGCAGCAGCAGCAGCCGCAAATGCAGCAACACCCACAGAACACTGGTCGGAGCACGGAACGGTTACAACAAAATGTACGGTCCCAGGATTACCCAGAGAATAATCCCGTCAACCGTCCGCAACCCATAATACCGTACGGTTCGTTCGGTGACAACGCTCCAGCACCGTGATGCACCGATAATAACCCCCTAGCTTATCCTAATTTTATATTCGGTTTTCAATACATAAGGGCCGTCGCTAATTTATATTATATTCGATTGTGGTTCTTTCAAAACGGCCGTTTGTGTTTTTATTAAAGTAATACATGCTTGAACAGTTATCGTTATAGAAATGTGCACACGGTAATCACTTATACGGTTATAATACGAGTGTTTGTTTTATTTAATAATAAATATTTGAATGTTATAAGGACACAGCATACGTATATACTAATACTGTAAAAAAAAAAAAAAAAATAAATAAATAATAAACACTACACCCCAACGTCAATTATTTTTAAGCGCCGAGTATATTAAGTTTAAGGGTGGCGAACGGAATTTGCGTCGTTAAATGAATTTTATCCGATAAATCCGCATTACTATATTACACTTTAATTTTTTTTTTTTTCCAACCACCGAGCACAACGTACAATGAATTTCCTGTAAAATTTCCAAGCAATTATTTTCGGTCAAATCCACTAAATCCACTACCGAATAAAAATTAGTTACGCGCAAATCTCGCAGAGTTTCTCCGTTTCTGAATTTCACTTTTAAATTTTGGCGCGTAATGCGTTTATCACGTCCATTTGGTTAAACGTTGTTCCGTCCACGAATTATCAGATTGCCGATAAAGCAATCCCACTGATCATTTCCCCTCCAACGGAGATTGGTCGGCAGCTGTGTTTAGGAACGGTTAAATCTAGCGGCTGACCGATCTGCTGAATTCGGGTACACACACGGAATCTAGCGCCTCCTCTAAACGTTGGCCGCCGAATATATTACACACACCCGCCGCGCTACTCGTGTACGATAACGGTAAGTGCTATTCAGAAACGGAATCTCCATAGCGAACTTCTACGCGGTCCGCAGTTAACCAATGGAAATTATACCCAATACGTATTCCGTGTATGCAGTTTTGTGGCACGTATCAAATAAGACGATGGCGGCTAACACGCCTGTTGAATTCCGAGCCTCTAGTGGTGGCGGCGACGGGTGCAGTATTAATTGTAGCAACGGACATAACGACTTATAACGTTACTACGACCAACAGCCATTCTCGCGTTCCGTGCAGGTTCTGTGCGAACAAAAAAAAAAAAAAAAATTCAAGTACGTAATTTTTATAAGGGTGTCGCCCGGGCGGTATTCTCGCAATTAACTCGCAAACCATTAGTGAAGATTTTCCGTAGCTACGCCCAAAACGGATGGTAATACATAATCTATAGGTACTATAATATTAACAAAACACGCAGCGCTTATATAAACACGGACGATTGGTGGTAGTTTAAAATCGAAATTATTAATTAAGTTTGCGACTGTTTGAAAATGAATTGCAAAAGTTGAAATTATCTTAGTTTTTTTTTTTTTTTTTTATACCGGGCTGGGAAATGGTTTTGAAAATATTTACAAATTATCTGCAAACTATTGGCGCGTTAGTTAAATCGATAAATCCATGGTCAAGCTCCGAATCTAAAACACACATATTATAGTCAAACCAATAGATCCTTCGCTACATTCCGTGCCAATTTGTAGTATTTTTTTTCACCCATATTCATTTTTGCTTTCGACAGTGCCAGAATTTAATGAAAACAAATAGGTGGAAAGTGGGTAGACCACCTTCGGCGAACTACAAGTGTTCTATAGCGAAATTTTAATAGCGTAAATATAACAGTAATAATAATAATAATAATAATAGATATTATGTATTTTGATTTCTAAACTATAATAAAAAAAACCGTATTAAAAAGCCGATGGGGGAGGGTAATCAGCGGTGTACTTAAAATGTTTAATACCCGTGCAAAATTGTATAAATTAACGAAATTGAAGGCCACATGTACAATCCTAGTTTTACACAAATTTAATAAAAAAAAAAAAAAAAAGTCATTCACCTGATCGTCACTCAAAATAATTGGACTCCGATTATGGAGCCCTTAAATTTCATTGGACCAGTGGAAATTAACAAAATTTTCTTTCTTTTTTTTTTTACCTAAATAAATTTTCCCGATTGTGTATTAATTATATTACCTTGATAATTAAATTATTATGTACCTTATTATATTCTATCTTTACCAAGATATTTTACAATTGTTCGTGTAAACATTTGAAAATAAATCCCAGGTACCTAATGTGTTACTGCACTTGCGCAATATATTATTATTATTGTTTAGTGTATTTCGTGCTGACGGTCGTCATGCATTTTCGCGTGACAAAGTCGATCGCAGAAATCGAATACCTACGAATAAGTTAATAAAATGATGGCCTTTACACCGATACAAAACGCCAAACATAATTATAATATATTATATATTTAAAGTATAGACCTTATAATTTAGTTCATTTTCGCAAATCAAATATTAACGCACGAGTATATCATTTTTTTTTTTTTAAATTCTTATGCAATATAAAATGTAAACGTTTAAAAGTATATTTATATGTATACATATACATATATATATAAATGCTATAGAAAATAAAATAAAAATCAGGCGCCGCGTTTACTCTCCGAATAGTTTTTTGCCCAATTCCATGAATTTATGGCCTCGGCAAGCCGTCAACGCGTCGTTTTTCTTGAGCGTGGCAATCAAATCACTGTTAGCGTCGATAAGCCGACACAATAAATCTTCATAGGCGTACTTAACGTTGGTCGGAAGTGAACCCGGTTTAATTTTCACCAACATGTTAATAATGCCTTCTGCCCAACCGCTTTCAATCGCAAACTCCGATATCCACGGGACGAGGGTCAGGATGCCGCTTAAGTTTTGCATGCCCAAAAACCACAATTCTTGTAACTCTATCCAAGCTTCTTTGTACGTCATCGTCACGACTAACTGGCCCAACGCGTATCGCGAATTATTGCTATTCTCGTCAACCGTGTACGCGTCCCACAGAAAACGAATGGTCGCTTGTATGTAACGACAAATAGAGAAATCGTTTTTCTTAATGTACGCAGTCTTCAGCTTCAATAGTAACAGACCCAAAACAGCCATGTTGCCGTACACAACGAGGTTCTCGTGGTTATTTTTCAATTCGGGTAGATTGTCGAACACGAACTTCATTAGGGTGAAAAACAAAGGGCTGTCTTTGACGTGATCCGCTTCTAAAACGCAAAGGTTCATGAACGTATTACATATGCTAATGATGGCGCCTCTAGAATCGGCCATTTTTTTCAGACGGTCAGCTGGAATTTCCGGTTCTGGACCTCTTGGCTTACCTCTTTCGGACTTTGGTATCAACGGTTTTTTGAAATGTGCAATCGACCAATGGAATTCTAAGCATTCTTGTAACATTTCCTCTTGTTTTATTTTTAACAACACCGCCCGGCCTTTGTCGTCCACCGTTATGTGACATAAAGCTGGTAAAAACGCTCTCAACACGTCTACTTTACCCAAAGGATCGTCGATTTTTACTGGCGTTGCTTCGGTTTTAACGGTAACGTTCTCGGCTATGTATCTTGCACGGTAGGCATAAAACGATTCGTTGGCTATCTGCAAGGCGAATGGCAAAATGTTGTTTACGGCCGGTTTCATTGCCGACGTCTCTTGTGCCAACCAAGCGGACAACGACATAAGCATCAGGCATACAAAACATTTTTCTTTTATTTCCAAAGGTTTCTTAGATACAGACAATGTTTTCAGTACATTTAGTACGGCAGAAAAAGCTCCTTTGAGAGCGGTGTACGTTTGTTGTTTTTCTTTTTGTTCCAGGTCCAACGTGTCTGCCGCAATGTACGCGATTGATATTTCTAGAATCGTAAAACACGAACTGAGCAAATTTTCCGCTACCAATACCTGGGAACAAAAACAAATGTAGATATTAAAACATTGTTTAGATTGTTTGGCTGTACATTGAAAAACGAAAAATATGAAGCTGTATAAATAAATGTATAAATGTATAATGCATATAAATAGATACGTTTAAATATTTTACGATTTTATTTGTATAAGTGTTTGGTTTAACTAATAAAATAAACGCAATAAAAGTATTTTAGTTCAACCAATGTCTATAATAATAATATTATTCTTTTTTCTAGAATTTTCTCCGAAAATATAGTGACTATATTGTGCTATACATTATATATTGTAATACCTATATACACAGTGTTTTAACACGAAGATCTGATACTTGCACTAGCTGCACTAAGTTTTGTTCTCTGCGCTGGAAAAGCGGGACAATTTCGGGAGAACGGTTTTTTTTTTTATTCCCCAGAGCCTTAGAAATATGGAAAAATTAAAGAATTTAAAAATTACAAATTAATAAAATAAAATATGTATAATTGCTTAAAAAAATGGTGTGTTTAGGGAGAAAAATACCAGTCGAAATAATTTTAAAATGTTTTCTACGTGTTAATCGTTGACAAAGAAATATCATGTACCTATATTGTTTAAATGACTAAAATCATTTTTATTTTTTAGATAAATTATTAATTTAACTAACCATATTGCTTAGAATTTTGAAAAAGTCATCACGCTGCCGATCGGTCAGTTTATGCACATCGTTTATCATACTAATATCGAACAGCAAAATAATTAACCTTTTGCATCACATCAATATTTGATATATTTGCTGATGTTCAATGGGGTACCTAGGCTGCACAAAATGCGCATAATACCATAATCATAATTTACATCAGCTTTGGATTTATCAGGGTTGCAGCTAGGGGGTGCGTTGCATTTGGGCCACAGGCTTCAAATTTTGACATTTCACATATTTTATTGAACAATGAATTTTTATTGGGCAATAAAATATCCCACGCAATAGAATAGAAAAATATCGAATTACCTAAAGTTTTGATAATGTATAATTCTTTTAATCATTTTGTACCCGTATTATGATAATAATTATAAGCTTTCTCTTTGGATTTATTATCAGTATTACTGTTCTAGACAATGTACTTTAACAATCAACAATTTAAACCTATTTTATAGGCATTAATAATGTACTAACTCATTATTCAATTCCTTCAATTCCTCCCCTCTCCCCGCTAACTAATCCCGCACATTATGTTAAGGTCCGTGTAGCAAACAATTTATATTTTCGTATTTAGTTACAAATAATAATAATGATATACAGAAATATGCCTTACGATTTTGTCCGCATGCTAATAACTCTGTCGATATTTATTTTTTTAAATAAAGTTTTGTGACGGGGGACATGAATGTAGAGACAAATTAATTTTTTATTTGCTTCCCTAAATCACTGAAAAAAAATAACTTTTTATTTTTTACTTTAAACATTTTCAAAATAACCAATTTGTAAAATATATTATTCTAAAAATTTTAATGTAGCACACTTACATATTATATCAATAGTGTTTTAGTGATAGCCATTTTCATTTTAAAAAATACAAGATAGAAGATAAGGAAATATCGTGCTGATTGTAATTAATATTCTATTGAAATTAATTGTGTGTACACCAATTTCTATACATTAAAGCTGCTATAACTAAGAAACTATTAATCAGATATGAATATATTATAATACATTCAAATTTTTAGAATATATTTCACAAAATGGGAATTTTGATAATTTAAAAAATGAAAAAAAAAAGTTACATTTTTAGTGATTAAAGAATGAAAATAAAAATTTAATTGTTCTCTACATTTGTGTGACTCAGGCATAAAACCCGATAGAAAAAAATAAACGGATTTTGATAGTTATTAGCATTTGGATAACATTGTAGGACACCCTATACTATCTGAATCTGTTTTATTGTATTTATTGTTAACATTTATTTATTTTTATTGATAAAACAAACATTAGTTTAATTTTAAATTAAAAATAATCTTTAAATTATTGCTGAATGAGTGTTTGAGGTGGTGTAATAAAACGTGCTCAAAACTGTGTGGTTGTGGATAGAAAAAAATAAAAGATGTAAGTACCTACCTAAATAAGTAAATTAAAAATAAAAGAAATACAAAAATACTTGGAAGAATACCGCAGACACAATAAATATTGTTCAAGTTATACCTAATATCTAATAATTTATTTACATTGTATGATAAACGTAGCAGGTACCTACAAATTAAGTTGATACTAACTAATAATGATTTTTCTTTTAATGTATTTTAAACTATTAGACTTTGTTTAATTAAATGATGACTGATCTTGAGCCCAGATAAACAGTGTCATGCATTTACCATTTAAATTAATGATTGTTTTAGAATCTGATGTTTACAAATAAGAACATTTTGAATACAATATTACCTAGGGTACCTACCTACCTGAAAATATTGAGTAATTTTAGATGCATGCAAATATGTTAATAGGCACCTAACTTAATATACTGAATTGTTATTGTATAAATGTGTAAATTATAGGTAGGTAGTAATTTGTAATAAAATGTTAATATTGGTCATAACTTATAATGCACATAAATTTAAATTAGACAATCTAATAATGACCTGTCAATAATTTATTACCTTTAATATTTAATCATAATAAACTAATGAATATTATGCAATATGCATTAGTGTGTGTTTTTATTTTAACAATAGTACTCATAAAATGAGTATGTTTTATTTATTATTTTACAAAATACTTAGGCAAATGAATTTGAAATTATTCATTTCTAGATTAACATAGTATCTTAATGAATCATCTCAATTTTCAGAGAATGAAAAAGATGATGTGACTCCACTCAGAATCGTTTTTCGTTAGAAATGATTAATCTTTGAGTCCGGATATACATTCAATTTTTTTCTGCCTATCAGTGGTCCACCCATCATGCGAAATATGTCCGTTTGTTTTTAGATTCTGAGTGGAACGAAGAATGTATCGGCTTACAAAAATATTTGTAATGTATTTTTTTAATTTTTTTTTATTATGTGGACACATTTTTCCAGAAAGCTCACTACGATGTATACAATGTAGACCTTTTTCTGAAAGGAAATTTTCTTGGGGTGGTACTTTAGGAAGGTCGATTTTTGATTTTCTCAGAAGTTTTCTTATCAAATGTGAAAAATCAGAAAAAACATGAAAAACCGTAGGCAAAACAGGAAAATCGGATCAATATTAAACAAATATTATTAAAGAAAATATACAATGCCTATTTAATCGTTTTACCATAATACTATTAACTGAACTCCGCTCAGAATAGTTTTTTCGTTAGCAATAGTTTATCATTGCTTACAGTTGCATACATTAAGTTACCTATAACAGTAGCTGCACCCATCCTCACTATCCTAGGATATATTTTTTATTTTCGGTATTTAAAGACGGCCAATGGGAGGGGGCTGACTATTGAAACTCTTTAATCCCCCTCTGGGTATCACTGAATTGAACTCGGTGGGGTAACTTTACTAACGAGCTTATAACCAACCGAACCTGTAACATTTTGATGGCGTATAAAATAAATAACACATAAATAAATTTTATGCTACAATTTATTTGACTACAATGATTACATTATCGAATGTCAATTAGTAATAATATACAATGGTAAATAAATATTTGAAAAAATATTCGTACCATAATTTACATTATAATATTATTATGTTTGATCTTTGACGATGGCCCCAAAAAGGGTAAGGCAGATAACCCTTACTAAACGACAAAAAACGACAGTAACGGAATTAATAATTCCTCATAAGGACATAATTGAATAAATTACGGTATTTGTTTGACAGATTAACTTAATTATAAATTACAATATTCTAAGCAAGGTAAACATTAAGGCTGATAAGGAATTATTATTCTTATCACCGTGTATCACACAAAATTGGACCTGTAAATACAGGTCCAGTAGCCAAGAAATTACTGACCCGTAACATTAACGAGCGTTCAAGCAACACGGACTTAACTTTTTTTAACGGGCCAGTAGTGAGCTAAAGGCTCTGTAAATCGCTAATGAACGTTTATTCAACCTAAACTTAATAATCAATATTGTCGTATGCAATAATTCATGTTTGATAACAAATCAAATGTAATATATATATTATTTAGGCATTAGGCATATATTATATACATTTTAGAAACCATATGAATACTTTATAAAACTAAAATGTATAATTATACCTGTTATATTATCTTGTTTTCGATTAAATAAGATTTTTAATTTTTCTAATTGCTAATACTATTATGTTACATACACCCCAAATCTATTATGAAACGTGCATTTGAACGCAATAAGATTGTCTAATTCATTTTTAGAATTATACACACAGGCGAGTCACGGCGAATGGATACATTTTTGTACGTCGAAAAACTCATATAGTTCGAATTTCTTGACGTAAATTTACCTAAATATGTATATACCATAAAAAAATCGCAATTATTTATACAGTCACGTTTATTACGCAAAACTGCTCGCAGTCACAGTTAATTTTTTAATTTAACATGTTCACGTGCTATATAAAAAAAAATTAAACGAAAAGCTCGAAAAATATAATATATTTTGTTCCTCTCTTTGACTTATCGCTACTTAAAATGTATCTATCTACTTAACGTTATATGGACTAAGTTTAGTACCTGTTCGAATTTTTTATCTTCCAAATGCATGCGTATCTCTATCGAAGCCAAATGTATCAACAGTAAGAAAAATGCTTTCGGTTTCGCTTCGTCTTGGAGCGACCATTCAGCTCCGAACGTGGTGAGCATCTGCGCCGCCAATTTGATCGCCGGGTCTCGTTGGGCTTTGACGAGTTTGCTCGTCAATATGTCCCGCAGTCCCAAGAACATTTTGGTCGGCCATATTTCGTTATCGCAAGTGTTTTGGACGATTTCTACGGGACAATTGCCCAATAACGGCAAAAGTATTGAGCACAATTTGAATTTGCGGTCACTATGGTCGGTTTCGAAATCGACCGTCAATATGTTCATTAGTGTATTGAAGTTCGGTACGTTATTTTCCCAGGAAGGAGGACCGAACTTTTCGACAATGGCCACGAGCAACGATAGCGCTTCGTCCGTTTGAAAACTCTTCTGCGAATACACCCGACACATTTTTCCGACCGCGTCAACTTCGAACAACGCCCGCATTCCCTGTTCGAATTGCGCGATGACGTTCAGACACTTGTATGCCTCGTTTACCAGCATGAGATTGTCCTCGTCCGCCTCGTCCTCATCCTCGTCTTCGGCACCGATCACAATGTCCAAGAACACGTCGACGTTCTGCAATATCTCTTGGTGCGTGGCCACCTCTTGGACGCTGCACAGCGCTGTCAATATGCTCATCGCCACGGACTTGTAGACAAACGGCGGACAGCCGGCCGGCACGTCGTCGCTGAGCAACAGCCGTTTAATGAATTTGAACTCGATGGCGTCGAACAGAGCCAGTTTGGAACGGGCGTTACATTTTTCCGCCTTGACGGTCTTGGTAACCATAAACAACGCGGCAAATTTTTCCGTATCCGTTTTCGCGCCCTTTATGATGCCCACGCATTTTTTCACCGAATCCAAGACTTCGTCGCTCATCTTCGTGTAGGTTGGATTGACGCGTGGCCGGTATCGCGGTAGGTTAACGGCGACGAAGTGCGAAAATCGGAATGGAAGAAAAGCGACAAAACAAATGCACGGCCGAATGCGACCAACGTGGCTACGTAATAATAACGTAAAGAGAACAGTGCGCGCTTGCGGTACGGTCGTGAGTCGCACGAGGATGCGTTGTTGTATTGAATTTCCGACGTCGTCGCTACGGTCCACCACGACGACTGTTCACGACCGGCCAACTTCTAAATTTAGCACTTTAAGCGTGTTTGCCGCCGGAACAGCTATGCGTCCGGGCCACGTGCCAATTCGCGTTTGCGATTACATAACGACTAATAATATAATATTTTACTATACAGCGCGGCGCGGCGTCGCTGCTCGACTCCACGACCCGATATACAGAGTGTTTTGAAAGTCCGATTTCACAAGTTCCCATAGTCCGTTGCAAAAGCGAAGATTTACTACAAGAGGGCGGGGTGAGAGATGGGAATGAAGTGTAACAATATTTTTTTTAAATAATCTAATGTTTTAATAGGGATACGACAATGTTCGATTCAATATGTATTGACGATGATCCTTCCCTCCTCAGTTTTTTTTAAAGGAATTTCATGTGTCCAAACGTTCCAAATCAACACACGGCGTGATTTATTTCAACTCCCAGTAGTGCGAAATTTCGATTACTGTGTGACACACAGTGTGTGTCCTGCACACTGTATAGACGAACAGTGAACGATTGAATTAGTAAAGATTTCGTAACAAAATATTTTATTTTGTATAGTGAATACACCCCTACTCCGGCAATTGCCGGGTAAAATGCAACATTTAAGGGCCAGGTATTTGGTCTCTTTGCTCGCCACGCATTATTTAAGCAATGGGAGAGTGGAGTGGATATTCACTAGAAAATTCCTTGTACACCGCCCGGTGTGCTGTATAATGTATCGATTCGAATTATCAGACGAATACGACTTTTCATAATGATACAAAATAAAAACACCGCATATATATATATGATAAAAAATAATTTCGTCACCACGAAGACGGCATCGGTTATACAAACAAAAAACAAAAACCGAACTCACCGCGACAACGGCCAATGGCCGGTCGCCAAAAAAACAATGCGAGAACGTGCGGTGTTTATGAATTACGGCGCGTGTACGTATACAAGTACCTATATAATGTTATTTAAATATATATATATATATATATATATATATATGATCTTATTTATCATAATATTTTTTTTTTTTATATGTAACATATCCATAGTAAACTCGGCCAAAACGCATGAAACTGCGGTTTCACACACGAACCGATGCGGCAAACATGAAAACAAATGCAAAAACGTACAGACGGACGGCGGTGAATATTATTGAGACCGTAAATAGACATTATGTTAAGATGTCGCTGAATTTGGGGCCACGTTTCCACTCGATCGTTTTAGATTACGATCATACAATATACATTATACACTGCAGCGGCGTATTTACAGGTAAAAACAAATACCATTTTAGGTTCAGTAGAGGATTTTCATCATTTTTCCGGGGGGGGGGGGAAATTCTATAATGTCATATTTATTTTAAATGTATACATAAATAGATGCATCTTATTTGGACGACATATTTTTTTGAAATTATTTTGGTGTCGGGTATGGGGGGGGGGATCGAAACCCCTTGACCCTCAAACTGAAATCAACCCCTGTCTCTCTTAACTCATGAGCATTTTTATTTTTTATTTATCGTTAACACGGTCGGCGTTTTCGATAAAATCACTTCCAACAGTAGTTATGTGTATTCCTGTGTTAAATAAATGAGTAACTGCAGGTGCGTCACTGAGGAGGGGGCGAGGGGGCGATCGTCCCCTCCCTTAGTCATGTGATGTTCTTTTTTGTTATACAAAATATCTATTATTCTCAAGTACAAATGCAACTGGTTCCAAATGCCATAAAGATAATTCCGGATCTTGGAAATACTTTGATTGAAATAACAATGAAACATACTTCTCGTTAATAAATTTCCATAATTATTCTCTCAAGGGTGAGATAGAATTATGGAAAACTAAGTGGGAACAATCAATTTGCGAAGATATAATAAAATAATATATTTTTAGAATCAAAATTGGAAATGATTAATTTAATTTAAATTTTAGATTCTGAGTGTAGCGAAAAATGTACCTATTGGATTTGTAATGATGTTTTTTTTTTCATCTGTGACAAGAATGTATACCAGACATTTTGTTTCAATATGTAAGTTTAGCACCTTTTTTGAAAGAAAATATTGTCATATTAACTAAATGGTAATTTAGGAAGGTCATTTTTTGATTTTCCAAGCTATTTTCATAATATAAGGAGAACCCAAGATAAAACGTAAGAAAAGTGGGGAAATTTACCAAAAAGTGCTTTTATTATTTTCAATTTTGTTTTTTTTTGTTGTAATTCAATTCAAAATATTTATAAAGACTTGAAGTTTGGACAGAAAACTTATATTTGCCTTTTCTTGACGTGGTACAATTTTTGAACAATTTAAAAATATTTTAATTTTGGGAGTTTTGTACGTAATATTTATTTGGTGGGTACTCTGTGGATAAAATTCTTAGACCAAACAGAAATGCTTGAGAATTTAATATGAGGTTCATTAAAAGTCGTACTTTGTGGTAAAAAAAAAAATGTTGAATAAAGGCAACTAGCTTATCTTTTTTAAACATTCATCGAAATGAAAACATTAATATGGAAAATATTGTCGATCAAACCGCTTGTAAAACGCTGCTTAAAATAAAAGTATTTTGGTCTTGGTCATCTAACTTTTATTAAATATTATTATTATTATTATTTTTGTTATTCATATTATTATTGTTTTAATTATTATTTATTTAATGTGAAAACAACTAATTTAATTTTTATATTGTAGTGTTTTACTACATTTGTACAATAGTACTTGGTCTTCTAAGCAAATATAAGTTGAAATAACATCAGGCATAAAGGTTTTAAGTTTTTGTTTACCAATGCGGTGATATTCAAGAGTAAAAATGGTTCGTGCCACCCCAGGGATTGACCCGAAGTCTCCCCTGAGCAATTCTATTAACCGAGCTCCGTTCAAAAATTTTTTTTTTTGTTGACAATGCTTATCTTTGCTTAAGTACAGATATACTTTAAATTTTCCTCAATATTCTACCTTTCCAACTTCTCATCTATAACAGTGGTCTACCCATTGTGGGTAGCATGTCCGTATTTTTTTCTTATTAATCATTAATATTAAATTTAATTATTTCACCCTCCCCCTTCACAGTTTAGGCTTGGAAATGCCCCTGAATGACCGAGTGTCTGAAACTTGATAAATATGTTTTGAAATAACATAGAATACAGGCCACAGGCCACTTCATCAATATATTGTCAATCAGGAGTGCATTGTTACATATACGTGGATATACGTCATACGCTTTATAGTGTATACCCATCACCTATCACCAGATTTTCAATTTTTAACGTATACCTGATGTAAAATGTCATTTTATGGGTATATCTACACTCCTAAAATAACTCGAAAACAAAATAAAACTTAAACTCTAATAGTAGGTAAATATGAAACCATTGTTATGAAGTTTTTTTGGTTTTAATCTATTATTTATTTATTGAAGTTAACAGTATACTGTGTCTAATTTAGTAAATTACATTTTGAAAAATAGATTTTATTTTAATTCTGTCAAATAGTGTAAGTTAGTGTTGGTTTTAAACAAAACTTTGTTTGATTGTCTCATTTCAGATGTGCACGTGGACAACATATAAGAGGTCGAGAGGAAGTACCATGGTGCATAGTGTTTTCTAGTGTTATAGCTTTGATAAGTAAAATATAGAATACTTTTACAATAGGCCTCCTTATAAAGTAGGATTTGAAGAAAAGTCACTAAGGGTAAATAGAAGTAAAACAGATTATGAATTTGAAAGAATAGAACAACATAGTTAACGACAATAAGCGGTTGTAGACGAGGTTGAACATTTTATGTACCTACCTAGGGTATTTTGTACAAAAGAACGGTGGCTTTCATGAACATGTGAAACATCTAGGATTACATGTAGTTGGGTTAAGTGAAGAGGAGTAACATTTGTTTAATTGAGTAAAGTCGAGTTAATTTGTTTGGATCGAATTTTTAATATTTTAAAATTAATCCATTTATAAATTTTTATATAGACATATAAAATTCGTAAAAAAATCGGGCTTTTTAATTTTGAATATCCACTTACTTTTTATAGATACAGTAAAATTAAAACTAATTTTCTCTTTTCTGAGAGTGGGTATAAAATAAAATTCCACAAATGAAAATATATACCATGGCATAAAAAAATTAACATAGTGACGTCACATATATGCAATATATGAACACATCAAGGTCTATTTCAGATCATTTTGTTGTAACTCATTAAGAATTGACATACCAATTCTGAAACTTGTCATACAAATTTATAAAAATTTGAGTTTAAATAAGTTGCATAAGTGAGAAACACGTCGAATCAGGCTATGGCTTTCCGAATTTTAATTCTCCGAATATAAATGAAAAATTACATAAGTTACTATTTTCAAAGTTTTATCCAAAACAGTTTCAAAAAATTGATATTAATTTCAAATTAGCCGTAAATTTAACTAAAAACGAATTTATTTTATACATTATTATTTTCAGCGTAATATAAAATAATATAATTTAACATCCAAAAAAATGGCTACATTATAATTTATAATAGTAACGTATAAACAATTCCCCCTTCCTAGAAAAAGCTTAAAATAAATTACTGCGTGGTCAGTAGATGTATATAGAAGAAGCTATATTAGTTTTACTTTGATATTATGTACTTTTAAATTCTGAGTGGAGCGAGGAAGCTTATGGTTTTACAGACGTTTTTTTTTTATATGTGCGCAACTTTTCTTCTAGAAATATTGCTCCGATTTTTAAGTGTAGTACCTTTTTCGAAAGGAAATCGGACTAGATAGGTACCTTAAGGAGTTTATTTTTCGATTTTCCCAGGTGTTTTCTCATCAATGTGAAAAACCGAAAAAAAAATGGGAAAATGTACGAATATATTAGTAAAACATTACAATTTTTTTTCTGTGGACAACTTTTTTACCAGCAATTTTATTCCAATTTACAATGATAGCACTTTTTCTAAAAAGAAAACTTTCGGGAAAATCGAAAAATGACCCCTCAAAAGTCCCTTCCCAGCAAATTT